TTTTTTTTTGGCTTGGCACGTTATCTCAACGAGGAGTTTTGTTAAGGCTGAATACTACGTAGCTAGCTGATTTTCTTTGGCGTTTTTGAGCTGCGAAGTCTGAGGGTTTACCACAAAAGTAGCAGCGCATCTTCAAAGTGTCCCCCTCCCCTTGGCAAACCAGCACTACGGTCTACCAGTGCTCGACATCAAAATGACGATTACTTGCGAGGTTTGCTCCTCTGAGCAATCCAAATATCGATGCCCTACCTGCGGGATTTTGAGGTACGTCTCCTTCCCAATTTTATGAAGACCTTACCAGTAATACTTTGGGACATCTCTAACTCGACCAGTTGCTCGCTCGGCTGCACACAATCGCACAAGATCTACTGCACGCCCAAACCACAAGAACAGACCCCGTCGAATAACCACAACCCCCCTCAACCTGAAACAGACGCGAACGACCTCGTAACCTCAATGAAGCAGAATGACGATCGTCCCGACCCAGCAGCAGTGCTCAAATCACCAGACCTTGAACCTCTCCTCAGCCGATATCCGCAACTCCGTGCCCAATTGCGTGATATTTACAAGACCACGTTAGAGAAAGAATGGATTGAGCTACAATACAAACCTCAGACAGGTCGAGGCGGACGCGCGAATTCAAGAGGGAGAGGCGGGTATCGCAATCGGGGACCTTGGACCCGGGAGAAGGGGTTTAATCGGGGTCTAGGAAAAGTGAGGAAATATAGGGATCAATGCGAGGCTGGGTTGGAGATTGGGAATGACGCGGAAGGGTTCATGCGATTTGTTGCGTTGGTCAATGATAGTGGCAATGGTGATGATCTGTCGCTGTCCCAGGAACCGGCATGATGGGACTGGATTGGGAAAATTGATACCCCTGGGACATGTTGTTTCTTTTTACAGGGCTCTGATCACCACGTGGCAGATGGAGAGCTTTGCTATGCTATTTTTCAGGTACGGAGTGACCGATGGCAAAGGCAAGCTGCGAACGGCTTTACTGCGGATTTACCGAGGATTTACGTTATATGTGGGTTTACTGGGTGGTGGTAACATCTGACGAAGCTACAGAAAATGTGCTCTAAAGATTATTATTGGTAAAGCTTCAAGGTAGAGCTTTATTTCGAACACTGGGAAGCCCGCAATAAAATAGAAAAGCAGAACGTGGGTCAAGGCAGTGTCTACGGAAATGAACAGAAGCAGAGGCCACGATACATCTTCAAGCCCCGATTCTCGGGTCCAGACCCAGATCCTCTCAAATTCAAGCCGGACAGCCCGCTGTCAATTGACTCAATCCAGTTCTTCTCAAGCTGAGCTCTCTGCCGGCTTGTATTATTCCCCGACCCACTCCGGCATTAGAGTGTTCCTTCGGAAATATGGGTTCGGGATCCGTCCAGTTGGCTGGCCTAAATCTGGATAGAATTCGTCCACTAAAGAGAAAAGAAAAGGCCCCAGTTTCAGCCAACCCATGTCTTTGGAGATTTCGGCTAGATTTTAGACATCAATTACGACGGCGGTGTGCTCCGTCGAGGATTCCCCGAATAAGACTAGAGACGCTGCACTCCGTACACAGGGCGAAGGATTCTGACTCGTTAGTCGTGTGATAGATTGTCTGATTTGGAATCGCCAAAGCACTCCAGGATATTTGTACTGCATCCTGTATGTTCAGAGATGTAGCGGCCAAACCGAGCTAGTCCGAGTGTCCTGCTCCCTGTACAAGCATGTACATACTCTTAACTATGTATGCCTATGCTAGTCCGTTAATCGGAACGAATGTGATTGGGAGACTATTCAAACGAGAACCTTTTTTTTCTTTTCATTTTTATTTGCTGCTCGGGAGGAATGGAGTTTGAAAGAGAGAAAAAAAGAAAAATCTTCCGCAAAGGATTCTCCAAACGGGTGAGCCCAAAAAAGTAAAGAAAATTCTCATGGTTATCGTCCGCCCCGACAAGCAAACATCTCTGCCAATGATTATGAGTCTATATAAATCGGAAAAGACGGAGTTATGATGTTCAAAGCGAGTAAAAGCACGCAGGTCAGTCGGGCTTTTTGTGTGGACTGAAATATGCAGCAGTCTCGTCTAGATGCACGTACCAAGTAGCGAGGATGGAGCATCACTGGAGTACAACATACAGACTGAGGGAAAAAAGAGAATGCTTGACGACGAAGAAACTCTGGCCGATCTCAAGCCAAAGCTCAATCATGTTTGTTCTCAGCCTGCTCCGTACCGATTTACCACATACTAAGATACTAGGCTTAACTATGCAGTTATGGTTGGTAAAGGGCAGCGGGGTATCATCATAAAGGAGACTTCCTTTCTTCGTATTTTTACTGGTAGCCATATGAATATCCTTCCCTATTCTCTCATCATTTTCTCTTTTCCCTTTAAACATTTGTTTTTGCTCCATGTGGAGATCCGTAGCGGCGGACACACCGTGGGGATAACAAGTGGTACATAGTAGCTGACTGTTATTGTTGATGTTCTTATAGTGCAGCATTTCTATTTGCGGTTTATTTATATTTCACTTATTTGCTGTTATTATTACATTATCAACCATTATATTTACTGCATATTTGCCGTTGCGGAGTGCAGTGCCGGGACAGCGTCCGGAGTACATTTTCGCTTCCGACTCAGTGAGACTTCAATCTTCCCGCTTGTCTCGCTCAATTGCAGCTCATTGCTGACCTGGACTCTGTTTCATTTTCTGTCAGTCTCTCCCCGTCGGACTTTTCTCAGTTTCAGTCAAAGAATCTCCGGGGGAAGAAAAAAAAGAACTCAAAAGGCCGAGTCGCGGGGACCGTTTATCCACAAAGTTGCGGCTCAGAACCACCTGCTCCTACTACTACCACTACTTCACCTTCTCGACTCTCCCACTTTGGAAACTACTTGAGCCACAATGGATAAGCCGGTCGGGCCTCAATATCTCACCTAGTCAAGTCATCACTTGCGCCCTCCCGATTTTGTTTGCCGTTCGATTTCGTTCCCATTGATTCCCCTGGCGTCGCACTGTCCATCTGTTCCGCGCAGACTACTCTCCTCTATACCACCAATCGTTTATTGCCAGCACCTACCACCCTCTCTCCCTCTTCTACTCGCCACAGTCATCCCTCCCCCCCTGGGCTATCTCCCGAGCATGACTTTTCAGCAGATTCGGAGAGAACGTGCTTCCAGCGACAAAGCCCAGGGCCTGCCATCGGTTTCCGTTCCGCAACGTCCTAGTCTACCCAGCAGAACAAATTCCGCTCCAGTTGGGGCGCTATTTCAATTGGATTCTTCTTCGAAAATGACATCGATGTCGACCAACGATGCCGGCTTGAAGAAACTCGTACGACAACAGACCGTCCCGGAGGAGGAAATGTTGTCTACTACCGGGAGCCCCACCGCTATCCCGCAGCGTGTGAGCGACGAGGTATGGTTTACTTGGACTGAAGGGTTATATTCCGGGGACCTAAGCTGATTGTGATATCTCGGGGTAATACAGTCATTAGTAAAGCCGGATCTTCCCCATGTGACAATTGCCGTTGCCGGTTGTGACGGGGCGGGCAAGACGACATTCATCACCAGTGCACTAGATATGAGGCAGCCGTTCAAGGGCCGACAAACAACGAAGAAGATGTCATTGGATGGATCCGTCTACCTGGTTCGCGTGTTGGAGCTATCAACCACTGAGATCACGCCTGATCCCAAGGGCCCTGTCTGGCCTCGCTTCGGCAGTGATCCGTCACCTCCTGCGATAGATGGTGTACTCGTCCTACATGATACCACTCAGCCATCGACTTTCCCGGAAACTGCGAAGCTATTAGGTGCGTTTATATTACCGTTATCTGTCTACCCCGGCAGAGTGTTGCACATTGTCCTCCGTTTGAGTCAACAAAGAATGCTGTGGCTGATTGATGAATCATTTTGCCTTCGCAGATTCCGTGGCTGCCTCCTCACTTCCGTTTGTAGTGCTTGCCAGCAAGAGCGACGTTGTTCCAACTCATAATGGGGTCCGCGACCCTGTCCTCGAACGATATGAAATCCACAAAGCAACGCCGGAATCGCCGCGATCGCAAAAGATGTGTATAGCACTGGTGTTGCGATCTGTTGTGAACAATAAACGTGGTAAGTGCTGTTCTTTCGCGCAGTTTTTGCGATCTGGAAATCTGGACCACGTTGCTTGTTTTTTTTTTTTTTTTTTTTTTTTTTTTTTTTTTCTTTTTCTTTTCCTCTTTGTCTCTTTCCTCATCTACGAATTCGCGCGCAATACATGATGTCTGCCTATTAAACAGCTCCTTCGTGCTGGTTGCGAACCTTGGGACAATCACCCCTTTTTGGCGGTCTCCCCGTGGTCGTGCTAACCCGCGGCACCAAGCCCTTTGCGCACCGCGGCCCTTTGTCTCGCCTGCCGATCAAACATGGTGCCGGGTGCAGCATGTGCCCGACATCAAAAGCCTTTTGCATCCCCGTGGCTTTAGGGATTCGATCATAGTACTAACGGTTCTTTCACGTTGATTTAGACATTGCGCTCTCGCATAACGGTCAAGCCAATAAAGCCATCACCGGGAACTCGTCGCAAACTTCCTTACAAACCAATCCCCCCATCGCGCACGGATTTCCTCATCAAGCTCGTGCAAATCAAGAACCAGCCGCTGGCGGCCCAACAACTACTAGTTCTACTGTCCCAACTCAAGGTGTAGACGGAAGCGGTGAGATCCGCAGGCCCACAGACCAGGCGAATACTAGCAGTGGTGCTACAAGTACCGGTGCCACCTCGAACGTCTCTTCAAATAATGCGCATGGCTTATCCAGGTACGCCCGGAGCAATTCGAACCCTATGCGACCGCAGACTCCACCCTCTGGGACCCTATTGAATCCGTACGACCCTTCGGCTTCAAATGGGAGTTCGCCCAACAAGGATCTCAATCGACAACAGCGACTACATACCGAGTGGCGGAACAGTGGTGGCTCGGATGCCTTCGATAACTTCTTGGCTATGGAAGAGGAAATTGATGGGCCGCGGAGCGCTCCGCCCAGTCCTGACGGAAGCAGAGACAAGACCAACGACGGGACCCCAAGCGATGTCGGTTACACTTTCGATGAGCTCGTTGATCGCTTAGTGTCGCAACCGGTATCACGGCAGGACTCGAAATTTGCGGCCATATTTTTGTGTCTATACCGCAAATTTGCGGCCCCCGCACAGCTTCTCAGCGCGCTAATCAAGCGATTCGACCGGAACGAGAAGAACAATAGCGACCAGCTCTCGCGCATTGCCGATCAGCTCCAGCTGCTAAACGTCATGGCCCAATGGGTGTCGGAGTACCCAGGAGATTTGGCGCACCCACGCACCCGGAAGCGAATAGTGGATTTTGTCTCGACACTGGAGCGCAGTCATTTCTACATGTTCGCTGCGAAGGAGGTTAGCTCATATCTCGAAATACCGGTAGAAGACGACGATGTGGGCTGGCCGTTCTCGGACAGAGATATTGAAGAATTGAATAACTCGGACACCCCGTTGGCTAGCTCGGGGCGGAATTCGCCATCGACTTTCCTCGGCGGACCAGCGTCTACCCCACAGGATGAGGAAGAAGAGGAAGAAGATCCCATCTACAACCTTAGCGCAGTGGATTTAAGTGAGGGGTTAACGGATCCATCAATGAAGCTATCCGGTCCACCATCGAGCTCGTCTCTGGTTGAGAAACCCGGCAACATCGTGAGCCAATCTTTCACGCTTTTGAGTACCGAGGCTGCACAGAAAGAAGCTCACCACCTGGAACTCTCGCCGATGATCCCGATTTCCAAGATCGTATGGCGGCAATTTATGGATTTCTCAGACGAAGATGTTGCGCGAGAATTGACAAGGCTCGACTGGGTTATGTTCAATTCATTCCGGCCACGAGACCTTGTGCGTCATGTTAGCATCTCAGGGCCGGATAAGGATAAGATTAAAAGCCTGCAAAATGTCAATCGGATGATAAAGCAGTTTAACCATTTGGCTTTCTTTGTTGCGAGCATGATTCTGCTTCGAGACAAGCCTAAGCATCGGGCTAGGGCGCTGGAGCGGTTCATGAACATTGCATTGGTGAGTTTCTTTCCTATTATTAGCATTGATGGATACTAACCAGTCAGAAACTGCGCCGCCTCAACAATTACAACTCTCTTGGAGCATTAATAGCCGGAATCAACGGTACACCAGTCCAGCGACTCTCGCAAACCCGCGACCAAGTCCCTGTCCAGGTCCAAAAGGATTTCATGAGGCTGGTTATCCTCATGGGAACCCAGAAGAGCCATTTTGCCTATCGATTAGCATGGGACAACTCATTTTCCGAACGAATCCCGTTCCTGCCATTGCACCGTCGCGATCTCGTCTCAGCCGAAGAAGGGAACAAGACCTTCATCGGCGAATGCAAGTCGCGGATCAATTGGAAGAAGTTTGAAGTTATGGGCGAAGTTGTGCTGTGCATTCAACGGAGTCAGAAGACGCCTTATTCCCAGATGCACCGGTACGATGACATCCAGCGGTTGATTTTAGATATCAAGCTGGCTGGTGATGAAGAGGTACGCTCTATCTTTCCACCTTCTTCTCTGACATCATCACTAACGAGTATAGGAACTGTATGCCCGCAGCATGCACGTTGAACCATCAGCCGGTGGTGAAACCGGACGCAAGAAGTTCGGTTGGCTACGATCGTAGCCTTTCTCTCTCCTACCCTTCTTTTACCATTTCACGTTATCTATCTACTCTAGCGGTATTTTCTTATCATATTTTACTTATTTCGACGAAAAGTTGGAGCGATGGCGACGGGTTTTTCAATTTCACATGTCTATACCATACAGTTGTGATGCCGATATGATTTTTGACGCGATGGGATGGGGTTTATGCTCTTGGATTGGGAGGTGATAGTGTTTTAGCGATTGTACCTTGTACATATGGAATACATAATAATCAGCATTACCTTGGTAGACAAGTAGGTCTGCAATATGGGTTAAGTATATGCATCACGTGATAATAACCTCCGATCATTCTCGGCCCTTCAACGATTCCTCCGCCCTCTTCACCTCACTTCTTCCCAAACAAAAGCCGAAAGCCAAAAGAAAAAGAGAAGAAAAATAAACCCACCAAAATGCCCCTAACCCCACATGCTCGCTCAACCTACCGCGCCCTCCTCCGCGAACACCCGCGCCGCTCCCTCCCAAAAACCACCACAACCCCCCTCCACGCCCGCCTCCGCGACCATTTCCGCACCACTGCGGCCACCCCGCAATTTACAAACGTCGCGACAAACCCGAACACAAGCGAGACGGATGAATGGGAGAAGATGAAGGGCAGGGTGCAGGAGGCGGAGCAGTTGGCGGTTTATGTGAGGGCGCAGAGGACGTATAAGGCGTTGGTGGAAAGATATAATCCCGGGATGGGGATGGATGAGGAAGAGAGGATTAGGCTTACGGCTAGGAGGGTGGGGTGGGATTTACCGGTTGTTGGTGGGGAGGGAGAGAAAAAGTGAGCGAATTGTGCTGGATGGGTTGGGTTGATGGAATGTTGCGAGGGGGGTACTGTCTATAGGGTACGGAATACCAGGTGTCTAAAAATACGACTGATGCTTTGGTTGGATACCTCTTTATGGTCATGTATTATATTATGTTCTTGTCAATTAATATGGGTTCTGGTGCTGTTTTTACATGTGAAAGATTGGGTATCTTGGAGTACGGACATAAAGGAAAGCATTATCTCTCATTCATAATTCTCGGCCATCAATATTCGCTATCTAAGATGTAGGTTGACAATGGCTAACCCTGGGTTGTTGGCCTTGATGCATCCAGTACAAATTCATGTTTTGACTGTCACGATTCGATTGCAGATAGCCAATTCTTCTTCGACAGTGGCTTCAGTTTGCTTGCTGGATCCAATGATTGCGGATTTTGCATCGTGTGGTATTTAATTGGATTGGCTTGACAGTATTAAGTCCTGATGTAGGTGTGTCTTCATATGCCAGGCCATTGGTATCCCGTTAGGAATCGAAGTGAAAATAGAAAGTAGACCTCAGTGTAAAGTCTCTTGTCCTGAGTTTACAAGCAGTAGCCTAGCCAGACGTCAACTGAACCTGCTCCATCTGCCTCATAAGCGTCGAGCTGCTCTCCTCATCCTCCATCCCAACCCCAACCTCAATAGCAGTCTTGGGCCGATTCTTATTAAGCCCCTCCAGCAACGAACAAGCCTTGCAAATTTTCTGACTCGAGATATACCCGCAGCGCTCACACTTACCCATAGACTGCGCCTTGACCTGCTTCGGTGTCCGGCTCTTATCGGGGTTCTTGGTCTTCTTCTTCGGCGCTGCCGCTGGGAGCTGGATCTCGGTTTCGCGAGATGCTGCGGTGTCGTCTTCGGCTAGTTTCTTCTCCATCTCTGCCATTTCGCCGCCGCTGGAACGTCCGTTTTGGCTACCGCAGCCTCCAGGTGTATCATCCTCTGCAGCTACAGCTGCGGCAGCGGGTTTCTTGGTTCCCCCATTAACTTCCGGAGGAACAAGCAGCGCCATATCCTCCCCACTCTTCACAATATCCAAAATAGAACTGGGCCTAATCTTTTCCAAATCTTTAATCAACGTCCTCGCACTCCCCCGAAACGCCTCCGGCGAGTAAATACACTCCGTACTGAAATAATCCAACTTCTTATGATGCGCATACAGCACAATCTCCTTCTCATAAGCGTACTTGAGCGGCTTGCTGCGCTTAATATCGGACGCCCCAGAGTCCGTAACGATACTCGTGCCTCGCGATAATCTCGGCAGGTCACCACGCAGCAGGTTCATCATGACCGTCTCCGCGACGTCGTCCGCATTATGCCCCGTTACGACATGCTTGATGCCCAGTCTCGCGGCGCCGCGGTCTAGCGCTTGTCGTCGGAAGACACCGCAGTACGTGCAGTTGCCCTTTTTGCCAACCTGCGCGACAACCTGGTCCATCGTCCAACCGTATAACTCCCCGTACCCGACGATCTCGAGTGGCATGTCATACTGCACCGCGTTGCGTTTCACGGTCTCCAAACTATCGTCTCGGTACCCTTTGATCCCCTCATCGATCGACAAAAGACATAACTGTAACCCGTAATCGTAGCGCTCGTTCAGAGTCTTCATAACAGAGGCGAGGACTGTGCTGTCTTTTCCGCCGGACGCGCCGATGGCGATCCGCTCATTGCGGTGGAAGAGGGAGGAAGAGGTGATAGTTTCATGGACTTCGGTTTCGAAGATGGTCAGGAAGCAGGTTTTGCAGAGTTTCTGGCGGTTTTTGGGCCGGATGATCACAGCGCGGGTAGTTTCGCAGTTGGCGCAGAGGCTGGGTGGCATTCTGATCTGTTTTTGTGGCTGGAGTAATGTTCAAAGTGAGTAAAAATTCTGGGGAAGATAGGAAGATAAAAAGATAAAAGATGACCCCGCTGTTGTGCCTGCATAAGTTGTGCTTATTCAGCATAAGGTTTTGTGCAATGGCAGCGTAGTAATAGTAAGACATTCAAGTGTACATTTTCTGTTCATTTTGCTATTACATTATTGAATACTATAGCACCCAAGCCATCAATGCATAATATACATGACAACATTCCTCAATGAACCATCCTCAACATAACAACTCACGATCACTCATAAAGCTGTGCAATCGCATTACAGCTTCATCTGCAGGAGATTCTTAATCATCTCCCGACCGGTAATCCGCGACGTCGCCCACAAAGTCGGGAAGTCAAGCGTGCTCGAAAAAGTGTCCGCGTATCCGAAGAACAGCATGGGTGGGATCCATCCACGCGCGTACTCAAGCGCAAAGCACGACTCCTCCATCTTGTACTGCTTGACCTCGCCGCGGCGCAGGTGGTGCACCGTGCCCTGCGGATAGACCTCGGGCTCGTAGGATCCGGGGACATAGGCGAGCTGGGTGCCCTGGAGGATGTTGAAATAGTCGTCGGCCGTGTGACGACCGGTGTGACCTTCTGTGCCGATGGCGGTGCCGAAGACGATCAGGTATTCGGTGATACCTATTGGAATTGGTTAGTGATGGTGATCCAAGGACGCGCGGGTTTGGTTCCAAGGTCGCGGGACTGTTGTCCATGGAACCGGGCCGACACACAACAGGCGCAGAAAGAAGAAACTTACTGGCATGGATAATGTACATGGCACCCATAGCACCGCCGGCGTTGTTGAAAACCCATTCCTCTTCCTTGTTCACGAACTGGCTGGGCACCTTCTGGTCCAACTCAGAGACGATGTAGTTGACAACCGAGCGAGTGTCATTTCCATGAGCTGCAATGGCGCGCTGGGAGACATCGTGCAATTGACCGGGTTCGAAGATATAGAATTGCTCAAGGCGCGCGTTGAGATAGGAGTAGAGAGCTGAGAAGAGTGCCAAAAAGATGGCGAAGATGCTCAGGCAGCGCAAGGAAAGGCAGCGGCAGGTCTTGCCTGCGCTGTTTTGCGAACGAGAAGACTTGGGCATTCTCAAGTTGGAATTGACTTGGAATCCGGAATATGGTAAAGGAGAGGAAAGGAGAGGTAGAGGAAATAAGTAAAAAACAGAAGATCTGTTATTGTTGAGGCGGCAAGAAACTCGGTAAGAAAATCATCCGCTCAGGCCACTTGATTGGTGGTCAGCACTCAGCTAACATCTCAACCATTGCCATTTCGACTGCCAGCTCATTGAATTGCCGCCGTGTCCATTGTCATCGAGAATTCATCTCTATATGGCTGTCATGCTGAGGGCCTTCAGTAAAGCTCCGATAGACAACCGATAGAGATGAGACGAGCCGAGGTTATGGATATGGAGCCCGCAGCAAGCTCCAGACTTTTATTATAAGATACAGATCAAAATGAACTGGAGCAATGCTAATAATAAAAGCTACAGCGACCTTCAGAGAGGACCAGCTTATTCATAGATGAATTCGGACCAACGACCGCTCTCGGTTAGTGTGAAACAGGAGAATCCGCACTCATCAAGCCGGATAATATATTGCACTATATTGGACAGCTTCAAGGAAAGCAACCCAGGGAACACGACAATGCTCGCGGTTTCAACCCGTGTCATGATGGGTCGGTTATATTGGATAGTCTCGGGTTGATTGATAGCAAAGTTGGATGGAGATGGCCGGTTAATGTACCTGGTTTTGATGAGCTCCTTGAAAAAGAGATATAAAATGTTCTCCTAGGCGTCCATCTTCACAAATCCAGTCATCACAAGCAGGTTCTTGTAGCGTCAATCATTCGTTCACTTTCAAAATGAAGTCCATCGCCGTTCTCACTTCTCTCCTTTCGCTCACCACGGCGGCCGTGATTCCCAATACCCTCACTCGTCGGGCTGATCTCTGCGGCCAGTATGTCCAGTCGAACGAAGGCGACTTCATCCTTTACAACAACGCCTGGGGCAAAGACAACGCCGAGAAAGGTTCGCAGTGCACGGGGCTGGACTCCGTCAACGGCGACACCATTTCCTGGCACGCAACCTGGTCATGGAAAGGCGGCGACGGCTCCGTGAAGAGCTTCCCCAATGCGGCCTATCGGTTTGACGCAAAGACGCTCGATAGCGTGTCGAGCATGACCACCAAGTGGGAGTGGAGGTAGGCAGGCAATAAGAAACAAGGCTTTGAGGGAAAGGCTGACAAAAATAGTTACACCGGTTCTGACCTCGTGGCCGACGTCGCCTATGACATGTTCCTCTCCTCGTCTGCCGACGGCGATGCTGAGTATGAGATCATGGTCTGGTTGGCTGCCCTGGGCGGCGCAGGCCCCATCTCCTCGACCGGTCAGTCTGTCGCGACCACGACGATTGGCGGCGTCTCATTCGACCTGTGGTCGGGCAAAAACGGCAACATGCAAGTGTACAGCTTTGTTGCCTCGTCGGAGGCTCAGAGCTTCTCTGGTGACTTGCTGGACTTCTTCCAGTACCTGGAGCAGAACCAGGGGCTGCAATCGAGCCTGTACCTGACCGACGTGCAGGCAGGCACGGAGCCATTCACGGGCTCAGGCGCGGAGTTCACGACATCCACTTACTCGGTGACTGTTGCTTGAATGGTCCCTGCCTAATTATGTGTGGCGATCGTTTGGTTGATACTGATACGGAGGTGGAATGTGAAACTTGTATATGTACATAGTACGGGTACTTTTTACCGCCACCCCAATGCAATAAAGTTTAATGAAGGACGGACAGCCATTGGCGAGATGATCGTCTCACGAGTCGCCTGTTGAAAAACGCTACTTTTGCGTGCTGGCCACTGGATCATGTCGGGTGATGTCGATGCGAAACAGTCGACGCGCCGGCCTCCTAATCTCGGACCGTTGCGGCCGATCGATGAATCGGATCATTGGGTACATAGAAGAATGTTGAGCCATGACGTCCTCTGTCATTGGTAGAGAGTAGCTCGAATTAGAAGCAGGCCAGGCGCCGGAGGGCCGGAATAGTACGCGCAGGAGAGACGGCGCTTAGTTGCACGAACAAGACAAATATAGATCAGTCGAGCAGGATGGAGTATTCTTCCGCCTGAGTAATGGCAGCGAGCAATTGAGGGAGCAGAGTGAGTCGCGTCCTTGGGGCGTTAGAGGGAGGAATGTATAGAGCCTGAACACTCACTCACTCCTGATACAGTGTATAGGGACTGTAATAAGAGGGTACAATGATATTACATCGAACATAAACTAACATTCATAATGCTAGAATGAAGCGATTGAGGTCATATATCCGCATTGAGCGACTGTACATAATAATGGGTGGCGGGAGTATCTCCAAACTACTCGGTATAGCACTCTATACAGAGTATTCCGTTCTCCGTACACAGGGATGCATTCCAGCGCCAATTCCCCCTTCCCTCATCCATGCCTCCGCTGCGATTTTCGTGTCGCCAGCCAGGCGCTGTCCTTGCAGCCTCTCCAGCCGCCCTGCGATGCGCCCGCGTCGCTGTGAAGGAATGTCTGTCTTATAAGAACATCCATGCATTCTCTTCGGTCCCTTTGTTCGGTTCATTTTCTAGTGATATCAATCGTTGTGGTTATACATACCCCTCTTTTCTCTGTTTGCCCTCGCTCATTACACTGCTTACAATTTGCCTGCTTACGGCTTTCCATCGCTTCGATTTTATTGTCAGATTGCCACCTTGAATCGTCTATTTCCTGCTGGTCGGGAACGATAAAGAAACTATTCATTATTGATTGATTGTGCTGAATCCGACAGCACATTGTGCTGACAGCCCAAACAGCACGCTTAACAACGCGTCTGATTCATACGATCACTGCAAAAGTGATATATCACTCTCTGTCGAGCTATCTATTTCATTGTGTTATTGGCATATCTATCATCTCACATCCATAGTCCAACAACATCCGTATACTTCAACCACCACCGCCATGGATTCCAAACTCACCTTAAACTCGCTTAACCAAGCGGCCCTCAACGAATTCGTCAAGCTCCCTGTCTCTCGGGACATGGTCTGCCACCTCGCCCGTCATGCATCACAGGTCATCCGCTGCGAATCACCACCAGCCAGCCCTCAGCAACCAACACCACCCAGCACACCCCCCACAGACGATGCCCTGGACAACAGCGGCGTGCCCTCACTGCCCTCGGTGGAAACATTCATCGCCTCCATTGTCACCCGCTCCCAGGTGCAAGTGCCAACTCTCATGGCATCCCTGGTCTTCCTGGAGCGTCTACGCTCACGGCTTCCACCCGTCGCTAAGGGCATGCGCTGCACCGTGCACCGCATCTTCTTGGCTAGTCTGATCCTGGCCGCGAAGAACCTCAACGACTCGAGTCCCAAGAACAAGCACTGGGCGAGGTACACGGTCGTCAAGGGGTATGATGGGTTCGGGTTCTCGTTGCCGGAAGTGAACCTCATGGAGCGGCAGTTGCTCTTCCTGCTTGATTGGGAGACTCGTGTTACGGAGGATGAACTATTCACGCACCTCGAACCGTTCCTAGGTCCGATTCGTCGTCGGTTCCAGATCCAGGAACATGAGAAGAAGAGACAGCAGGAGTTGTACAGACAATCGTGTCTGCAGCTCTCGCCTGAGAGTCTTCGTCATCAGAGTCCATCTACGCCATCCCGTCATGGTAGTCCCCGTCGACACCCCGAGCACTCGCCCACTCCTGCTTCGCGGCACTCGGTGATTGCGACGCCGTATACGCACCGCCGTGCAAACCGCTCTATCTCGCCCCCGTCAATCAAGGACGTGCCATCCCTTTCCCGCGCAGAGACATTCACATCCCTTAGCTCCTGCGCTTCTAGCATGACTACTTCATCGCGGGGTACACCAGCATCAATCAGCTCATCCAACGGCGTCGACGAAGTCCTGGTCGCAGATAGCGGCAACAGCCCCCATCTATGCACCGCTAACTATATGACCATTCCGCCGAAAGCAGATGTCAAAATGCATTCGCTCTCCCACTCGCACTCCCTGTCAAGTGATAACGTGAGCAACAAGAAGATGCGCCTTGGCCACCACTCCGGGGGATCAGGTCTCGTTGCAAGATTCCTAGCGTCGGCTTCGTATATGGGTGGACGGATTGGGAGGGCTTAGGTTTCTGTTTCTGTTCTTTCGTGTCCGTCTTTTACTGAGCTGGTCTCGTGCTTTTATTTTTGATGATTTGCCTGGTCTTGTTTGATCTGATTTCTATGATCTATAATACCCTATTTCCTATTTTTTACCCTGTTTCCAAAATCTGTTTCATGCATTGACGGCGTTTCAATTGGTGAATGTTGTTTTGGTTATAATTGATTCCCTGGATGCTACATGTTATGCTATGTTATGCTATGTTATGCCTCGCCATGTCTTTCTTTTTACTCTCATTTGTCTGCCATGCTCATGAAAACCAGTACGTACGATCTTAATCGAATGGCTCAAAATAACTTGACGATGATGATATTTATAGACTCGATGGTATAATATAGATATCCTAAATTCTCTGACATTCCGAGTATGCGAGTTGACCACATAGACTTTTCAATACAGTAAGGACAGCATTCCAATGCATGGCTGGATGTGCGCCACCGTTACAAAGCAGCATGGGGTTTCAGTACAGCCACGCGGATTCTGGATTGGTTTTCCGAGTAATGTACATGTACATCGGGTCGAGACCTGTATGGAGTGATTGATTGATTGGATGGGGTGTATTCCGTAGAGTACTGTACATTCTATGCTGACCGTCGATCGATATGGAGAAAATAAATCAAAGACAACAATTAGATGGCCGGCGCCTCCCACGAATCACGCTTGATTTTCATAACAGCCGACTGCTTGTGCGGGAATGTCACCTCACCTTCTTTGTAGAAGCCGGATTTCTGCAGATAACTTATGACCCTGTTATCGTTAGCACTGCTTTATCAAGATACGAAAAAAGAGGAGAGGGGACATACTTCTCATTATCGACCCTAGGCTCCAACAAAACCGTCTCCGTCCTCGAATCCGCCAACCAAGCATAATGCACCAACGAACTCAGCCAAATATTCACCCGGTGAGATCCCCGATATTCCTGCTCCCCAACAAGCAAATGAATTCCACGATCATAATTACCCAGGCCACCAAGCAACGGTCCCAATCGATCTTCCTTGGCCCAGTAGATCTCAAAGTATCCGAAGGGTTTTCCATCCCAGCACCCGAAGACAGGGAAGCTGTGGCGCGAGGTGAGGTTGTGGCGCAGGAATTCCTGTTGATGCTCGATGGGGCCTGCTTCGCCCCATGCGGCATTGACGCGGGGGTTGTTCATCCATTTGTGAAGAATTTCGAGGTCTGTCGGGCCATCTGTGGGCTGGGGTTGTTGCATGCCGATGGCGGATGAGGAGGAGAGGGAGTGGGTGTGGTTGGAGCCGGAGGGGGGGGTGGTTCCTGGTGACGCGGGCTGGGACTGTTTTGAGGCCGAGAAGTAGGGGACCCGGAAAGAGAGGTATTGGCCCACGCTGGGGATGTAGCGGATGTAGACGACTTCGCCTTGGTGCGGGGGCCTGGTGCGAAGTGGATGGCGCACGCCGTTCGTAAAAGTATACTGCGTTGGTGGCGGGGGGAAGTAGGTGGGTAGATGGCTTCCCGATGTAAACGGACCCTCCTTTCTCAATCTCGCTTGCTCATCCGTTGTCGGGGATGAGATCTGCTGCCGTGTAATCGACGCCGGAATCCCAGCCGGCGCAAGCGTAAACAGAAACAATCTTGGATCCAACTGCCAGAAACTCCGTCTGCTCACAAACATATTATCCCACGGCCCAGAATCCTGGTTCTCATTCGGCTCCAGCCCAACAGAACTATCCTCCGTCGCAATTAGACCCATGCGCTCAAGCTTCTGCAACAAATTGCGCTTCTTGAAGATTCCCTCGCGCTTGATGTTAATCCGCCAGTCGCCCTTGGGCTTACCCAACAGCGGGGTCTTCGCCGAGTTCGCCGAGTGCAGATGCAGATCCGGCTCTTGTTCGTGGAAGTACCACCATAGCGTGATGTAGAGGAGCAGTGCGATCTGCCGCGTCGGGGAACTAGCAGGTTTGAAGTCTTCGCTGGAGGGATCGACTGTGTATGCGATATGGAGGCAGTCATTGCGGAGGGTGGGGTCTGTGAAGCGGCGCTGGCGGTCTTTTTCGTCCTTTTCAGAGGATTCATCGTCATCGCGAGTGTAGAGGACAACGGTCCATCCTGGAGGAAGAACGGAGTGGTGGAGAGTCAGGTCGTTGCTCTTGAAGTTGAAACCGCCGAAGACGGGCGTCACAGCGAAGCTCTGCCCGTTCGGGAGGTAGCAGGTACTGTGGCGCATGCTGCAGGTGATATTTAAGAGTGATTGTACCCCTGGTAGAGAAATAAAAAAAAAAAGAGAGAAAGTAAAAAGAGACGGGGGAAGAGGGGTTTTATGCGACGGGGAAAGTGGGATGATGGGCCCCTCCAATATGACTTCGTGGTCGGCTAGTGGGGGAGTAATTGGTACTATGTGAAGCACGAATTCAAGTCATGCGATTGAGAATTTAGAATTGACTGATTGAATTTGATTGTCTATACCATAGCAAAATCAAGAGGCGAGGGTTTGATGTCATGTTCGCTCAACGTGACAAAATGGGAAAAATTGACGCTATTCCCAGTTTCTCTCTTCGTAGACACGCATTATTCATACATTCTAAGAAATACAGACTGAATCACATCTAAAACTCCTCCACCGTGGTTCCCAAGTTCCTCTCACGGGCCAGCTGGATCAAATCGCCACCCGTCACCAAATCCATCAATCCCAATCCCACACTCTTATAAATAACATTGCCCCGTTCCAGCCACTCGCGCAGACTCTTGGTGTCTTCTCCGCCGCCAGTGTCCTGACGAGATGCCTCGCGCACCATGAGCAGTTCGCCCAGCTCAACGGCCTGGTGTGGCTTGACGTCCGCCTGGATGAGCTCGCCGGCTTCCTTCAGCGCGGCATCGAGACTGTCAACCACCACGACTCCGCTGCGTTTGGCATGCTTGCGGAAACGGCGATGCGAAGTGTGCACCGCCACCTCGTCGCGCAGGATGTCCGGATGCAATTCCGTCATGTGTGCTTTGTACGATCCAATCGCGCTGACGAACCGGCCCTTGCGACGGCCTTCGTTGGAGGTGAGCAATTCGGCCGGGAACAGAGGCTGGATGGACGGAGTGCAGCAGAAAATGGCATCGGCCTTATTGACGGCATCCCCGACAATGCGAGTATAGTCGCCAAACTCACTGCTGACGGCCGAAAACTTGACATCCCCGCGCCAGCTCGCATTCTCTGGAGAATAAATGTCCCGAAGGAGCCTAGCCGCTCGATCAAACGACCGGTTGATGATGTACACCTTTTTTATCTCAGATCCGCGCAAGGTCAGCGCCAGTCGAATGTGCCAGTAAGCCTGCTTTCCGGCCCCGAAAACAGTCAGCGTGCGCACCCGGTTCCGCTTGTTGAAAAGCATGAGCGCCGTCAGCGCCGTGCGGAAGGGCGTCAATTCATGTGCATTAATCAACCCAAACGGCAAACTCTCCTCATCCAGCAACGTTACACTGCCCTGTGGTGAAGTGTCGCGGGTACCAGCCCCAGGCCACGCTCCCAACGTCTCCGATACATTAGGCGGGATGGGCTGCTGGTTGACAGTCCCCGACTGTATCGACGACCGAAGACTCGGCCCGCTCGACGAACCATTAGCATCATTCTCGTTGCTACTATCGCCATCGTCTTCGTCCTGTGATGATGCAATCGAATGATTATCTGTGTCGGACGATTGAGAAGTAGAACCCATGGAGCCTCTACCGGCGCGCGACCGGGACCGTGTTGAGGGCTTCTCGTTTTCGGAAATTTCCAGGCCGGTCTCCACGGCACACCCCGCTTTATCTGCGTCGTCTAGTGAAATCAGTTTCATCCCAATCGTGTGGCCGGTGCTTGCAGGCATAAACAGTGTTGTGCAGCCATTGGCTCGAGTAATCGCAGTTCTCGGCGGTTGATAGGATGATGAACAGCCTTGCTCTTGGGATCCGGTACTGTATTCCCTCAATGACTCTGCAAGCTTGTGCTGTAACTCAATGATCTCTTCGCGAGTCAGCGATAACAGCAGAGATCGCAGCTGCGCTTGTGAAAGGATAGTAAGCGGCATGATCCTTGCCAATTGGAATGATAGTAGGTAGAAACGAGAGTGTATAGAATAAGAAAAAAAAAGAAGTGAAGTGTTCGAGAAAGACAGTTGTTCTTCTAGAAGTTGATGGGGGGCGTTCCTTCCCTCTTCTACCACCAGTCAGCGAACAAGCACAATCAACAACGGGGCACTAGGCAGCATATATGAATACGCACGCAGTAATTTATCTCAACAGTCTTTCTTCTCCTTTTAGTCAAAGTGGGAGGGCCAAAGACGAATCGGGGAAGAATCCGGCGAGAAACAGCGACGAAGACGGCGGTTGAAGCTGCTTATGACGACAGACAAGCCTTGGCGGACCACAGTACTCGTTGCCTACAAAGACCCTTAGATAGTAATGGGGTTTATATACAAGAGAGTATCTACAGGAACATAGATGCAATATGCAGGTAAGAAAACTCCGATTGGAAGACGCTTGCATGCCGGGGAATCAATAAGAACAAAATGTCAACCTCCATAACACCAGGATATATAAAAACGTGATAAAACAAAACAACTGTATGGCAGGATTAATACCCCCACATGTCACCATCATCCTTGACTATATCGTCCTCATTCAGAACATGTAGTCCACTCTCCTTGCCTTCTCGTTTCCGCTCTCGCTTCGTCACTATCCGACTGGGCGTCAACGGCGTGACTGGTGTGAATGGCATGTACGGACTGTACGGAGTCGGCATCCCGGTCCTAGGTCCATTCATTTGTTTCGCGGGACGTTCTAGGATCGTTGTCTTGGTGGGCGGGGCGCTTTGCAGACCATAGGCATCCCGGAACGGTAGACTTCCCTGCGATGGTCCCGCATGACGTGCTGAGTATGCTGCATGGCCCGCAGCCGATAGACTCAGCGGAGGGGGTGCTGGTGTTCGTCTCATGCCTGTCGATTTCGCTGGAGGAGCTGAGACATGGATCGGAGGTGCTGGGGGAGGTGGCGGGTTGTATAGACGGGGCGTCAGCGGCGGCTGATCCTCGCCATACGACGTGTTTGTCGTGGGATCTGGTGATGCCAAAGGAGACGAGATGGACAGTTTCCGAAGAGGAAGCCGTGGCGAGCGGATCTTGCCCGAGCCCACAGATGTACGTGTGTTCGAGCTAAAAAGAGACAGCGACGAAAGCCTCCGTGATAGTCGAGAATTGCTCGATCGCGGACTGGTAGGTAATTCATTTGCCTGGGAGGGTTCTTCAAGGACCCGCGATGAATGATCCGTGAACGGGTTAGTCACTACACTCTCCTGTGATTGCAGGCTGTAGTTATGACTGTGACCACCGCTACAACTGCCGCTTTCCTTGGTATGTTCCTTCTGTTCATCATATTCCATCACGGCAGCATACAGCATCTCCATTTGTTCTTGTGCCCGGCGTCGATCGGTTGCGACCACTGTTTCATCAATGGTGGCCACACTGCCATTGTTGGATGGATGATCAAGTGTCCTAGCACTTCTGTCAAGGTTACTCCACGATCGATCGAAACCATTTGGCCGGTTTGGACTGGGCAGACTGGGCGAGATAGGTGTAACAGGACTAGGGTCCACGGTGGAAGGAGGTTTGAACGGCTTCATCATTTCCACTTGTAGCGTATAGTTCGATGCGTGCACCGTCCGTCGTAGACGTCTCCCCACGAAGAGCAATAAAGAGAGAGTAATCACAACGAACCCGACGTATGCCGCGACGAGGCCACCAACCTGAGCAGCAAGAAGAGACCGGTCCAACTCGTAGTTATCAGCACGAATAAACTTTATATCCGACGACGCAACAACTCGAGAAACCAAAAACGCGAGCAACACAAAAATGTGCATTATGGGTCGATAATCCGCAGAAGAAGAGAGATTAAGTATCACCCCGTAATCTCAACGGGCACAAAAAGCATTGGAAACGAGGCCGCACATCCCTACGTGAACAGCACACAACATCCTGGAGGGGAGCGCGTATGACGAAGGATATAACCTCCAAGTCACTGTGGGCCGATTGGCTGTGACAGTGTGAGAGAACGCATTGCCAGACACTGAGAGGGCCATTCAAGCCGTCAAGAACAGCTCCGGCGAGTGTCGTTGGTGCAATACGCGCCGGGCTGACGCACGGCACATCCCATCACACACGGGCTCTGGCCACTGAGACGCGGAGGACTTACCGTAGAGATCGTTGTCTTGAGATATTTTTCCTCACTGGTCTCATCTTTGGGATTTGCCTTTTTTAGGCTGTGATTTAGAAGGTTTGACTGAGTAGGCATATGTTGTAGACTGTGATTGGCCATGTGGGCGAGAGATACGCTAACTGTATTTGGATATTGTATGCCTTGACCACGGGGCATCAATCACTAACTATAGTAGTTAACTACCTGATCTAAGCAAATAGAGAAGGCACGATGTATAGGCATTCCAGTCAGTATTCTCGTAAACAAACCCCCAACCAGAACACCAGACGTCATTCTCTATAAAAGAGATTACATCGATATCCCAGCACGTCACCTGTCACTCGTTCAAACCAAGTAACTCTTGTCATACCTTGTCTCAAAAGCCATTCTCGCCTCGAACTCCATCTCGCCCACATTTCATCACCACCAACATGGGCCACAAAGCCTCCGTCATCCACGGCGTCAGATCGGAAGACTACTATAAGCCCGGCAATGCAATCAACGAGATCTGGATCGGTCACCTCGAACTCATCTCTCGCCTCCCGTTCGGAGACTCCGATATGGGCCAGGCTGGATGGCCGGCGGGCGGTTTCCCCAAGATTCCCTGGCATAACTTTATCATTCCTTTGAAACGCCGGGGGCTCGTTGAGGCGGACGGAAAGGATCTATATTCTGAAAGACTGGCGGGAGGGGACCGGTCGGGAGATCGGAGTGATGTTGATCTTGCGTCCCAGGCTACTTCCCTAGTACCGGCTTTGGCTATGTTGTCCCTCGTCGTCCTTGCGTTTGGTCTTCCGGTGGTTTTGAGACGGTATACTCTACCATTCAACCGGATCCGTGGGAATGGGATAGAAAAGTGCAAGCAGCGCAGGGATGGATACGCTATACGGACATGTATCGCTATTATCTCCCTCGTTACGGGCTTGTTACTTTGTCTGCTTATTTTCCAAGCCCTGACAGATGCTGAACAGCCGGGGATACTCAATAATTCGGTCATGGTGTTTGTGCAGGTGGTAGCAGTCGTTGCGGTTGGTGTTGGTTTCTGTTATTCCGTTAGGGCAGCGTATTCGCTTTGGGTGGATTGGAAGGACGTTTCTTGTTGGATTGGGGAGGATGATGTTGTTTCCGAGGGTGTTATGATAGAGGAGAATCTTCCGATGATTGTGTCTTCCTGGATGGAGCGGCAGCATCGGCCTTGATTGAAATTATTGCTTGGATTCTGTTGACGATTTTATGTCACGATTCATTTCCTATTTCTATGATATCCTTAGCGCAGCGTGTCTATAATACTCCAAATATACAGGCGGAGCCAGTCCGATTGCATCAATAATATCGTACAAACCATTCATATACCATTCATATATACAATCCAAGCCTACCTACCCTTCGAAAATAAATCTCGCCAAAACTCTCTAAACCCATAACTCTTCGACTTGTCTTCATCAAAAACATGAGAAGCCTGCGTAGTGCTCAATGAGTCTATGACAGACGATGTCTTCTGATGTACCATCGTCGACGGACCGTGAACCTTCTCCGTTGCCCTGCGTTTTATTTCGTCGGCCAGGGATGGCGCTACATCTGCGAAACAAGAGGATAATTCGCGGTCGAGACTTATATAGGGTTTTTGTGCAACTGGTGGTGCTTGGAGGTTGTATGAGCGAGCTAGTGCGTTGAGATTCTTCACTGTGACTTCGTGGTATGGGCGTTCGATAGAGAGATAATCATGGTCACGGAGAGGGGGCAAATGTGGTAGATTTTCGTCGTTCTTTTCGGGTTGTATCTCTGGGGTGGAAGAGGACGGCTCTATTGCTGACTCTGTCACGGGTTCCGAGCAATTTTCCTGAAAAGCTTTCTCAATCCTTGCCCTCTCAGCCAGTCGTGCCTCTGCGGCAGCATGTGCCCGAGCACGCCTCATCTGCTCCTCCAGAGGCCCTCCCTCGCTCGCAATCATTCTCGCAGCGTGCCTCCTCCAGTCAGCGCGTAAGCGCTGACGGAACCGATCGACCTCTTTCGCGAGCTCTTGCTGCTTCTCGATCCACGGCGGAACAATCTCCTGTCTCTGGATCATCTTGTTCATGAGATACTCAGTTGTATCCATGAACGCGTTGTTTGCATTATGGTCGACTTCGGTATTTATACCCTTGCCTCGTTTGATGTTCTTAAACTGCCCCCGCGCGATGGCATCTTCGATTCGTTCGTTGGCAAGCGACGCGAAGCCCTGGACGGACACGGGCATTGGTCGAGCACCTGGCGTGAATCTCTCGCGCAGCTCTTCCCGTATACTCTCGCGTTCTTTGTCTGTAAGTCCAGGGCTCTGGCTTAGATTGAAAATGGCGGTACGCTCTTTGGCTTCTGCGATCCGGACACCGGGCGAGAGTTTGCGCTTGGGGCTGATGCGGAAGTCGACGGGATTAGGCTGGGGGATTTTATAGGGAGTGCGGATTGGTTTCGGCTTCGCGTCATCTAACATTCGGAGAGTGATGTCGGGGAGTTCTTCTGCTCCAGACCAGGGCGTGGATCCGGCGATGTCTTGAGTTCCTTGTCCGGCGCTCTCCTATGAGCTAGTAAGCAATCATGCCAATATAAGCCCTGTAGCTCGATGAAAGACATACCGGCATATTTACAATCGAATAAGCAGCAGCATACTCATTCTTGAACGTACTCCCAGCAAGTCTCTCCTCGAGCTTTGCCTTTAGATCCTCCGAAAACCCCGCCTCCTGTATATTCTTGCGCGCGGATCGTCCTCCTTCCAGCAATGCGTCCTCTGTCATCTCTGAAAATCTCCGCGCCATAGCACTTTCATGCTGGGGCTCGTTTTGAGACGATGACCCATCTTTCTTCTCGTCGTTGCCATTCTGCTTCCGGACGTTCGATGTAGAGAAGCTCCTCGAGACGAAAGTCGATCGCTGTTGATGTACAGCTCCGCACCGAGCAGGGATCTTAGTTAAATTCAACACAGATGCATACTTCGCACCCATATCCATGATACTCCAACGAAAACAAAAACAGCAAGAATTCGCCTCTGTCAAGCACAATTTAATGACTTCAACTATGCTCTGAGCGGCGACATTTGTATAGACCGCTTATGTCAGCCGCCGACAAAGTCTTGGCATCTCCGAAGCCTTTCCGACGCTTTTGATGCGGATGCTTTTCTCCGGTTGTCTATAGTTGTTGTCCCTCAATTTATTTCTTTTTTCCCGTCGAGCCGGGCGATAACCGTCAAAATGCCTGCCAAGGGTGCCTCGACCCGTCTCAACCCCGTCCGTTTGCAGACCATCCCTCATCTCCGGGTCCGCCGTCCGAATCAACATGAGCAGAATCCCTGCGTGACCGTGATGTCCACGATGTTGAGTATGTCTCGAAATATAGCACCTGCTTGGTGGTTACGCTTTAAGAGGATATATTGCGTTAGATAGAATGGGGCTGACAGGCGACAATAGGCTGCTGGGCTTCGTCGGGGTTCGGTTCGGAGAACTGTGCGGCGATTGAAACGCAATTGAAGAAGTGCATGGATCAACCGGTGCGTATTACTGAACCTCTTGAACTATTTTATACTGAGTATATGCTAATTCTACTTGTTCTGGGAAAAACAGAAATCGCAGGGCGAGAAGAAGAACACCATCAACTACCACCTTATGAGAATGTACCCAAAGGTCGTTGGGCCCCAGAAGAGGGATGGCAAGCTTGGTTAAACGAATTCTTTTTGCTGGACTGCTCCCTGGCATGCATGGATATACAACGATGATTCTTGGCTAACCGGATGATGGTGAGGGAGAACGTTCTATTTTCGGAGTTTGGGTTTCCTCTTTTTTTTTTTTACGGTATAGCAACAGGTTATGCTCTATATTTGAGGGCATGTGAGTGACTGCCATATGCTGGTTTGTACATTATATGCGACATGTTTGAAAGGTTCAATTCATGATCTTGAAGAAGACATTGACTCCAGCGCCCTACAAAAAAATATAGTTCTAATGCCACAGGGGCATGAATCGCAGGACCAGTTTATCCCCCCTTGGCTTCACTGTGTAAGCATCCGTCGCTTCGATATTCTCATCGTCAATCACGACAGTGCTGAAATTGGTGTAAATGGCAGCAACAGCCAACTTCATTTCTGTAGACAATTGTCAGCATAATCATCACCTCGGGTCACAGCACAGAACAACCTACCCTGCAAAGCCAGATTACTCCCAACGCACATCCTTCCGCCGCTTCCAAAGGCCCAAAACCACCGTTTCATTTCCTCCAAATCAACGGATGAATTAGCATCATTGAGCCACCTCTTAGGCTCCCACGTTTCCGGCTCCGGGAACACTTCAGGGTTCCTGTGAAGTGAGTATGCCTGTGCGTTTACGCGTGTGTTGGGAGGTATATTGTCATATCCAGCCAGAGTACAGGATGGCAATGGTGTCACTCGAGGTTGAATTCCTGGGATCGGCGCATGAATACGCAGCGTTTCTGTGATGATTGCCTCAAGGAGAGGCAAGGAGTCGATAGATTTGGGCGATGGCAGCTCTGTGAATGTGGGAGGTCGAGGATACGTAATCCTAGGTTCTAGGGTCAGGAGCTCTTCACGGAACTCCTTTTGTAGATCAGGTCTCTTGCTGAGTTCCCAGAAGAGATATGTTAGGGCGACTGCGCTCGTCTCGAAGCCAGCTGTGAGTTGGTCATATAGCTCGGCTGCTATGTCGAAGCGTTGCTGCTTGGCGCTTTTTTCATGAGACTCTGGGTCGTATCTCCCGTCTGGTAGATGCTTCGCGATACTCTGCTTCAGCCGTTTGAAGACCACCGGCTCTTCTTCCAATTTGGTGGATCCGACAGTTTGGTCTGCCTTGTCACACAGGTCTAAGCACCAAGCATCAAGCCTTTCGTTCGCTTCGTCACACCAATTCGGTATCAAACAAACTCCAAGAGAACGCAACCAAGACACCAGGTTCGGGATCTCTTGGTAATAGAACTCATATGGCTTCCTGGAGAAATACAGGCCGAGAATCTTACGCCGGTAAGACTCGTCTTTGAGAAAGTTGGTACCATTTGTTAGACCAAATATGTACGCGGAAACGAAGTCCATTATCAGCGCCTGACCGGTCTCGTGCATGTCTATCGGGATGTTGGAGACTGCCGCTTCATGGACAAGAGGCAGAAAACGCTCAAACAGCATGGTCTCCGAGATCAGACGCATATGCGGCGACGACTGAAGGAACGACTTGCTATAGATATTTGACAGCATCCTCTTGCGGAATGAATGGTCTTTGTTTCGGGTCATGGTGAACATGCTGATGGTTCTATGGCGCCCATTAGCATCCACCGCCGTTGATACGGAGGAGTATTCTCCTTGTCTTACCCAAATGACCCAAACACTCTGGGGTACCATTCATGCTTCTCAAAAGCGCCGGTATAGACGGACTTGATACCACCATCGACGCAGTTGATTGAGATCTCTGCCGGTGCCAGTCTCACAATAGGGCCCAGTCGTTCGTGAGCTGCATGAATGGTCCGGTTATTCTGGCTTCTGAACCGCTTCCATAGGATCCACGCAGGCGTTATCGGGGAAGACCAGTGTGCATTTGGGATCTTTGACAATGGGGAGAGGAGGACGGGGTATATAATGCCTTTGTAGAAGAGTAGGGATACAGCAATAACTGCTATGACTGATATTGAGGAGAGTGCCATTTTTTACCTTAGATGGAACAATTTAGAACTGCCTTGTGGGGGGTATAGCAGTATTTCTATTGCTGAGTGTTGCTTTAGGTAACATTAATGTTCAGTCCCAGTGACTCCCCGCAGATAAGAGTGGATGACATTACCCATCATAGTAACGTATGAACTCTAACGGGAAACAACGATGTAACTCCTTGTCATGAATCTTGATTGGGTATAGCAATCAAGAAGTATAGAAAGCGAGATGATCGTGTTCCTTAAGCCCTGAGAAAATTCCCCGGAGATTCCGAGCCCCAGGCAATACATCTGTATTGTCGGTTTCAAGTAAGCTAACTAAATCGTAGTGGATATCACTCTAGACCTGTGTCGCTAGTATAGTTTAAAGACAATTTTTCATACTTCAGGAGAATCTTTAGCAACCCCCAAGTGCTCATGCTTTTCTGCTAGCGAGAGCACTGTGTCGGAATCCATCCCGAGCATTCGCAAAGCCACCCTTTTGCAGCAATAGCCTTACGATGTCTTATAGTATTTATATAGATCTCTAGTTTCTTTGCCGCACCCCTCCGTTTATCTCAGGCGCACGCGTGGAAAAGGATTCGGTGGATGTTTGGTTTAGGCTTCCACAGGCAGACAATCAGATGCACATTTTGCATAAACTTAGTATCATTTGAATTGATTGCTTGCTTTCTTCTTTGCTGCATCATTCTCGGCCTATACATCTTGACGAATCCCTTTCAAAACACGCTTCATCGCGGCCTCCGAAACCTCATGCGGACAGCTCGCCGTCAACTCCATCGATATTTATTGCACGATTTCGGAAACAGTCTGACGTATATATCTCTGAGCTGATTGACTCGGTTTCTCAAGGTGATCAAACAGATTTTTAGTTTCCAAGCTTTCGCGGAGAAGATGGTTCTTTTTGGTACTGTAGATTGTTGATCGACTGACATTGAATTCTTTGGCGAGCTCAATGGGTGATTTTTCTTTTTTCGAGGGCAGATATAATGGCAGCACTAATGACGGGGGTAAGCTCGTGGTTGGGGCTTCTGTCGGCGCTGGTTTCTGCGCCGAATGAGACCATATTGAAGAATATTAGCAATGGGGTGGTTGAAGGTGGTGTTTGGACGCGTCGCGAAGAAGTACTGTTACAAACTTATCTCCACTAATTTCGAATTAATGCCTTAGATATAAAAAAGACCTCAGGCAACAAGGGTTGACCCGCCGGGCGGTGGAGACCATTGGCTCGCCTAATCGCTTAGTGTCCCACACACAACTTCGTTGAAAGAGATCTTCTTCTCTCAACTTTTCTGCGACAACGACGACAATCGACAGACCTGCCACGCCGACAAGGTACGTTGAAATCCCTCGCTGCTTGGTACTGTTCGACTGGCGACATTCGTTTTACCGATTGCGATTTGCGAGCGAAGGAATTCGAATTCGTCACGAACGGCTGAATTGAGATACCGGGACAGATAGCTAACGGTTAAATTTTTCAAGATGGGTGCCCTCAAATATGTGGAAGAGATTCAGAAGAAGAAGCAGTCCGATGTGATTCGCTTTCTGCTGCGTGTCCGTTGCTGGGAGGTGAGAAGCCCTTCCCTAGTCCCCTAATCCTCGACCACTTAACATCCCGCCGGGTGCTCGTGTGCTATGCCATGGCTATCTCTTGATCTATTTTCATTCATTACGAATGAAAAGAACGGGGTTTTCTATTGGACGGCTTTATCAATCATTCCGAAAAGAGAGAACACGATACCGGCGGATAAATGTTAAAGTCCATGAAAAAACTGTGGCACACGAGTCCTGTGCGGGAGTGCTGGCTTGTTGTGTCTTGCTATACACTCGTTGAACTTTGCTGAGAGTGCATCAATATAGCTCCGTCAACTGAACGCTATCCACCGGGCTTCCCGTCCTTCTCGCCCCGACAAGGCTCGTCGTCTGGGCTACAAGGCCAAGCAGGGCTATGTTGTCTACCGTGCCCGTGTCCGCCGTGGTGGCCGTAAGAGGCCTGTGCCCAAGGGTGCCACCTACGGTATGTTTCCTTAGATGTCCAGAATTGGTAGCAGAAACTAATGGCCCTATAGGTAAGCCTACCAACATGGGTGTCAACCAGCTCAAGTACCAGCGCGCCCTCCGTGCCACCGCTGAGGAGCGTGTCGGCCGCCGCTGCGCCAACTTGCGTGTCCTGAACTCCTACTGGATCAACCAGGACTCCACCTACAAGTACTACGAGGTTATCCTCGTCGACCCCCAGCACAAGGCTATCCGCCGCGATGCCCGCATCAACTGGATCGCCAAGCCCGTCCACAAGGTTCGTTTCTCGCCAGGAAATTTGCTATCGAATGATACTGATACGTTATCTACAGCACCGCGAGGCTCGTGGTCTCACCTCGACCGGCAAGAAGTCCCGTGGTATCAACAAGGGCCACCTCTTCAACAACACCCGCTCCGGCCGCCGTCACACCTGGAAGCGCCAGAACACCCAGTCTTACTGGAGATACCGTTAAACTTGATCTGGCTGATCGAGGGAACGGTGGTTGGCGTTGGAAAAGCTTTGTTTTCGAGGGTGTGTTTCTATTCAAATCACAACTCGCTGCTATGATCATGTCATGTGGATATCAGGGTGCGAGCCTAATGCAACCATTCTTCTGAATCGGATGTTAGCCAAAAAAGAACAGGGATTCCAATTTTTCTCTATCTTGTTTTATTATAACGAAGTATGACGACTTTTCTTTTTCAGTTTGGTTTCTGTTGGATGCAACGTACAGAGTACGGAGTAGTATATCAAGGTCGGCCCGTAGAGCACCACGTGACCACGTCTGAAGCATTCCATAGCCCCCAGAGTCGGTCCCATGGGAACAAAAGAAGCATTGTCCAATCCCATAAATTTGAATCTAGAATTCTTGCCCCTGGATTGGCACAGTAGTATCACTGTCAATTGTCTACTAGTGACTGCCGCTTAACCCGTTCGGGCAGTGTTGCAGTTTCCACTTTCCGCTGGTTGCGGACTCGACTCCATCAATCATTTATCCATCTCTATTCATATCTTCTCTACTTCTCTTACTCTCTCCATGTGTGCTTCCGGATTCTTATCCTCTCACTGCCACCTAATTCTTTTTAGCAAGACTATACGATCTTTCATATTACGGTCATTCCTCTGGCAGGAATCGGTTATCGTCCACCTGATCTACAACTTGTCTGCCTTATAACCTGCAGAATTCCAGACACCCACTTCTTTTCTTCACCACTTTCATTACAATATACTACCAGCCTTCTGCATATACCCATCCTCCCGTACGACGACTCGATAGACATACCTACATCCCTTTGGTCCGGGCAGCAAATGCGTCCCGATGCCGTCGTCGTTCGCGCGTAATGTCACCACCCCCTCCAACCGTCTCCCCTCCTCATCGACTTCCTCTGCCACGAATCCTGCCATGAGTGCACCACGTGAGATAACTCAGGACATCCCTATTCTACCATCGTCTGCAGCAAACACCAGCCATGGCACAAGCCCGCTTGCTTCCCCGCCGCATCAACGAGGCCATTCCCGTTCGATAAGCCATCCCTTCAACCATAACCCCTTCTCGGGGTTAACCAAACGGCGCAACCAATCGATCTCGACAAAGGACTTTTTGGATTCTGACGACGATGACGAGGTTACCTTTACGCCGGTTCCGCTTTCTTCGAGTCCCCGGAAACCGCTGCCTCGTCCACCGCCTGGTGGGGGGGAGTTGATCACGGGAAGATGCATGACATGTAGTACGACAGTGCGGTGGCCGAATAACCTTAAGACGTTTCGGTGCACGGAATGTTTGATGGTGAATGACCTTGAGCCGTACAAGGAGTCGGGCGATGCTGGTCCTGGGAAGGATGGGAAACCGGCTGTTTCTAGGAAAGGTAAACTACGTTGTTATCTCACATCTTGGTTAATAGGCTGATCTGTTTCTCTATTTAGCACTTCCGTTGTCTAATGATCGAACGAAAGGCATCATCGACAACTGCGTCTCGAGTTATCTTCGGCGGATTCTGGAGCCTGAGGCGAGGGCACCTCCGATTGGGATTATGAACGGCAGACCTTTGTTCGATAGACGGCAGTCACCAAGTCGGGAACCTGGTCCAACTCGCCCCCGAGGACTCACTAGTAATGTGTCGGTAAAACCCAAGGATGGGACGCACGGATCTAGCTATCCAACCTCCTATCTGTCCCCATTCTCTAACCACGGGGACTCTCAACCACGAGGTCGTTCCAACTCAGATGTGCAAAGTACATCGAAACCAGATCGCTCGCGAGACGCCAAAGACCACATGAGCCACCCATCGATTTTTAAGCCACTCGAGGATTACATTATCACTTCGTTCAAAGGCTGCGACTGTCTAAACGCATCCTTTATCACATTGCCATCACAACCACCGCCATCACTTTCGCGGCCAATTGGTGAAAGCGGCTTCGCAAAGCCAGTTACCGATTCGAGCACTGTTCCAAATCCTCCCCAAGCTCAGACAGCGTTTGAGCCTGATGCAAAGACGCTTCTCGTTGGGGATTTGGCAGAGAATTCGTCTTGGTGGATGCATAATATTGCTCGAGCTAATGCACATTCGAAAGAGAAGTCCAGCCCGTATCGACTGGTTAGCTCCAGGACTCCTCGAATCAATTGGGCGGAAGTTTCACAATGGTACCACTTGATCATGACGGCCGGAATGTTATGGGTAGAGCAGTGGTCGGCAATGGAGCCGACGGAAACAGAGGACGATGTCTTGAGGAAGAAGAGGTGGGAATCCATGGATCTGGCCTTTGTCGAACGGGAAGTCTCGGAAGCACGATACCATCTGCAAAGGACCTTACTCAAGGCCACAGAGAATCTTCTTAAACGACCACGTCGACCATTGAAGAAGGCGGATGAGACCCGAGTCTTGCTCATACTTTTGGCCAATCCCCTGTTACACCCATCCACATCATCATCTGGGCCTACCTCCTACAGGGGTGAACGGAGACCGTCTAGCAGCAAAGATCCCCAAAGGCTAGGGTCTCCTGATCTGAAACAGTCTTCTAATGAAGACCCATCCAGGCATCGGAGCCGGGGCCCTGGTCAGCATTCAGGTATCGTAAAGCGGATATTGGGCTTGATGGCCAATCTACCCAATGATTGTCACCATTATTTGGTCTCATGGTTCTCACGTTTCTCGGTGGAACAGTTTGAGAAAATTGTCGAGCTCATAGGCAGTTTTGTCACATACCGCTTAACCCGTCAACACGGACGTAAGCGCAGTGAGTCTGTGAAGAACGATAACAACAGTTTGATCCCCAGCTTCTCCAGTCCCAATGGAAATACGCCAGCGGAACTGCACGCTGCAATCAATGGGAGAAACCAGAACAAGTCAGGAAACGATAAAAAAGACCAACCAATGCTGTATGGGGATGATTGGCAAATTCGAGTGGCAGCCCGGATTATGTCGTTACTGTTTACAGCGAACCACACGCATCGAAGGCCTGAAAATCAAGATGCGGATAGTGCAAGCAAAAATCAACCCAGTCGTCGTGGCCATATGATTCCCATCAGTTCATTCTACAATACACTACTGGACTACTCTGATTTGGTGGCAGACTTTGAGGCTTGGGAGACCAAAATGTCTAAGTTCTCGTTCTGCCAGTATCCGTTTTTCCTCAGCATCTGGGCTAAGATTCACATCATGGAGTATGATGCACGTCGCCAAATGGAGGTAAAAGCGCGCGAGGCCTTCTTTAATAGCATTTTGAGCCGAAAAGCCGTCAGTCAATTTCTAGTACTGAAGGTACGACGGGACTGTCTGGTAGAAGACAGTCTTCGCAGTGTCAGTGAGGTCGTATGGTCAGCTCAAGAGGAGGTGAAGAAGGGACTGCGGATTGAATTCATTGGTGAGGAAGGCGTGGATGCTGGAGGTCTCCGTAAGGAATGGTTTTTACTTTTGGTCCGGGAGGTGTTTGACCCTAACCATGGTACGCTTTTTGTTTGATATCTTTCCCTTGGGATATGTTGTCACTGACACGGTGATAGGGCTCTTCATTTATGATGAGGACTCCAAGTACTGCTACTTCAACCCGTGTTGCTTCGAATCGTCCGAGCAATTCTTCTTGGTCGGTGTGTTGCTGGGACTGGCCATCTACAACTCGACTATTCTGGATGTTCCCCTCCCGCCATTCGCTTTTAAGAGGCTTTTGGCAGGTGCCCCGCAACCAAGCGGAACAAACCCACCGCCGACTTCAACGCCATCCCGGTCCAGCTATAAGTGTACGTTAGATGATCTAGCAGAATATCGGCCAGCTCTGGCGAGGGGTCTTCGCTCTTTGTTGGATTTCGAAGGCGATGTGGCCGAGACGTTTTGCCACGACTTTGTCGCGCAGGTTGACCGCTACGGGGAAGCCGTCGAGGTCCCTCTCTGCCCTGGAGGCGAGAAGCGGCCGGTGACCAATGCGAATCGGCGGGAGTTTGTAGACCTCTACGTGCAGTATCTTCTTGACACCGCTGTGACTCGACAATTTCAGCCTTTCCGGCGCGGATTCTTTACGGTCTGCGGGGGAAATGCGCTCTCCCTCTTCCGGCCCGAGGAGATTGAACTTTTGGTGCGTGGGTCAGAAGAACCCTTAGATGTGACTTCACTTCGGGCTGTTGCCACATACGATAACTGGCCGGCAAAACAACCGGAATCAGAGCCAGTGGTGCAATGGTTTTGGGGATTTTTTGAACACACGCAACCGTCCGCGCAACGGAAACTCCTATCATTCATCACGGGCAGTGACCGAATCCCGGCGATGGGAGCGACAAGTTTAAACATCCGACTGGTGTGTCTGGGAGAAGATTCGGCCCGGTATCCGGTGGCACGAACATGTTTCAATATGCTGGGGTTGTACCGGTATTCCACGCGGGAGAAGCTGGAGCGGATACTGTGGGAAGCAGTAATTTACAGTGAGGGATTTGGACTGAAGTGATGTATTACTAGCCGACGATAGCGATGAGGGAATTACATTATTATTCAAAGTATGAAGTTGTATGATACGGCGCCCGGTTTGCATGGTTTTTGTTTTGCGATGTCTCTCGGGTCGGCCCTAATGCATGAATGCATGTAACTCGGGCGGGATGACGAATTATCGGCAATCCGAGACAAGGCGAAAGGTACGATGTATATTGCATTTGACGGTTCTATAATTCTACTCTCAGAAATAAACACATCATGCCATTCTTTTCAATTCCGGGGCTTTCCATTGTGGGGATCAATTGATCACATGAGGTTATTATCCCGTCTGTCTACTTGTTTGTGTATAGCGGCTCCGGAGTATAGAGCGCCGCGAATGGAGTATGGGTATACGATACAGAGTACAGCTTGTACACAGTACACAACACGGAGTACACGGAGTCATATCTTAGTATCGATGCAAGGAAAGTATCCAGTTGTTTCCATCGTGACTGGGGTTATAGTGATTATTTATAGGCTTTAGGCTCCCTACCTAGATTATATATCTTGTTCTTTGGATCGCAATAAACAATCAATTTTTCCGTTTCATCTAGCAATTTGTCTTTTGACAGGGACAATTGGCTAGCAAGTATGGCGGCGGATCTTCCTCGGACTATGAAGGCTCTCAAGTACGTTGTCTGCCCGCGTAGTTAGTCTTGGCCAGTACAGATGTGACTGACAGTTACAGGTACGAGAAGCCAGAAGTGCATAGTATAGTCGAAACTCCTCTCCCTTCGCTTCGTGAGAATGATATTTTGGTGTGTCTTTTTCTTCCAGAAATGTGTGGACACAGATAGGGCTAACAGTATGTTTGCACAGATCAAAGTCAAAGCCTGCGGCGTCTGCGGCACAGACCTGCACATCCACGAGGGTGAATTCATCGCCAAGTTCCCCGTGATCCCTGGTAATCCTTACCATTCCCTCTGCAAATTTCCCAAAGGGGACATTTTAACAAATGCGAACAGGCCACGAAACAGTCGGCGAAGTCGCCGCCCTCGGTCCCAACGTAACAAACTTCGAAATCGGAGACAGGGTTGTTGCTGATAATTCCGAGCTATGCGGCGTGTGCTTTTATTGCCGACGAGGAGAGGAGTTGTTCTGTGAGAAGTTCCAGGCGCATGGGGTTAATATAGATGGGGGGTTTGCGGAGTATTGTGCTTATCCTGGTAGGCCTCACTTCTGTCCCTGGGGGTTGGTCTGAGTGACAACTGACTGGGGACTGGCAGCTGCGCGGGTGTTCAAGTTCAAGAACTTGTCTGACGTTGATGCGACGTTGCTGGAACCTGCTTCTTGCGCGGCGCACGGATTGGATAAAATTGCGCCGAAGATGGGTTCGTCGGTGCTCTTGTTTGGAGCTGGACCAACTGGCCTGGTATGCCTCCCTTGCCCCTCTCCCCTCCTCTCTATAGTCGTAATAATGACCGAGATAAATAGATCCTCGCCCAACTTCTCCGCCTGAACGGCGGTTGCCGCGTCGTCGTCGCAGCCCCCGAAGGTCTGAAAATGGATCTGGCTAAATCACTTGACGCCGGAGACGAGTATATCGCGCTCTCACGCGAAAACCCTAGCGCGCAGTTCGAGCAGCTAAAAGCCAATAATCCGTATGGATTTGACATCGTGGTTGAGGCGACGGGGAGTGTTAAGATCCTTGAAGATGCGATTAACTATGTGCGGCGTGGTGGCAAGTTGGTTGTTTATGGGGTTTATAAGGAAAGTGAGGGGGTTGCTTGGAAGCCTAGTAAGATCTGTACGTTCTCTCCCCCCTTTTCGAGATTGGGTATGCTGATGAGGAAAGTTGGTGATGAAATCACGATCGTGGGCAGCTTCTCCGAGATGAACAAGTTCCCGGCGGCAATTGATTATTTGGATTCGGGGAAGGTCAAGGTGAAGGGGATTGTGAATAAGGTCTTCAAGATCGAAGAGTGGGAGGATTGTTTGGAGGCGATGAAGAATAAGAGTGCCATTAAGGCTGCGATTGTGTTTGATTAATTAGTCTGATTATTTAGTTGGGGTTAAGACACAGATCTCCGTTGATATCACCGTCTCCGTCTCCGTCTCCGTCCACTTCACTAGCACAGTACATCCGCCACCACCAATTAGACAAAATGGTCAAACCACTAACCTTCAAAGGCGATAAGCCCAAAAAGCGCAAGCACCGCACTGACGACTCCTCCATCTCCACGCCCAAACCCCCCAAAATCGCCAAAGACTCTGAACAAGCCGCCGAGGACGCGGAAGAAGACACAGAAGACCAAAGCTGGGTCTCAGCAGATACACCCTCTGACCTCGCCGGTCCGATTGTCCTCATTTTACCCTCTGAAAAGCCTACATGCGTCGCTAGCGACACGAATGGAAAGGTGTTTGCGAGTGAACTGGAGAATCTAATTGAGGGCAATCCGGCGACGGCGGAACCGCATGACGTGCGACAGGTCTGGGTCGCGACAAGAGTCGCAGGGACGGAGGGCTTTAGTTTCAAGGGACACCATGGGAAGTTCGTACTTTACTTGTCTACTCTTGAATATATGTGAAATGGGACTAACGAAGGCAGATACCTAAGCTGCGACACTCACGGCATCCCCAGCGCAACATCCTCCGCCATCTCCCACCGCGAATCCTTCCTCGTCATCCCCTCACCCGATCTCCCCGGTACATTCGCGCTGCAAACCCACGGTGGCGACAAAGAATCCTTTCTCTCAATTACCGAAAGCGACTCCGGACATAAGGGTGGTGGCATCGATATCCGCGGCGACACGACGACGCTCTCCTTCGAAACGACGATCCGCATCCGTATGCAGGCGCGTTTTAAGCCACGCATCAAAGCGAACAAGGAGAGTAAGGCGATGGAGAAGATTAGTCAGAAAGAGTTGGAGGGGATCGTGGGGAGGAGGTTGGAGGATTCGGATGTGAAAAGGTTGAGGAAGGCGAGGAAGGAAGGAAATTTTCATGAGGAGGTGTTGGATGTTCGGGTTAAGGGAAAGCACGATAAGTTTGCTTGATTGTCTTCCAGGGACATGCTGGTTTGGGAGGGTTTGCAGAGCTGTGTTAAACCCACCCCCTTTTCTTTTTTTTCTTTTTTTTTCCATCTACTGGCCAGGTCAGGCCAGACAGGACGACCGGGACAGGTCCCGTACAGAGCAAGGTTGCTCTGCCGACTACGATACCACACTAACTCGCATCGGCTTCGAGTCATTACATAAAAGAGCAACTTGAATACAACAAGATACATAACATTGCGAAGGGGTATCATAACACAACCAATAACTACAAATAGATCAGCATGAATAAACAAGGAGAGAAGACTAGTTCGTCCTCCGCTGCATATAATCCCGTTGAACCATGACATTTGTCACGGGTATAGGATGCGTCCCCGACGGCAGCACGCTCTTCTTGCACAACGGACATAAACTGCTATTCTGCGTCAGGAATGTGTCGATGCAATGTGCATCGAAGATATGCCCGCACGGCATTTCTCGTACAATCGACAGTCCGGGCTCGTAGTCATCTAGACAAATGGCGCATGTGGTCTGGGAATAGCTGAGTCGGTCTACGGAGGGTGTTGTTGATATTGGCTGATTTATTGTTGTAGTGGTTGTGTTGGCGGTGGTGGTAGTGGTGGTGGCAGGTTGTGGTCGTTGGACATGAGATCCATGATCTGCATCAATCTCATCTCTGTCTTCTGGTTCTTCTTCAATGGTAGTGATTGATCCATGGCCGTCGGTAAAGAACTTCGTGTGATGCGAGTGCATGTTGCCAGGTAAAAGCGCTTCTGGTGGCGCGTTGACATCAGGGAAGGTATATTTCGGGAGCTGGTCCACGATCTCTTGTGGAACTTTCATCTGGTTAAGACCAAGGGATTCAAGATCTGCATCGCCAGCTTCGATTCTTCGTCGCAGACGTCGTCGACGTCTTTTCTGCACGATTTGATAGCAGACCAGCAGGAGCATGCTAAGGACTAATATAGTGCCGAGGATAGCAAGGACAAAACCCCAAAGACTGGGCATCTTTTTACCATTTTTGGCTAGAAAGAAGCATGGTTGGACAACATATCAGCTGCCTATATCTCCCTTGCCGTTTTGTGTATCATTTGGAACGTGGCGGATACGACTTACCCAGGTCAATGAATGTAAAGAGTCGCACGTTTTCATGATGGTGCCGATGCGGTGCAACAGCACTATTGCCATTTTCGTGCGGAGAAGTAGAAGTTGCATCCCCCGAATACCAGGATAGTCTCTGCATCAGCGTCGCCCCATCCGGCCCCGGGATCGCATATACCGGAAATTCATTCCGGTCTTTCCATTCGTCGCTATCACCCAGAACCCACGTTGGATCGTCTGGCGGCGGAGGCTTTTCTTTATTGTCTTGAGCAGGCAAAAAAAATATCAACGCATCAGGTTCTTCATGCTGCGAAGCATTCAGAAATGAGTGGGTGCATTCAACGGATATCCATGGCGCCAAGGCGATGGAGTGATCTCCAAACGGCGAGACGTCTTCTTTCCGCGTGACATTGGGAGGGACAAATGGCGCAGCTATATCGTTACACGGATCATTGGGGTTGAGGCTGGGAACAAAGAGTAATCCTTGAATCGGGTCATTTTCCGGAGCGTTATGCGTGGATAGCGTCTGGACGTTGCCATTTAGCACAAGACGGAAATCCAGGCTACTCTGTAATGAGAGTTTTATTCGTTATGTTAGTCTTCGTCCACTACATGTTATAAAGTGAAATGAGATAATAAACTCACGTACATTAGTAGAGGGTGTTGTATTCGTCAACCCAGGGCCCGCAAAGAGCGTGGCCGCCGTGGTGAGGGAATCGGCAGCTGTATCCATTGTCAGTCTGCGATAAAGATATATCGATAAAGAGCCAGAGATAGATATTATAGTTATCCCCTAGCAGATGAAGGGATGGAATGACAGGCAAACCATGGCTTTCAGGGAAGGGTTCCATACACATAATGATCGAAACCACAACGAGGCAGCGAAACACACAAAATTGCCTGAATTCGCAGGAGTAACGAGAGAGTCAGAGTATTAAAGACTCTAGCTAGCAAGCCATGCCGCATCAATCTCCAACGGCGATAAGCTGAAACCCAGCATGACCACTGCTTCCATACCTAGAAACTCGGGAGGAATGCAACACCTTGAAAAGGAAGAACCGTCGAAGAAAGAAGAAGAGGAAGAAAGAGAATGCCTGGTGGACAGGACGCAACCGTCTCTGGACGTCACACGGATAGGGGAATCAAGCTGGCACGAAGCCCTTGTTCGCACCGCAAGGGGATCACACAATGCATGGTTGTGTCCGAAAGGAGAGTGCCGTTCGCAGAGGGAGCCAAAAGACTGACGTTTTCAGCATGCCACGGCTGAATCCGGTCGAGCATAGCAAGAAGAACAGTAGTATATGCCCCTGGATATGATATGATATGATATATTGCAATGCATGCAGTCCTAGCCGTATCAAACTCGCCGTACGGAGGTCTACAGGGGTTAGTATGGGTTTCTTCAGTGAGATTAGAGGCACTCAATATAGTCATACCACACTATCCTCACGAGGCCAGCTTCTAGATCTGCTATTCTTTATTGACAAATTCCCAGGGTTGTGTTGAAACAAACAAAGAAATGTACCCCATATTCACACCGTCACGTGATGTCACGTGCACTTATCACCAACTCCTCTCTTCCTCTTTGGGCCAACTTTGGCTTCGACCTCGAGTCGCATACACTCTCTGATCAAGTCCATCCTGTGCACAGCTGTAACCTGTACCTGTACTGGATGCTGCAGCTCTAATTTTTGACATCCTCCCTCATTCCTCCCTGAATAAGGGATATATTGCCTTCGCTCCCTGTTTCTACACCATGTGCCTGTGATCTCGACCGTTCCACAACACATCACTCCTTCATTAAAGCTCTTTGTTTCTCGACTCCACCCGTGCCTTCGAATTGCCTTCGGATAACTTTCCGTCCCTTTTCCCTCCCATCCGTAACCGACCCTCATAATGGCGCCCGCGACTAAAGGTAAAGGCAAAGGTCGCGAAGTTCGTCCTTCGCGAAGTCGCAACACTACCCCAAGCTCCAGTTTTAGCGCTGGCCCTACCGCATCGGTCCCTGCACCTAGCTATTACCTCGACAGCGACCTTTCCAAGTTACTCATACCTTCGTCGCAATATGCGGAGATCCTCGAGCGGATGGGTGGAGTCGGCCCCATCCCCGACTCCAAGTCGCTAGAATCCTTGGTGGAAGAACTCAAAAATCTCGCACAAATGGCCGACACTCGTGGAGATGTGTGCAATGCTGGTATTCGAGAACTGTCTCAGAAGCGAAAAGATGTGCCGGAAGAACCCGAATCGATGGATCGCGATACTGGAGAACGTACAAGGATGAAGCGTGAGGTGGATGAAGATGAGGATTTACCGATAAAAGGCGGGAAATTAAAGAAGCGAAAGGAGCGTGGAGGAAGTACTAAGGAAGAGCGCCCATTAAATCATGGTGCGCACGAGGTGACTCGGCAAGATGGTGCTGAGACGAAGATTGAAGGTGGTGAGTTTACCTTGTGTTTACATTTGTGTCCACTCTGCTATCCCTGCTCATCATATTGTCCTGGACTCTCTATTCAGACGCATTTTTATTCTCGAATTTCGTTCTATTATTTATACAAAATGCTAACCTTCTACTACAGCGGCTTCTCCGACCTCGAAGAAATCTAAAAATGCGGCTTCAGAAGGCTCCCCTCTTTCTCCTGCTTCACGAACATCCCCTGACAATGCTGCGACAACCACCACGGATGTCCCTGCGGAAGCTGGCTCGCCTGGCTCTGAGCATAGCGTAGAGTCACATCAACGCGAGCCGGCACCGACAGTCCCTCAGGTTCAGGTCTTCGGTTCAAATCCCATCAAATTCGACGATCCCACTATATACCATATCCGCGACGTAACACCTGAGATGCCAGATGATGCGAAGAAAGAGATATATTCGGTTGCTGTATTCCCACGGAGTGATTTGAGCCATCTGATGGCTGGTACCCCGCCGGATAAGGATTTCAGCAATGCTAAGCCTGCCAACCAAGTCAGCGCGAACACCTTCCAGGCGTATATAGAACCTTTTGTGCGCCCACTGATGGAAGAGGATATTGCTTGGCTCAAGGAGAAGGTAATCAGCTTGTCCTGCTTTTGCGCACATTTGAGGCTAACAATCAAACAGGGTGACCGTGTCACTCCGTTTATCATGCCCCCACGTGGAAAGAAGCACTATAAGGATATTTGGTCCGAAGAAGATGGATCGATGAACATCGACAGGACCAATGGCGATAGCCTCCCGCTGAACCAGGGCCGTGGCAGCATCGACCAAGTTACAGATGAGACTGCGGAAACCGACCAGGTATCAGTTGGCCCTATGGTCAGCCGTCTTTATTCCCTTCTACGACATGAGCATCGTGCTCCCGCCGAAGAAAATCTTACAAATGGCACCGTCAACGGGGAGCCCTCCACCAATGGCGCGCTGAATGGTGGCGATTCAATGGAGCTCGATAACCCAGCCCCTGAACAATCAGAAAACAAACCCTTACCCTCCGCAACCTCCTTCCCTGATGCATCACCTACAGGCTTCAAAGTCCCCGCAGCAAAACTAGACCACGCCCAGCTCGACGAACGCCTCAAAGCAGAACTACGCCATGTAGGCTTCATCGGCCCCGATGACAACCCCGACTACGACGCCCACTACGACGACGACATAGCCCAACGCCTCCGCCTCCTCCAGTCCGAACTCAAAAAACAAATCACAATCAACAACGCCCGCAAAGCCCGCATCCTCGACATCGCCCGCGAACGCATGGCCCACCAAGAATACACAACCATCCACGACGACCTCGACACCCAAGTCCAGCAAGCATACCTCAAGCGCAGCCGCACACTCGGCAAGAGCAAAAAGGGCTCTCAGGCCAAGAACCGGCCTGGTGCCGGTGGCGCGCACATCGGCGCCGCGCGTCCTGCAATCGGCGACGCTGCGCGGACACTTATGGATCGGAGAAAGCGGTGGGAGGATTGTATTGGGCCTGTTTTCCAGGATTGTAAGACGAGTGTTCCTGGGAAGGGGGAGACTGTTTTCGAGCCGGGGGTTATGGCGGAGTTTGAGAAGGCGGAGATTGAGGGGTGGGATGAGGAGCAGGAATAGTTGGGTTACATCTCTTTGTATATTTGCCTTTTTTTCGTGTACAGATTTTTTTCCCTTTACTTTGACGATGGATATGATAAACGGAGTATACAAGACGGGAATGGATTGGCGATGGCGTTGGTGGTTATCTCTCTTAAATACCATACTTTATACGGTTTATACACTCAGGCAATACAAACCATCTATTCAAAAGAATCAGGGTATCTCAATAACTACATAAAACTACCGATGTATAACCAACACCTCCCCAGGATACCTCTTCAACCTCGCCATCAACACCTTCTCACTAACCTCCAGCTCCGTACAAATTTGATCAAAACAATGCATCCCATCCAAATATCTCGATAAACTCTTATCGTCGATAAAATCTTCCTCCTCTTCACCGTCCTCGTATGTGAAACTCCGATTCCCCTGCGCAGAAGTCCCGTATTGGTACTCGTCGCTTCGTCGGCTGATGAGGGGTTCGCTATCGCCTGCACTCGTGGCATAAATACTAGGTGTGTTCGCGCCTGTTCCTGGGCCTCGAGATGAGAAGCCGCTATTGGAGCCTGTGCCGGGGGGATGGTGGTGGTGGTTATGGTGATGAGAGTGTTTCGGGAACCCAGTCGCATACGCGTATTTATGGACACGGTACAAGAAACCCTTGATGATTCCGAATGTGATGAAGCGCCGGATATCGATGTATGCTAGTTGCCGGCTGTACTGTGCGTACCACTGTTTAACACTCTGGCCTTGTTTTAGGCTCGCGTAGAGCTCGACGATAGTGACGCCGTCAACGACTTGGTGCAGTTGTAACCTGTTTATTGCGCTTTCTGTTGCAGTAGATGGGTCGTTGGGATCGTTGGGCGATTGCGCGTCGTCGCCCATGGGTGGCCAGACTTCATCGTAGTCGAAGAATCGTCCGCCGCCGGTGGTGATGACTGTGCCTGTTGCACTGGCTGTGGTGTCTGAGCTGCTTGGCCGTCCAGTGATGTCGCTGCGAGCGCTGGACCAGGGGGCTGCGGGTGCTTGGCCTGGTGCTGTTGGGGAGGGTGCTAATTGTGGTGCGAAGAGAGTGTTCACGTAGCGAGCGCATTCGCGCTGCATGTTCTCGTCGGAGCCAATACTGGAGCTGAACTGTGCCGTCGGGGCGTAGATAGCGGAGAATGTAAAGATATCGAGGAGTAAGAGACAACCGTAGTAAAGTAGGTGTTTGATTGCGCGACAGGTTAGGGAGAAGTCTGTGTCGGCGAGGATGGAAATGATGCGGACACTGTTGACGCCATTGATGTAGGGGACGACCTGGGTTGTCAGCTCTGTTCATTGATAAGAGTGTATAGTACATACTCGCTGCATGGTAAGATCCCAATTCTCGTCCATGAACGCTTGATACCGTACGGTGAACAGGGGGACCTGCCATGCCTTGACTGGCGGAGGGGCAGGATAAACCGGGAACAATTTGATGTTCAACGTATTTAAATCATCTGTATTGCATCCGTTAGCAACAACCAAACCAAGAAAGCCGGGGCACATACCAATCGGAATCATACTCTCACAATAATTATTCAAATCCTCCATCAAAGTTTCACAAAGACTATACACCTTCCCCTCCCCACTCCTCGAATGATCTCTCGATAAGAACCCACTCTGCTCTTCCAATTCCCGCATCAAATCCGCCAATTTCTGCACCACGCTCTTGTACGTGCTAAAATCCCCCTCCTCCGCCAGCACCACACAGAAGTTGAAGATGAACTCATTGCGGTCGTATCGCTGCGACTTGATACAGATCGGATAGCCGAGAATGCGGTGACCGTTCGTGCAGACTTGAATCAAGTTACCGCAGAGTTCCTGGCGTGGGATCACGAAGAATGAGATATCGGAGAAGGTCAGGAAGAGGGGTTGTGAGGGTGCGTCGGCAGAGGGTACAATGGCGCCGTCGGGGACTTGGTGGACGACTTTAGGACCTGTAGGGGTCAGTGGAATTGTAACTTTAAGAATTATGGATTGACTTGCCCTCCTGGGTATCGAATTTGCTGTAGAAAATGGCTTTGATCATGGTGCGAGATCGAGCTCAAGACCTGTTATCGTTCCAGCGCAAGCTATGGAAATAATTTCAATATTAATTTCATGGTCGCCGGCCCAGCAGGACCATTCTCACTTCATTATGACATTTGTAACGCTCATTGCGCGAGGTTCTGTAACGAGAAGAAGTTGGTAGGAGTTGCGGGAGATATGCGGGGAGGAGCTCCCAGGCGGAGAATCAGTACGGAGATAAGCTATGGTAATGGAACTATGCTTAATTGTATACTGGCGATAGGTTAACAAAAGGAATTAATCAACACTCTCAACAGCATTCTATGCGGTGTTAAAAGTATTGAGCTATAACTATATCACGATAGATCTGAAGATAAAACGAGATGGCCAAACCAAACAAAGAATCGAGAAAGAAGGGGTATTTGTAGGACAGCAATATGCTCAAGGAACGCAAAGAGCCACACAGGTATCCGCAGCCAGAGACCGGGTTTGTTAAAATGCAGCAAGGAACGCCGAAATGGATCTCATACTAAGAGATTGTAAGAAGCAAAGAAAAGAAGGAAAGCACCCCCATATCAAATGACGGCTAGAGAACAGGCGCTGCCTGTTGAATCGGGATAAAAGAGAGATTAGGTTGGGAAAGTAGGAGAGGAGTGGTTGTCGGTATCCAGACTCTACCGCGCTCGGGGGTGCACGGAGGTACGTCGAAGGGTTGACCGATCTGATGGATCTGAAAGGATATAAGATCCCGGATATGGAGATGATGTCGAGGAAACACCGGTCCGATTAGGATGGGCCAACGGGGAATGAGGGAGGTAAGTCACAAATCTCAGTGGTTGATTTGCTCGAATCGCGTTGATCATGTTGGCGTAGCTACCGCGCTCACCGGCTTCTTTCAGCCATTGCTCCCAGTCTTCATCGAGCGGAACATTAACACCTTGTTCTCGCGCTGCCGTCGCTGCCATAAGACGATGGTTCAATTCGACGCCACAACTTTCCATCTCCTCGTCGCTGGATTCATCCTCTGACACATTATGCGACACAGGACAATCCACCCCTCGATCGTCAATCACACCGATGGTCTCAGTATCGGTGATGATAACGTCACTTTGGGATTCGGTAATCGACTCAGTGTCCGTGACGGATTCAGCATCGTCTTCGTAATGGACTTCGATGGATGGAAGGGGGCGAGGTGATGCAGGGCGAATACCGTTGGCTGTGGTGTCTTGAACCTTAACCCCTGCTTCCTTCTCGTAACGCTCGCGCGCGGATTTGGTGCCCTCCCAGCGACAGAGAGAAGAGATCTCAGCTTCTGTCAGACGAAGCTCGTCGAAAGTCCGGAACAATCTGCGATGCCAGGGAAATCGACCCAGGCGCATGCGATGGGGGCCATATGAATAATCCAACCCCGGGTACTGGGCCTCAATGCAGTCCAACGAGCCGTAGAAAGTGGATGTTTCGATACGGACTTCGGGAACTAGGTTGCGAGTAATGTGCGCCGACCATGAAGACGGATCACTGGTACGAGGACGAGGGAAGATCGCGTTGTAGACGATCTGGCCAAGGGATGGTTTATGCATGCTGGACAGGGCGGAGACCGAGAGGGGAAGAGAGTAGAGATGAACGAGGGAAGGAGCGAATTCAAAAGAAACGGAGAGAATATATGAAGAAGTATTTAGAGAAACAGTACTCCAGAGAAGGCAACCCAGGCCTTTCTGAAGAGAGAAAGAGTGATGGTTAAGGAAGAGGGATGCGGGAAAGGGGAGAACGACCGGTAAGTCAAATCTGGGGAAGTCAGCGGGAGACAACCACAAAGACGATCTCAAGAGAATTATTATAGACGGGACGAATGTATAGGAAGAAAAAGAAATAATGCCAATAGCCCAGGAAAAGGAATATATAAAAAATATGTAAAAAAATAAAAAACCGCTGAGGTGACAAGAAGAGTGAAGCCTCGGCCACTGAATGGCAGCTGAACGACTCGCGATGAAGCACTGGCGAAACACCCGGACCTGTTATATATATTTATAGTTGAAATTCAATATTCGCAACGTCAATGGTTATTCAAATTTGCGAGACCGACGTGGTCGCTTTCATACAGGCGCAAGAGAGAGATCTCACAGGTTCATCGCATGGGGTTCAAGCTGGTTCCTGATGCGAATCGCCAATCTGAAAGCGAAAAGAAACACGACAGAAGGGCAGAAGGACAGATATGGATATTCTAGATGGGATTTATTCAATATATAGCGCAGGATGAGTCGGATGCCGGCCAGCGCATCCCTCACAGCCAGCATGTAAAAAAAGGATAGATGAAAAATCCCACGTCTGCGAATGATGATTGCCGAATGTCTTGTCCTATCAAATAATCCAATGCCTCCGATTCGCGCAGAATGAATATTGGCGGTCCAGCCGCGCCCCCAACTGGCTCTAAAAGTCCTCCGGTTCAGCGCTGGCCGGCGGGTCTAGCGCATGGCCACTTGGTCGTCCGGGCCAGCTGGAAAAAAGATGTGAAAAGTGCCATTTCCACTTGTGGATGCCAGCATGGCCCGGGAGGGTCTGAAGTGCGAGGAGGCAAGAAAAAAGTGAGCTGTGTTGGTCAGAATGAAAGCCCCAGTCGGATCCTCCGCCCAGAAAAAACTTCGTACTTGTTAGTTGTCAATGAAAATGGTCTGGTTCACCGTTTAATTGTCATCGAGTAAAGTAGAGCAATAAACTTGTAGCTTGCGGTGAGATCGGCATGTTTGCTTCTCCTCAAGAGACGGTATGTATGTAGCTTTCTGACCTGTCTACAGCTAAGAATCCCCAAAGAGGAAACTTTGAAGCTTTCCCGAGTGATCACGTGCCATGTCATCCGCTCTCACCTTTTTCCTGAGCCCCATCGTCGTTCATAGTTCATCATACCTGTAAAGAATATGGTCAGATTTTACTACCAGCTAGGGCCATGTCCTGTTAGACATCTCAGTCACAACGATGTCAACGTTTGATGGCATCGTTCAAGGTAAGAGCCATGCTACAAGTTAATGGATTCGAGACTGACCTCTATAGAATTCCCTTATATACAAAGTGAGCTCTACTTCCATATAAAAGTTGAACGAAGCTGAGCAACCAGTCGACTATTTTCGCAAGAATCAAGACAGGCCATCACCACTTGCCTGCTTCCTTAGCCATGTACACAGCGGCCATCTTCAGGGTCTGGAGTCCTTCCGGACTCCTTTCATCTATTGCTCTGCAGCTAGAGAGAAGTATGTTTGTATATTGGAATTTTTATCTTGCAGTTCTAATACAGAACAGCTGCTCCTGAGCATCGAAAAATATCCCCACCGTATGGATTTCAACAAAGGCATCCTAGAATCCAGGAGACTGCATTACAAGCATCTGTACAAACTTATTGTTAGTTTCCTCATAGTATGGGATGAAATGCGTCACTAAAAAAAAGCAGAGAGCAATCCCGCTGGATACACCAACAGAAATCGAATTCACCCCACGGTTGTCAATCCGCGTCACCCTCTTTGATGCAAACCACTGTGCAGGCGCTGTAATGTTTCTCATCGAGGGCGATGGAAAAGATATACTCTATACCGGTGATATACGTTTTATGCAATCCTATCCTTGAATAAGATAGGTAGCTAATCAGGATAGCGGAATCATGGTGGGTCAACTGTCTTGTCCGGAACCCAATCCTGCTCCCATACGCTTTAGGCGGAAAGCGTTTGGACAAGATATACCTCGATACTACCTATGCTCGTGCAGAGAACTTCCATAAACACTTTTCATCCAAAGCTGAGGGATTGACAGAACTTCTGCAGAAGATCAGTCTCTATCCGGAGGACACCACCTTTTACTTCCGAGCGTGGACATTTGGCTACGAAGAAGTGTGGGTGGCACTCAGCGCGGGGCTAAATGCCAGAGTATGTAAGATATCTACTGTGAAGTGGACTCTAACTAATGAAAAAGATCCACGTGGATCGATACCAACTAGGACTATTGATCCGTGAGCCTTGCCCGAGGTGGCAACGAGATATCAGCTCTGCGGTTTCGAACTTGAAAACAGGTCCGTTCCAGGGTGTCTTACTGACGACGAAAACTCGCGGATCCACAGCTGCGAGAGTGACTTGCCCTGTCTATCGCCAGGTCTGAGAAAACGGTCTACATAGAGCCAATCGTCGGCCGCTTGCAGGATGGCTCACAGTTGCCTGAGGTTGGGATTGGCGGTGCGCAGGCGATCTCTATCAAGTGCATGAACTTAAGCTACCCGATCAGGCGTCGGTTAGAAGGTTTGGAAAAGCTATGTATCGAACGAATCCATGATAGTCAAGTGCTATCTCAGACTAGAGATGCTCTATTCGAGGCCTTTCGGTCAAAAAGCAAGTCACTCTCACTGGATAGCTATGGAATGAAAGACGATACGGATATCCCTCTCGAAAAGCTGATTAATATTTTGTCTCGTGGCCACAGGGACACACGCTCGTCTGCAGACGTGAAAGACAAAGCAGGCAACCAGCTTCCAAACATCATAGTGAGTGTTGTCATTCCGCTCCCTTGCATTTTTCGCCAGCTAACCGATACAGCAATTCCCTTCCTCCTGCCATTCATTGTATAACGAACTATGCGAGCTGGTCTCTGCATTGATAACCAAAGATATCTACCCGTGCACAATTGATATTCTCACCTGGGACGAAAGCAGCTCGATCCGGGCCCTTTTCAGGCACCTCTGTTCTGGTGATTACTTCTCTCATAACACTCACATGCGGGAGACAATCGCAAATGACGAGGACCCACTCCATTTGAGAAAAAGAGCACGCTATAATGAAGGATCATCGCCTCAAACAAGTCAACATTCTAGCTTCGCGGATAACGATTTCGACCTTGGCAATTCACTTGCCAGCACCCAGACACACGTCAAAAGACCAAAGTCGTCAACTTTCCTAACCAAATACATCACCAAAGACTTCTCATCTTCGTCGTCTTCGGGAAATCTTCTTCCCTCGTCTATGGAAACGATCCACGAAACTTATGTTAACACCAATACCAATCCAGGCGAACCCCTCACCGTCCCTGAACCAACCCCCGAATCTGAACGAGCCAGGCGCAATGAAATTTGGCGCGCTTGATCCTTCCTACGCGCCAATATGCCAGCCACATCACACCTCGGTTCACTTCCATCCTCATGGCCAGCAGAGGAAGACGGTGCTCTGCAAAGCAAGAACAAAAACACAAACGAGAACGAAAACAACATGAAGATGGAAACACGTCTTCCACCATCAACCGCTCCATCTCCATCTCTGTCTATATCTCCTTCATCTCATAACCCAAACCCAGACACCATTGAAATCGACACCAATACCATCCATCAAACCGAAAGCCAACAAACAAACACCCTCTCCATCCCAGAATCCGCGTTTACATTATTCTCTTCCCAGGATCTAGAACAGGAGGAATCGTCCACTTCACACAGGCGTAGTCGCAAGGCGGCGTATCTAGCAGCACGGGCGGATACATATGAAGCCTGGAGTTTCGTGTCGCTTGTTTCGGCGGGGAATAATCATACTGAGCCGGAGATTGAGTTATGACTCCACTACTTCATGAGATATGATAAATATAACCTAGATAATGGCTATGGTAATGGCCATAATAAACGTTATATTCGTCAACTCATGATAACATCTGTACTGTACAGTAATCAGACCACTATACCACATATACTCCATAACCTGCAGAAACCAGGGATCAGGGGGTACAAACCCCAGTATACCCATATTATATAACCCATCCAAAAAGAACAAACACCTTTTCTCTTTCTCTTCATCCATCAATCAGCTTAGTAAACATAAAAGTCCTGACTCAACGGCAAACTCTCCGCCGGCTCTGCAACACACGGCACCCCATCAGCCTTCACAACATAACTCTCAGGATCAACATGCATCTTCGGCATAGTGTCATTGAACTTCATGTCGTGTTTGCCGATGGTGCGGCAATTTTTGACTGCTTCGATGCGCTTGCGGATGCGGTAGGATTGCACGGTGTTGGTGTCGATGGAGGCTTGGGAGACGAAGATTATGGAGGTGCTGGGAAGGAAGGACTGCATACATTTTGTTGTTAGATGGGGTTAGGATTTGTTGGAAAGGGGAAGGGGAGGGGGAGGGACTTACGGCGAATTGGGAACGCATGATGATGGGTTCGATGGTGGGGATTGAGGCGTTGGGGTCACCCTGTATGTCGAATTTAACGCCCATTACAGATACCAGAAAGGAAGGGAAAGGTATACCATCATAGAAGCAGCAATCATCCCGCTCTTAAGAATCTGCAGAGGCTTCGTCCCAAACGAGCTCGGACTCCAGAGCACCAGATCCGCAATCTTACCTACCTCCACACTTCCAATAACATGCGACATACCCTGCGCAATCGCCGGGTTAATCGTATACTTGCTAACATAACGCTTCACGCGGAAGTTATCCGCCTCCGTTCCCTCATCTTCCGCCAATTGTCCGCGTTGCGCTTTATTCTTGTGTGCTGTTTGCCAGGTGCGCAGGATGACTTCACCGCAACGGCCCATGGCCTGTGAGTCGGAGGACATCATGCTGATGGCTCCCAGATCGTGCAGGACGTCTTCGGCAGCGATGGTTTCAGCGCGGATGCGCGATTCCGCGAATGCCACGTCCTCGGGGATATTCTTAGACAGGTGGTGGCAGACCATGAGCATGTCGAGGTGTTCGTCGAGGGTGTTCATTGTGAATGGACGGGTGGGGTTGGTGCTACTGGGGAGGACGTTGTCGTGTTCCACGACGGAGATGATGTCTGGTGCGTGTCCACCGCCAGCACCTTCGGTGTGGTAGGTGTGGATGACGCGGTTCTTGAAGGCCTTCACCGTCTCTTCGACAAAGCCGGATTCGTTGAGCGTGTCGGTGTGGATCATGCATTGCACGTCGTACTCGTCGCAGACTTCAAGACAAGTGTCGATGGCTGCTGGCGTGGAGCCCCAGTCTTCGTGGAGTTTGAGGCCGGCTGCACCGGCGCGGATCTGTTCTTCGATACTTGTTCGGCCGCTGTCGTTTCCTTTACCGGTGATGCCGATGTTGACAGGGAGGCAGTCGGTAGCTTCGATCATCTGGCGCAGGTGTGTTGAGCCTGGTGTGCAGGTTGTCGCGTTCGAGCCGGTGGATGGGCCAGTGCCACCACCCAGAAATGTGGTGATACCAGATGCAAGTGCTTCGTTCGCTTGCTGAGGGCAAATGAAATGGATATGCGTGTCGATACCTCCAGCCGTCACAATCTTGTTCTCTCCAGCGATCACATCCGTCGAAGCACCCACGACCATCTCCGGATGAACGCCATCCATAATGTCCGGGTTACCAGCCTTGCCAAGTCCAACGATAAACCCATTCTTAATCCCAATGTCAGCCTTGTAGATCCCCGTCCAGTCCACGATCAAAGCGTTCGTAACAACCGTATCCAAACACTCCTTTTCTGACCGCGCAGAAGCCTGTCCCATACCCTCTCGCAGCGTCTTACCACCACCGAATGAGCACTCCTCGCCATATGCCGTGAAATCCTTCTCAACCTTGATCCAAAGGTTCGTCAACCCCAATCGCACCAAGTCACCAGCCGTAGGGCCAAACATCCGCGCATAAGCCTCCCGTTCCATCATACAAGGTGTCGCAATCAGCGCATTATCTGCCTCAGGTTCAGGCGCATGCGCAAACCCAGCTTCTTGCAGCTTTGTTACAATCTCATCCGCACGAGTCAAGTCAACAGTACCATTAGCGAGGAAGTTACCCCCGCGAATAATCCGGTGTCCACCAATTTCCACCAGCGTAACTGTCTTAGTATCTCCAGGCTCGAACCGCACAGACGTCCCAGCAGGAATATCAAGTCGATACCCATACGCCCTGATCCGATCAAAGTGCAATTGCGGATTGACTTCCACAAAATGGTAATGTGATCCAACCTGCACAGGCCGATCACCCTTACTCATAACCTTAAGCCTTATCCTCCTCCGTTCCTCATTTAGGACAACCCCCATACTCTTCACCGGAATCACAGCACCAGGCATTTTCTCAGGTAGATAGTCTTCTGGATCGGGATCGGGAAATGTATCCGCCGGCGGGACGGGCAGAAAGCTTCCGTACAGCGCTTTCTCGAGATCTCCGTCATCGCTGCTAACCGGGTTGTGCACGGTTACGAGGTATGTGCCGGTAGGGAAGGTGCCTTCGACTTGGAGCTCGACGAGGGTGGATGTTACGGAGGGGAGGACGTGGCGGCGACCTAGCATGGTCTTGCCGATGGACATGAGGTCTGCGACGGAGTAGATGCCATCGCGAATGAGCTAATCAATTAGTTTCTTCTCTTTCGCGCGTAGAAAATCAAAATGGGATGGGTTGTACCTCTTGTAGATTAGACGAAATCAAAGCCTACTTGCGCGTACTACTTAGCACCGATTTCGGAGGGATAGAAAAGATATTCACATACCACCGCTTCGGCATGATTGAGACGAATCCCACGTGCAAGACGGCGTTGGGCCAGAAATCCCAGATGGGAAATGGTGAGTTTGTCCAGCTATCATTACATCAGTATAAACATGTTGATATGAGAATGTATAAGTACAAACCTCTTTTGGGATGAGGTGCATCCTTGGCTGGCGTCACGTGGGGTACTCTGCACAGTGAATGCACTCCACAATGTATATGCACGGGGTTAGTGGTATGTATAAAAAGAGACGGTTAGAGAGACAAATAAGCTATTATTTACAAGGATATATACAGCGGACACGGTCTTATATACATACTACTAGTACTAAACTGAAGAATCCACGAGAAAAAAAAAGGCTCCACCGAATTTGGCCGATGCGAATTGATAAGAACCTCATCGCCGTTAGTCATTGATAAGAGTTACCTGTTTCCTTTTTGGGACAGGCATCATCAACTTTTGGATTCACTGCAAACTACTACTAGTAACCAGTACTACTTGCGCCCAGAAACTCCCGCGAGACAAATAATACAAGATGTTGATAAGCAAAAGTACATCCAAGCACCCACTAACCAAAGATTCAATATATCATTGGCTAAATTACTCGTCGCCGGCATCGCTCTTTCTCTTCTTCCGAGGACGCTTGGTCTCGGTAGTCTTGCGAGTAGAAGCAGGTGCAGGCGCCTCTTGCTCCTTTTCCTTGCGAGCACTGGTGCGCTTCTTCTTCTCGGGAGACTTGGCCGCAGCGGGAGACTCCTCGACCGCCTTGGTGGTCTTGGCAGCATCGCTACGACGACGCTGCTTGCTACTGCGCGGAGGCGACGGCTCTTTGCGGGGCTCAGGAGTAGGAGAAGCCTCGGGCTCAGCCTCAGACTCAGGAGAGGCTTCCTCTTCGTCCTCTTCGTTCTCTTCCTCGTCATCGGATCCAGCCTGAGATGGCTCGGCAGTGGCCTCCTGCTGCAATTGGGAACTGGCCGCTTGATCATGCTCGTGGGCTTTTTGCTCCTTCTGAGCCTTGTACTCGTCCATTTGTTGGCGGTACTTCTCGAGGTTCTCTAGATAAATTTTCTTCCAGACCTGCGTGCGATCAATTAGCATCATCCTTAATGGTTTAGATCCAGCCAAGAACATACAGCTTTCTCGACGTCAGTCATGTTCCCCCAACGACGAGTACCCTCTTCAGCAACGTCCTTGGGCTTAACATTGTCATCGCCAAGCTCCTTCTGGATCTGCGGCCGGTTGTGCTGCATGTACAAGAAGTACGGGGTCAGAGCCCGTTTAGGGGCGTTAGGGTCGTGGTTGCGCTTGCGCTTCTTTTTGTCGCCGCCGGCCTCGGACTTAGCGCCGGGGCTGGAGGGACGAGTGAGCAGACCATTCTGGTACAGGGCGTTGGTGATGCCGCTGTTGATGATACCCAGGTCGAAATCCTCGGGCTTGCGACCTAAGACAGCGTTGGAGTGGTTGATGTAGGCGCGCGACAAGTCCGCGACTGCTGAGCTCAGTTGCGTAAGGCTAACGAGGACCTATTTGGCGGTGTTAGTTATGGTGGATTATGACGGAGACAGTGGGTCCGGCGATACATGAAGTCGCGACACGAAGCGCGCGAGCTGAACATAGCCAAATACAGAAAAGAAAGAATAAAGAATGCGTTCGCGATGATAAACATAAAAAGGAAAGACAGCAAGCGAGAAGCACGATATGCCGTATGTACACAGTCCATAACTAAACGCAGGTAAAGTCACTGGGCGATCTTCCGCCCAAAGAAGGCTTTGTTTACTGGGGGCAACACGCGAGAAAAGATCTTGTTTCACCCAAAAAACCAGAAATAAAAGACGACTCAAAAGAAAATAAAAGAAAAACTTACACTGTCGCGAGATCTGGTGAACTCGTCAACGTTGACTGTCACAGTGCCATCCTTAGCCTTGTTATCCTCCTTGGGGGCCATTTTGGGGGTTGTTTAACGAAAGGGTAGCGAGGTGGAAGAGGGAAAAAAGAAGAGGGAGAAGAAATTTTCGGGACTTATTGGTCTTTTAGGGGGCGGCCGCTAAACTGCCGCTAGGGTGCTGGTGGATTTGGGGGCGGTCGGCCTGAGCTCCGGGCATTCTTTGATTAAGCTGGTTTAGGACCTGTCCAGCCACCGGGTTTTTCGGGGCAGTTCATACCTAGCTTTAGGCGAGCTCCCACTAATGCTCATCACTGTTTTCCAGCCAAAATTGCACCCAAGTTCAATCTCTTAGGCTCTAGTAACCATTAATCAATTGCATACTATGTCGAATAAAAAGGATATTGCTCGTCAATCACTATGCTAAAAAGGCCTTCAATCATTAACAATATCATTACTGCTTCGTTGTCTCGTCTTATTTTTACTGGGTCGCCTGTTCATGCTGCTGTGTTAACAAAATATATATCTGCGCTTAAGACCCGCAGGACCATTTATAACTATAGCAATTAAGTCTTTTAGCAACCAAAAAAAAAAAAAAAACAAAAATAAATAAATAAATAAAAATAAAAATAAAGACCAGCAAGCAGGTACAAATGTACTTGTATTATCGCTCAAGATATACAGCTCTACTCATAATGTACATAGGATCCCATGCGCCACCAGCCCATCCGTAGCGGGGACCCGGACTTTGGCATAACTTTCCCCGCGAACGAGCTTGTACCGTGGGTACAGTTATCGGGGAGCTTTGGTAGATACAGTAGGTTTTAAAATATGCACGAAGACTAGATGATTGAAAATCAAGGGATATCAATTGAAACACTGTCGCATCCAGCGTCATATCGGATCACTATAGTACAACTTCACAGGCGCATACCCGTTCAAAAACAATGCTTTCTTTTTATTTGGCAACATCATGCTTCTATGTCACATAACCATGAAACGTACTGAATTCGCTTAGAACTTGAAGACCTGATCCTTGTTATATCCCAGCTCCTTCAGAACACCATCCAATTCGCCTTGATCCTTGGGGCTGACCTTGGTGCCACTGATGGCCTTGTACAAACCGGGAGGTCCGCAGACGAAGAGCTTGATGTTGCCCTCCTTGGGCTCGGGGAGAACCGTCTTCAGCAGGTCCTTGTTGATGTAGCCCTTGCCACCGGTCCAGCCCTTGGGAGGGTTGTCCAGAACGTAGAAGGCCTTGAAGCGCTGGGGGTAAGTGTTCTCCAGATCCGAGAGCTCCTTCTTCAGGAGAATGTCGTCCTCACTGACGTTGCCAAACACCAGAGTAACCTTGGTCTTGTCGTCGGGGTTCTTGAAAATCTGACGAGCCAACTGGTACATGGGAGTGATACCCGTACCACCGGCGATCAAGGCGATGTGGTCGTGCTTGTTAGCCTCCCAGGGGTACTTGGGAAGAGGGCCCTTGAATTCCATGCGCTGGCCGACATTCATGCTATGGAAGTGCTCCGACATGGGGCCGTTGGGGTAAGCCTTGATGACAAGCTCGAGCTGGCCGGGTTCCTCTATAGATCAATTAGTTCAAATTCCATGCAAAGGCTGAATGGCTTGACTTACCTTCATCGTTAGTGGGGGTGTAAGGACGGATAACGGGCTTCTCAGCACCTGCAGGCTTGAACTTGGCCAAAAGAGCAGCTGTAATCCCAGTTAGCATTGATCCTTTGTGAAACCACACAGCAGAACCGGGCTACCTACAAGCAACTTGCAGACCAGAAACAGCTTCCTTGTCCTCGAACTCAAAACGGAAACGCTTGGTGTTGTGGCTCAGAGTCTCAACTTCCGCGAGTTTTAGGTCAACCCATCCTTGGTCACCACCAACGAAAACCTTCTGGCGGGGGGCCTCAGCGGTAGCAGCACCGGTGCTGTAGCGGTAGAATCCAATACCGGCACCCGCGAGACCGACAGTAACATAAACGGGAGTCAACGACTTGCCCTTGGGGGCCTCAGTTGAGTACTTGCGGAGGCCCTGCGACGAGATTTAGCATGATCCCGAGGTCCTCAATCGGAATGCTCCCCGACAAAGAGCAAGATAAATAGTAAATAAGAGAGGGGAAGCTCTCTTACCTGCTTGAAGGGCTGCGAGCACCTGAAAGCTTGACGCGCAAACATTGTGAATGTAATTGATGGTCAATGAAGGTATCAACTAGTGAGAGTGAGAGGAAAGAAAGAAGAAGAAAGAAGCAGGGATGAAGTTGAACAAATTCCGAGTGCGGGCGGCTCTGGTGCTCGGCGTCCGAAAGACCGACGGGGACCAATGACGCAATCGGTACCTGGGAAATTCCGCGGTATTACTAACCAGACGAATGAAGTACGATGAGTATACGGGCAACTGCCTTTGGATATACAGGAGTGCCTGTTGATGGCAAGGGTTCGACAAGAGGCGTTGTAACTCGTTGCTTTTTAACTCGAACACTGCACCAGCCAATGGCACACCGGAGATCCATTATGAATGCTACGTTGTCGTATATGCCTGCAAAACAGTAAGGTAGATAGATAGCAAATGATTGCTGAAGATATCCGATATGTATATCATCTTGCTCCACAATATACCATTAAAGGCATGGCGCTGATGGGAAAAAGCAAAAAAAAGAAGTAAAGGCAAATACAGGGCAAAATTGACACGCACTCCATTGCAGAGGCAGCTGCCCATAAATGTACTCTGATCTGTACTAATCGAGGAACAAAAAAGCTACATCATCATTCAAACATTGTATACACCATGGCCGGGAAAAATCATGAACCGAGAAAAGAAACCCCAAGTTTTGTTTTTTGTGATATAATCTTGAAAAACCGTCGCTGCAGAGGACTAGAGTGACATCAAAACAACCCTTCCCATTTTCTGAGTGGTAAATACACGCTGTGTTCTCTGCGTGCTATAAGACCTCTTTGCATGCTATGGCTGTATCATTATCGTTCATCCACACTCCTACTCCCAAAACCCCTAACGTCACATTTATGCGAAGGTAGACGGCCGCGAGTAAGCGAAGATCTTCTTGCCAGCAGGCTTGGCGGCGCGGTGAGGCAGAGGGAACTTGAGGTCCTTGGTGAGGAGCTGCTTGATGTAGGGGCGGCGGATGTTCTCGGCGTTGTCGACCTCGATAACCTTGAGGATCTATATTGCGATAACGGGTTAGATAGTGGATTAGGAAACACAGAGCCGGAAGAGATGCATACGCTGATGGAGCCGAAACGGGCACGGTGACGGGCAGCCATGTCCTGGTAGAGGGCCTCAACGGCGTCGGTACGGCTCATCTCACGGAACTCCTTGTACATGTTGTGGGTACCGGAGCGCGAGTCGTAGCGGAGCCAGATACCGAAGTTCTTGATCTTGGTGGGACGCTTCTCGGCGATCTGAAGACGCAGTCAGCGAACATTTTTCTCATCACTTAGGAACCTCCACAAGACATAAACATACCACATTGAGGCTGACGATCTCACCGTTGGCCTTCTTGACCTTGCGGAGCTGGGTCAAGAAGTACCAGAACCGGGACTTGGCCACGACAGGGTTAGGCGCAAAGATGCGCATGCGGTAGAGCTTGGGCGTGGGGTTTGCCTCGGTGGGCAAGTGACGCCCGATGACCTGGTACTCCGTGAGACGCCCTATAAAGTCCAGTCAGTCACTGTTCGCTCGAAGCTTGTGTGATTTTCCGGTTTAAAGCAGATTGATCGATGCGTAGGCTGCATGAGACATGATGTAGACGATTTGCGGATTCCTCGATAATTCGAAATGAAGCGATGAAAAACTTTTGGTCCAAATGCGATATTATTTCGTTCTTCCAAGCACCCCATAACCAGCTGTAAAATGTTCGAAAAACCAAAATTCCACCTTCCAAGAATTTGTTCGAGAACCCGATATCATCCAAGACACTTATTTTTTTGCCCAAACGTGTTCGTCGCAGGGAGAACGCATCGCAGCCGATCGAAAGGGAAAGAAAGGACGGGACAGGTTGGGAAATTTTCACTTACCCATCTGGACAATCTGAAGTCAGTAACAAATCCTCAATTTCAAAAATAGCAAAAGGTAGCACTTACTTTTGTCGACGCTGTGATGATTAGTCGCGAGAAAGGTGTGCCGGGGACTATGGTTGCCGGAGTTCAGGATTTGTGAACTTGTTGTGGTTAGGGTTGCCGCCCTTCGGCTAAGCGAGTGGAGGACAGCGGCGTTTTTTGGCCCTATTCCCGTTTCGGACTCTCAGCCACAGCGGCTGATCACGGGCTGTCAAGCCTCATCCGATTATCTAACGATCTTTCCCCGCCTCCACCGCCTTCGACGATTGAAGGTCTCCAGGTCTGTAGCTATTGAGGAGACTAGATACAATCAGTGATCTTCGCTAGCAGTTGCGGCAATGGCGTCTGTCTTCAATGATTTCAAGGAAGGCCACAAAGAAATATCCGGTCCCCGCCTGGCAGCCTCTCTCACACCGGTCGCACCTCCCGAATACCCCGATCGTCTCCGGTCGTTCTACGCTTGCTCCAACGGCGCGAATCTACATTTGGATCTTCGGTACTTTCTTTTCCAAGCAAATGGACCGAAGCTTCCGAAACAAGAACAAAATGCATGGATCGAGATCTTTTCGGCCTATTGGAAAGCTGCGGGGGAGATACTGAAGTTCGATGAGGGACGTGGTAGTTGGGTCGGAGTATTCAATGCGTGGAATCAGGTATCCAGTGTCTTGGGCCGGGGCTATACGAATGCAGGTATTGAGGCGTGGACCATACCCTGCTTATATGTCGTTGGAAAATACGTCCGGACGTTCGCGATTAAAGCAGACGCAGAGCTCTCTTCTCAGGACTCAGTTGCATTCAACGACCGTTTCCAAGATGACATCTCGTTTGATTCGGAGAAGAGTGCAAAGCTTGAGGAGGCCGCCCGTGTGATTAACAAGCTGTTCACCATTTGTCTTAATGACAGGTAAGCTACCACCTGACTATTTGTGTTTTTTTGCTGAGACCCAGATAGGACTCCTAATATCGAGGAATCACGAAAATGGGGTGTCTACAACATGATTAGTTTGACATTCAAAACATACTTCAAGGTACAAGATGTCACGTTACCTACGATGAAAACTTCTAATTTGCTTATGTAGCTCAATTCAATTGGGCTCTGCAAGAGCTTACTCCGCGCCCTGAACGCTTCGTCGGCAGACCTTCCTCCATTGGCGGCTTTCCCTAAATCCCACATCGTTACTTTCGAATACTACGTCGGGGTGATACGCTTCTTGGATGAGGATTATGCAGAGGTATACCGTACGAGGACTTGCTTTATGTGGATGACTGATTCTTACAATCCTTTGACAGGCAGAGAAACATCTGACACATGCATGGAAACTATGCCATCGGGACGCAGTCAAGAACAAAGAGTTGGTGCCCTTATCTCGTCTCTTTACTGTTTGCTGACTAACTGGTATAGATTAATTTTGATGTACCTGGTGCCTTGTCATATCGTCACGACACATACTCTCCCTAGCGAAGAACTGCTTGCTCCATTCCCTCGGCTCGAGAGGTTATTTCGGCCTCTTTGTGACTGCATCAGAAAAGGAGACCTCGGTAACTTTGACGCAGCCATGTCCGCCGGAGAAGATGAGTTTGTCAAGAGGCGTATCTACCTACCGCTTGAGAGGGGACGCGACATCGCATTACGGAACCTATTTCGGAAGGTCTTCGTCGTAGGAGGGTTTGAAGAACCGAAAGATGATCAACCTCCTATGCGACGAACTCGCGTTCCTGTCGCTGAATTCGCAGCAGCTGTAAGGATTGGTACTCATGCGAATGACAGAACCCGCGTCGACATTGATGAGGTTGAGTGTCTCCTGTCGAATCTCATATACAAGGTAAGCTTTGTAGCATCTGATCTACATGCTTTAGCACTGATAATTTGTTAGGGTCTCATGAAGGGCTACATCGCACGAGAACGCGGTATGGTTGTTTTGAGCAAGGGTGGCACTGCATTCCCCGGAACAGGAGTCTAGGACCTTTCGGTACAAGTCCTCCACGGACCTCACAAACCGACTTTTGCGCAACACCACTTGCGACCAGGCATTTTTTTTCACGCCGAATATACTCACATAGTACACATATGCCTCTGTAGCCTACGCAGTGACCATACACATCATGGTTTATATGCCTAGTGCGCTGCATTGAAACCGAAGCCGGTAACATCAACTCACTTCGATATTCCACCAGCATCGACAGTTCGACATGAGCAGTTGTATCTGATGCTTTCCTTCTCACAGAATAAATCACAACTGTCTCTGGTCATCGACTCTTATATTATGCAGAGACATGTAGCAGGCTGCTGTCTCTGCTGTTATTCACCCGAGCATATGATTATAATGTTAGTTGATAGAGAAGAACCGTATTATACAAAACCTACTATACAAAGCATGATAAAAGAGGTATTAAACATGGTCCAACAGGCGAAAAGAGAATAAAAAAGACCAAGATATGAAAAAACAACAGTAAACTGCACCGGAACATTAGCATCATTCAAATCAAGGGCAAGGCATCACCGTCCATCAACCCTCCCGCTTAGCCATAGCCGAAAGATCATCCTATAACACCGTTAGCGAAACGCCAAACTTAAGAACACAAGACACGAAGCACAAACCATATGATTACACATCGCAACAAACAAATCAAAAAACAACTTCCCCCCCTCCTCCATCTCCATCTGCATAGTCCCACTCCTTTTAAATGTCGATCGACTCCGAATAATCAACGCAAGATAGTGCGCCCGAAGCTTCGACTCGGTATCTGGCGTGTTGGAGTACGCATACCGCGCGCTGTTGAGGATCGTGCTGCATTGGATACCCGTGTGGAGGCCTTGTTTGCGCAGGGCGAGGCGCTTGAGGGGTTCGAGTGTGTACTTTTCGGCTGCACAGCTGTTTTTTTTTTTTTTTTTGTCAACAATTGACCCTGATAGAAGGAAGGAAGAAAAAGGAGGGAAGATCTCACTAGACAGCAGTGTCCCTCAAAATCACACCCCCAGCCGCCTTATGGAACATTGTAGCCCCATGGCTCTGACCTTCACTATCCGTACCTATATCCTCCAACTCCCACTGTTCCCGTCGCGCATTATGGACTAACCTAGGCGTATAATCGCCCCTGTAGAAGTACTCCAGAACACACGATAAAACCTCCGGCTGCTCATCAGGGAGCTCGATCCGTTTTCTTCGTGACGAGATACCGAATTGTTCACGACAGAAGGTTGCAAAGTACGGCGATGCGCAGAGGATGTCTTCGTGGCAGGCGAAGAGGCGCTTCTCGGGGCCGACGCTCAGGGTTACGATTGGGGAGCCTGACGGGCTGCATTGTGTTAGTACTGTCTGTTTCTAGTTGGGAAGAGGGTGAGATGGGGTGGGTTACCTGCGGTCTTGCGGGCTACTGGGTTTGTGTCGCCTTTCTGGTCGTCTAGACTCTCGTGTTTCTCGGGCTTCGCGGATGGGATTTCTGGTTCGGGAGCAGGTCTTGCCGGGGCGATATTTGGAGGTGTTTTCTGGGGGTAGTGGGCGTTTTGTTGAGATCATTTTCCTTTTGTTTATTACTTTTCTCGAACAATTGTATTGTGTACGGAGTACTCCTAGGAGGAAAGAAAAGAGACGAAAGAAGAACAGCCTGGAAAAATCAGGGGCAAAAAGGTTTATCAGTAATTACTGCTAGTTACAAAACAATGTACGTATCCGAAGACCAAAAACCTCTTGTCCTCGACGGCAGGGAACATATGTTTTTGTAAATACCCCTCGTCGAGTCATTATGGGAGAGGAAAGCCGTTCAAGCAGTTATTTTATACATCACTTTTCCCCTCTATCGAGATATGCATGAACCGTCGTGATCAGGCTGTGTTTTATGCAGCCATGCATCTCTCGCAGCTGATAAGACGCGTAAGATTGTATTACACGCGTAAAGTGCATCGCCAAATTGCCGCGTGGTCACGGGCTATACATGGACGAATGAGATGCTTAAGTTTGTGGTGGAACTGGAATCAACGGGCCAATTAGGAGTTTGTATTTCTCTTGAAATGATTCCTCATATGGAAATGTGATGGGTTTCGTTCCGATGACTGGAATTGACGAGTCATGATCCTCATGAACAGGATCTTTTTGCAAAAGGTAACGTCAGAGATTTTTAGAGATCCTTCATTATGTTCCCAGTATAGTGGTTACATGGCTATATTAGAGTCCTTGATTCATATCCTACTCGACCTCGGCATTCATCTAACCACTGCCGCCACCGTAGAAGTTCAGACACGGTTAGCGGTAGTAATGTAGGAATAAGAATGGAAAGGCAAAAATTCACATTCAAGATGTCCTATTTTCGCTAATGGTATTAGTGATTAGTAACCAACCATGGCCCCCTTGCCCGTCTAGACCAACGCTTAAACAGAAAGAGACCACCTTGTTATGCAATTTGCCGAGAAGAGGTCGAGCGCTACGTATCTTCTTGAGCAGGATTTGCGTATTTTTATTGTGCTTGGTTGTGGTTATATTGCTCGGTGAGTGATGGATGGCAGCGTGGAGCTGCTAGTCGAGGTACTGGGGCTGGGTGCAGCTTTGTGTTCGGGATGGGCTGGCGTAGGCTACTGGGAATGCGAGGAGAGTTGCATTTTGGTGGAAATGATATATGGATAAGAAAGATTAGTGATGAGAACAGAGGCGTTTCCTCGGAGCATGGTTAACTGTAACAAACAGAAGCATCCCCATGAGTGCACAGAAAGCAGAGACAAGGGATATCAGGGTGATGTTTCCATTATGTGCAAGTAAGTGATTATATACCCAAGACTCCATCCCAATCCAATACGCCAATCCATAACATCGCAATAGAAATCATGTGTCCAGTCTCACATGCTAGTGGGGGCCTGTACGGTAGCTTCTCCCATGTCCTTGCCATAACTGCAATGTTCTGCTCGTGTAATGCAAACGAAAATCACATAAATATCTTCCGTGCTTCACGAGGATGGCTCTCGTTCGGGCAATATGGACACTTGAACCGGCTGCCTTTGCACAGCCGTTTCAGTGACTCCTCTGCAATCACATGTCCGCAAGGCATCATCATCGGTGGGTTTTGATCAGTGGCTTGCTCTTTTGACACGGGGCAGACGAAGATAGAATGGAAGAGATATGATGGTGGAAGTGGGATTTCGACCTGGAACAGGTTAACCGTGATCTTGGACAGAAGAAAGAACTTGGAATAGGATACTTACAGGCAACTCATTTTGCGTCGTCCACTCGGTCCGCTTGGCTTTCATGATTGTCTGCAGCTTCAGTAATGTCGGAAGAGCGATCGCACCAGCAGTAGTTGCTATATACAAGGGGGAATCCGCTGAAAGGCCCATCAGTGAGCAGAACTCGCGGGTGAACGATAAAGAGACGTCGTTCCAGGCGGTCGGGTTATTGAAAATATTCCGATAAGGAGAGCTTTGCAAGTTTGGGCAAAACGCCATTGCCCCTATCAATTGCTGCACTTCCCGCATATACCTAGGCAAAAAGACATGAAATTCGCGTTTGGCATATTCGAGAGCTGCCTGCCGTCCTGCGGAAAGGGGGGCCCCGGGGTATTGCTCGCAATTAAAGAGCCAAACGAACTGTAGCCGACAGAGCTCAAATTCAAGATTGCTGCCTCTTGTCTCTAGAGCGTCTCTGTTCTCCCTTGCCCATTCGATAGCTGGCAGCAGGTTCTTGTTCTCCTTCAGCTCATGTAGTATATAATACATTTTGACGAACTGTTTCCGAACTTGATCGGACGGGGCTTCATCTATATCGAGGAGACTCGTCGCATCGTTCGTTGGGTTATACTCCGTCGTTTGTTGTGAATTCCGGGATTTTGTTTCGGCTAATTCGGAGAGGAATGTTGCAGCAACAGAAAACTGGCCTTGTCGCAGAAGGTGCATTGCGATGGCTCGGTTGATCATGTGTTCTTGAGAGGATAGGGCGTCATGTTCAGTGCTCGGGAGTGGCCTGTCTTTGAAGAACTATAGAAGTTAGCGATATTCAGGTCAGAATATCATGCGACGTCCTTACCTTGTCTAGCGCTTTGCTGTATTTGTTAAGACTGCTATGGCTTTCTTTGAGACTGTCGTTGATAGAGTCGAATGATGATTTAACGGGGTTCTGGAGCTTCGCCATAGTAATCGAAGCTTGGGTTGGATCTAATGTACGATTCCTCGTCAGCGCATATCACCGGCCTCCAGCTCCGGAGAGAACGAACCAGATGCGATCGTATCCCGAGCCGACTGAAGCAAGTCTATCGTGGACTGCACATTTTGAATACCCTCTGAGCCTTTGAGCTTCTTGAGCAACCGCTCATGCTCTTTCTGAACGGTATCCATATCGTTCGATTGAGGAGGGGGTGGGCTTCTTAATCCGATGCGGAGGGACGATAATCAACCAATAATGAGATAGCCATACGGAAGCTCCAATATGGCTTCAACTGGGAGGATTCAAGAGAATATGAAGAGAGTTGTACTGTGAGTAGCCCATAGAAGGCCGCAAGCAATCATCAGTGTTCAATTCGGGCAGAGTGACATGCAGCGGCTTCTATCAGCAGACAATGAGAGGGCGGCACATATTCCGGTGATGGCATTACGCCATGTGTCACGTGCAGCTTTGGCGGTGATATGTTACCCCTCATGATGGCCATTTGGGTACTGCAGAGTGCACGTCTTACGGAGTACAGGAACGAGCATCCCTATCTGGAGAGACTATTTATTAGTTTCTACAGAGTCGATGTGAAGAAGCTGAAGTGGTACTTGGAGATAAGCTGCTTTGTGCTCAGTTCTCCGCCCTATGCATGGGATAGGGTATTACTCCAGCATCAGGTATTTGTACTGTTTACCCAAGTACTTCACGCATACATGAATGACTACGTATACGAGTCATCTGGAACTGTGTAAACCAGTCCTGTTCTACTCTGTATTTTGCCTGTATCACTCCCCTGGTGGCAGTAGTCGGATGTCCTAAACAGGTATAGCCCACCCCTTATTGACCAATAGTAACCAATTACAAAACTCGCTTGTACTAGCGCTGTTCACTAGTCTTGGCATTGATATAAATAACCGCTTCCCCCGGACCCAATTTGATTTCTTTTTTTCTTTTCCTCTCCATCCTAGTGCAAGGGTTTTACACATGTCAGTGAGGATTCGTCCGAGACTGTGTTTTTGCTAGTTGAAAACTACCTAGTTTGACCGCTCTGGCTGGTCTTCGGATCGGACAGGAATTTTTGAAACCTTACTGCCCTGACTCCTTGCTTGCCTCGGAGTTCAGCATCCTTGGTCAAGCACCGATGGATGGAGAGCTTGGAAGATCTGTCTTCTTTTCACTGCTGTTGCCTCCCATGCCGGAGGCCTGTAGAGAAGAGAACTGTCACCCTAACGTATCGCTATTGTAGACCTTAAGAATAGAAATAGAAACACTTGTTCTCTTACCCCTTCTCTCAGCCTTGTTCGACCTTTCGATCTCTTGATGAAGAGCGAGGCTTAGCGGTGTGCCTGAGGCTATGCTGAAGACTGTTGCTGGCCAATAACGTCGTCGAGAATACTCACCGCTTTGTTATTCATCTTTTTGGTGACGTCGCCGAGGCGCCGTTCGATCATAGACATATTTCTTTTCGTGCTTGTGTCGGCTTCTTTGTTTGCTTCCATACAACCAGCTCTGAAGGATGACATGACAACTCTTATATCTCTGCTCTTGCTGTCACAATTTCCTGGCTTTTAAGGCCATTCAGTTTATGATCTGCCGGGCCTCGGATATGTCTTGCGTGCCGTGTTCTCTGGCAAACAGTACAAGGTGACCCTCAGGAGGGTCAAGGGCACTTGCGTTTCTTCCTCCTTTTTATAGAGCTGGATCTCTCCCTTGAGCGCTGGGTGGTCGTTTTTATAGTATTGAGATTACCCCTGGACAAACCTGTCTGAAGAGAGACATTTCCTATGTGATATTGCGTGTCTACTATGCCGCCACCAACTGCTACGCAGAACGGTGCGCCAACAGCACCCCCTACAGTGAACCATCGTGAGTCCATCAAATCAACCGTCAGTCCGAAGCACGTCCCGTCATATCCCAATGGGGACTCCGATGCACCGCCATTGCCATTGCAGACCCATCAACGACTCGCCTTCACTGATCCGGTCGCCCTCCGTTACCTTGAAGAAGACCCTTCGACGAACGTACTGCACCGGCGAATGACACTGCAAGGTTATGAAGTTTATGTTGTGGAACAATGGGCGTGTTCGAGGATCCATCCGACATTCGTCATTACAACTTATACGGGAGACCCTTCGCATACTGTCGTGGTGGGAATACTAGGTGTTCCAACTGACGAGTCGACTTGGTCTCCTCGCCTGAAACTGTATTTCAGTGCTGTGACGAAATGCCATGCGCGGAGAATAGAGACGCCGCTGGGGGCTCTCATGGTTACCGACCTGAGTACCTTTCCGTCGGCCCTCACGGTGATTCCGGTACCAGATGGGGATTTCAAAAAGCATCGGGATGATTTCATCGTCAATGAGGATTTGAAACGGTTAGGCTGTGCAGGACGCGCAGGCTTGAGGTTACAACAACCCCCTCCAGCGACTGAGGCCAAGTTCCACCAACTTTATCGGACGAGTGAGAGAGTGGCTCTATACAGCGCGGTCATGGAGTTGGTCAAGCAATGTCAGATGGCGTTGATGATGTTCGACAAGTTGGCGCCGGAGTATGTGGATGGGTTGCTTTGCGATGTGACCGAAACGGCGATTAACGATTGGTGGACGGACATCGGGATTGATCTGTATAATATTGAACCTAACGATGGAGTCATGGGGCCAACCACTGTGGCCGCTTTGCTGGGAGCATTACTAGGTGCCCGGAATCGGCTTCACGCTCTTGGTGCACCGGTCGCAAAGGATGCCTTCGATATTCATAATCTCAAACGAGGGGTTGGGCGATTTCAAAAATCACAGAAGATGAAGAAAACACGAAGGTTGGATCGGCAAACCCTGGACAAACTACATCGCGTCACGGCCAAGGCAGCAAATGCAGAGGGATGGACTGATGCTGTTAAGTCGACTATGGCGGAGTTGAGCGGACAAGGAGGAGAGATGGTCATGGGCATGGTGCGAGGACGCGACAAGGCTGGTATTGCCGATATTGAAACACTTGACATTGAAAATTTCCCGCATTTGGTCACAGGCGAAAGAGCGAAATGGTTATGGCGAGGGAAGCCACGCAAGAGTGGCGTTGGTGATGGTTTTTCGAGTGGTCCGCCAGCATCGGACATGATGTTCACAACGGATGATCATGGTCGTTACATATGGACTACTCGTAGGCGACATTCAAATGAAGACCTCGCGATGGATCGCTCTTTTCCAACATCGGAGCATTCATTGAAAACACCTGAGCAGATAGGTGTTTCGGACGAGAGAGACCAGAATCTGAGTAAGATGGTCTTCAAGGGTGTCAGTGACAAGGTCTCGGATGCGCGAATAGGTTTTGGCCGGTTCAAGGATGCCGTGGGATTGCCAGGTCTCCGCTCGCACCGGCTGGCAAGGGAGGGAACTGACTTCATTGGCGATGCTGCCTATCTTCCTCCGATAGACAGCGAGACCGAAGGATCCGAAGTACAAAAGACAGCCATTGATGGGATTCAGCCCGGGAATGAGCCTGTTCAGGACACAGCTCGTTACGAAGAAGAGCAAGCCGGACCACCGCTTCCGCGACAGCCTTCCGAACTCAAACCTCCAGATATCACAGTTGAACCAGTCGCGTCAACGGAGGGATTAGACTCACCAGTGAAACCCCCGGATGATGATGGCCAGACATTGATGCCATTTAGAACGCGATCTAGCGATGCATCGGATGATAGAGGCCAACAGATACCTCGACAAGCGCTCATGACCCTACGCCGACCCCAAAGCTGTACCGATCTTAGATCAGAGGACGATTTCGGACATAAAGACAATTACTTTCCCCGACATCTGTCATTCAGCACTGTTGAGGAGGTTATTCTCGGTTGGGAAAGCGTGGGAGGCAAGCCGTCCGTGAAAGACAAACCCAATGCCACTTTCGAAGAAGCGATTTCTCTGGAAGACACACGTGCGTCTGATGCACGCATCTTCTGCTCCAGAGTCTTGGACCTGGACCAAAACACCGTCCCATGGGTCGAAAGACAAGTTGACTCTGTGGATGAAATGAATCGAATACTCTACGACCGCCATGAAGATATCAATGCAGCTTATTTGGAACATCATGGCTATTTCCAGCAAATCCGGGACAAGTCTAGTGACGTCCTTACGGATGAGCACATGTACCTTGCGGATTATATGAAGAGAGTGGAGCTCCAGGGTGCCAAGCTCGATTATGAGCTGAACGTTCTGGGGTCCAAGGTCGAGGAAGTGGAGTCCGGCATTGAGGAGTTTGAACGGCATATCTTTGAGATGGAAACGCGAGTCAAGACACTAATTCAAGGCGAGGAAGAGAAGCAGAGCAATTCGTGGCTCTCATGGTTCGGAAGACTGACTGGGTTCGCAACGCAATGATTTGATACCATCGTTGCATTTTTACTTGTATTTTTAGGATCCCAAAGATGAACGTGTAACATTCTAGTGTACATATATTCCAGAGAATATAACCTTTTAAAATCCGAGACATGAACCATCAATGATACACAGCGACTTCCTGTTAGTCAATGGCACCGGAAACCGTCAACCAACCGTACCAATGCAATTCCCAGAGCTATAATATCATTAAACCACGGAAGTTTTCCCTCATTCAACATTCGCCATGCTCTTTTTGCCAGATGTCCTCTTACATTCCCATACCCATGCCGCCCTGTCTACCAGCGGCATCGCCCTGCATCTTTTCGCTGACCTTGATGTTGACGTCGAAGAACTTGCCGACGCAGCGGTCGAGGCAGACGGATTCGCCCTTGTTCAGGTCGCCTTCGCGGTAGTCGTTGGGGATACATTTCTTGGTGCAGGATTCGGTCAAACTATCCAATGTAGTCAGCATTCCCTCCTTTGTCATACGTATGAATCTTGCAGTTGAGCGCACCGGTTGAACATGTCCGAGACCATCTCAACTTCGGTCTCTGCGGCAGAGATCTTCTCTGCCGAGGACATCTTGGGGGGTCCGCCGAAGAGGAAAGACATTGTGACGGGGATATGGTATTCTTGTTGAATGAAAAGTTATAAATAATAATATCGAGTATCGTTCTTCTCGGAGTAAAGGTGAACGGCAGAGTGAGGTTGGCGGGACTGAGGCGCCTCACCGCCTTCGGAAATCTCTTTTTCTCCAGCTTCGGCTCGACTTTTCCATTTCTCTTTTCTTTTTCTTTTCTTTCGCACACAACTACATCTCTTCATGTCCGGGATGTGACTGGCGTAGTGTTTTTACTTCTTTTTCTTCTTTCCTTCCAGATGTATTCAATCCGCCCTCGTTGGGTCTCCTCAAGGTAAGGCGTTACATTTATTTCTGCTTCTGTGCAAATCAGTCCGCTATGATGAACACTCCCAAGCAACAGAACCGCTGCAGTGTCATGCCCAAGGGGCAAATGAACGTACTTTAAATCTTACCCTTTTGTTCTCTGACAGGACTGCTTTTTGCTATTTGTGCTGCCATCGCTCTTGAGTGAACTATTGGCTAATAATGATGCTCAGTGCAGGGTTGTCGTCGGTGCTTAATGCCAGTCGTCTTCGTCCTTTGAAGACATTATCAAGTACTAAAATCCTTAATGAAAGGATAAGGAATAGAAGCAGCAGCACAACAACTGCATCTCCAGAACGAGCGTTCAAAGAACGTCTCCAGGAAATCCAAAATGCTTGTCCCGACCCGTATCCCCGTCTAGCATCAGACTCCCGCTCGGTGAGCTGTTCAGAGTTTCGCTCTCGATACAGCCACCTGGTGGATAATCAAACAGTAGAGGAAGACAGTGTTGTTGTTCATGGTAGGCCGGCTTTACCTTGTGATTTATAGTTCCTGTACTTAGATTAGTTAGGTAGGATCCGTACATATAGACTTGCGGGGAGCAAATTGATATTCTTCGATGTCGTTCAGAATGGTCATAAAGTCCAAGTTATGTGCAATAAGCGTCGACTAGAGACGACGAGCGCGGAGGAGTTCAAGAGGTTTTATCGTCTGCTAAGGCGGGGTGATGCTTTCTGTATGTATGGTCAACTCTGCCCCATGGACAGCTGCTGAGCGACCATAGCCATAAAAGGTATACCCCATCGAACAGGACGAGGCGAATTGACCGTGATTGCAACGGAAGTACCCCAATTGCTATCTCCTTGTCTTCACGACGTACCGCTAGACGCCAAAGACCACGAGACTTCTCCCTATGCTCGCCATGTCCAGCTCCTTGCGGATCCCGGCACGGCGGATATCATCAGAGCGCGGTCCGCTATAATCCAGTATTTTCGCCAGTTCTTCCTCGACCAATCCTTCATGGAAGTCAGTACCCCAGTTATTGGGTCTGTTGCAGGCGGAGCTGTTGCGCGTCCTTTCTACACGAATGCCACTGAGTTTCCTGAACGACAATTGTCTCTCAGAATTGCGCCAGAGCTGTGGTTGAAGCGGATGGTTGTGGGTGGATTTGATCGGGTGTTTGAGATTGGGCCTTCGTTCCGGAATGAGGGTGCGTCTTGATATCATACCTGAAGAGAGGAGAGAATACTGACAGAGCAGGGCTCGATAAAACACACAACCCCGAGTTCACCACATGCGAATTCTACCACGCCTACACCAACCTAGAAGACCTCATGTCAACGACCGAGAACCTCCTCTCTGGCATGGCAAACTATATCAATCAATTCAACCAAAACGGCACTCTAAAACCAACACGAGTCGACTTTACCACCCCCTTCCGCCGAATCGACTTCATCACCGGCATCGAAGAGAAAATCAACCGCAAACTCCCCAACCTCTCCTCCCCAGATGCCCTTTCCCAAGCAACAAACCTTTTCCACGACCTCTCCCTCCCCCTCCCCGAAAACCCAACCCTCCCCCGCCTCCTCGATGCCCTCTGCAGCATCTTCGTTGAACCAGACTGCACAAACCCAACGTTCATCATCAACCCGCCAGAATGCCTCTCCCCGCTCTCTAAATCCTTCACTCATCCTACTACAAACCAACGCGTTGCCGCGCGCGGCGAACTTTTCATCGAAGGCCGCGAGATGGTAAATACCTACGAGGAGGAGAACTCGCCGTTTGAGCAGCGGCGCAAGTTCGAAGAACAGGCAAGGTATAGTAAAGCCGCGGAGGCAGAGGGCGAGGGCGAGATCGATGAGACGTATCTTGAGGCGATGGAGTGGGGATTGCCGGCTACGGGCGGTTGGGGCTGCGGTGTTGATAGACTTGTTATGCTGTTTACGGGTGCGAAGAGGATTGGGGATGTTTTGACGTTCGGTAATTTAAAAGCTGTTACTAGACGGCCTGGTGGTGCTGTGCCTGGTGGTGGTTCTGAGGTGTAGGATGGGTTGCTGAGCTGGTAATTTGTATGATTATGGACTGATTCTTGATGTCTATTGTACAAAACTGCGTTTACGAAATTATATATGTTAGACTGAATCTTCACATATCTTCACTATGCAAGGCTCCGTGATGACGCACGTGATATGTACCTACTACAACCAATCCCCCATCACCATCAACTCTTCACAATGACTAGACTCCCCTAGGATCTCTAGATTAGTCCACCACAGTCCGATCATCCTTCCGCGCTATCATCTTTACCATCACCATTATTATTATCGACAACTAACCACCACCACCCTCTCCAACATCCTACTCCCACCAGCAGGGTTCCTAGGCCTATCTTTAACCCTCTGGTCCTACAAATACCTTATGATGATCACCCTTCAGAACAAAATTATTTACATGCCGAATATCCCACCGTTTTCGCGGTCGGAGACTATCGATGATTATGCGGGGCAATGCCGGCCTGTACAGTGGACAGAGGATTCGCTAGTTACGGGTGATGATGTGAGGATTTCGTTAGCTGTTGGGGAGATTCCGAGGAATGAAGATGCACGGCGTGATGATGTGGGAAAGGAAGATGGAGAGATGGATGTGGTGGTTTTGTATTTCCAAGGGTATGGTTCCATATATATTTTGGAGAGTATTCGGAAGCTAATCATATATAGCAACGCGGCTTCACTTCCGCCAAGGTTCCCATATCTTTCAAGGGTCGTGAAAATGGCAAATGGAGATGGAATGCTCAATGCCAAGAATGGACAGAAAAAGAATATCACCATCGTGGCAGTCTCTTACCGCGGCTACTGGACGTCAACAGGCAGTCCATCGCAGAAGGGTATTGAGCAAGATGCGGATGCTGCGTTGTCATGGGTTCTGGAGAGATACTTTCCTTGCGGTTCTCCGCGACGTCGAAAACTGATGATATGGGGCCAAAGCATCGGTGCGGGTGTAGCAACAAACCTCACAGCGAACTACTTGCACGATCCGCATGCATATCGAGCACAGTCACAACTAGGCTTACAGAATGAAAGCGTAACACTCTCCGGCTTAATCCTCGAAACCCCCTTCACAAACATGCGCGATCTCCTCTTCGCCTTCTACCCCCAGAAATGGCACCCATACCGCTACATAAGCCCATTCGTCCGCTCCCACTGGGACAGTCTCCAGTCGACACAGCGCATCGCAGAAGCCCCAGCAGACCACAAAAGACCTAGGATTATCATGCTAGAAGCAGGTGTCGATGAAGTGGTCCCAGCGGGTAACGCAGAGCAGCTGGAGAGACATTGCAAAAAACTAGGTTTGGATGTAGAGCGCAAGGTTATCAGAAACGCGTTGCATTCGGGTGTTCTTGCGAAGAGGGATGGTCAGGTTTTGGTGGCGCAGTTTTTGAGGGATGATAGTACATAGTAGTGGTGGTGGTTATCTATGTGTGATGCAGGCCGATGATAACCTTGTCGGAGCGGGCCGTTGTGAACGAAGTCTGCGGGGAAGGCGACTTCATCTTCTTATCCTTTTGATATCCTTTGTTTGTTGAAGATTATTCTTATAGTCATATAATATGGGGTTGAATGAGGTAACTCAGGCCCAAGCGGTCACTGTGAGTCTCCAGGAACTGGTTAATGGTGAGTATGCAAACTTTTCATAGCGGACACCGGACTAGATGCTGACCGTTCACAGGTACCGTTTCCTTCGACACTCTGACAAAAGCTTTTGGTCCCTCTTCACTAGGAATAATAGTTGTAAAAGACCTCGATATCAAATTCCAACAACTGCGTTCCGAGGTTCTTTCCAATGCATCCTCCCTCGCCGCTCTCCCTGAGGACGAACTTGGTAACTTCCCCCTACCACCTACTTATCTATGCCAGTAACTAACACACACAGAAACACTTACCAGCCCAACCGCAAAATACCTTGTCGGCTGGTCCCGTGGCAAAGAAACTCTCCGCTCCGGCCACTTCGACACCCTGAAAGGCTCCTACTACATCAATTGTGCTTTCTACCAAAACTCCTCCCTGCAGTCCGCCCCCACAGACGGCTTCCCTGATGCATCCGAGTATACGACAGACAATATATGGCCGGACACGGAGCGACTGCCACGGTTCCAGGAGAGCGCCGAGGAGCTTTGTAGATTGATCATCGACACTGCGGCGTTGGTGGCTAGGGCTTGTGATCGGTATGCGGTGGCGGAGATTGAGGGGTATGAGGGGGGTTATTTGGAGAGGGTTGTTAGGACGAGTTTGACGACGAAGGCACGGTTGTTGCATTACTATCCTTCCAATGATACTGGCATCAATGGCAACCTTGATAAGGGTGAAGGAGACGGTGATGACGATGACTGGTGCGCAACACATTTCGACCACGGCTGTCTTACAGGCCTCACCTCAGCCATGTTTCTCAACGAAGCTTCACCCCCACCCATAACCGAACTCCCCACCTCCCCAGACCCCCGCGCAGGTCTGTACATTCGCTCGCGAACAGACCAAATCGTCAAAGTCAACATTCCCAAAGACTGTCTTGCGTTTCAGACAGGTGAGGCGCTGCAGTCGATTACGAGGGGGAAGTTCCGGGCCGTTCCGCATTTTGTTAAAGGGGCTAAAGGGGGAGAGGGGAAGATCGCGAGGAATACTTTGGCTGTGTTTACGCAGCCGAATTTGGGGGAGGTTGTGGAGGCAGATTCGGGGAAGGTGTTTGGGGAGTTTGCGAGGGAGGTTGTTGAGAGGACTTATTGATTCCGTTTGATTCTAGAGAACAGCAATTGTATTGATTGTTGTACATTGTTATGGGTTGTGCATGGTCTGCTAGATCATCAATTTGGTCTTTGATTTCCATATCCTATAGTGCGCTGAAGTCGGAGGACATCTACATTGAAAACGTCCCATCGCTGCCCCCATGTCCTCTGCCCCCTTAGTAACCATCCGGGTCAAGTGATTGGCCAAACTCCTAGTATTACCTCGATGTTTGTGTCTAGTGATGGTCAGTGCATCTTCAAGCCATGCCATTCCATGCCAATTGAAGTAATTACTACCTGTATAAAGATTCTCTATAGAGGGATGTTGTTTACTGGCAAAGAGCCTATGTATTTCTAAGCCTGGCATCGGTCTTCTTTGAGCACTATATCACACAGCATCAAAGTGCTCATTTAAAGAGCATCCCGGGCATCATGTCACTGACCAGATTGGTTGTCTTAAGCGTTTCAAAGAGTGTGCTTGATAGTATGATAGGATGCATTTCCGGGTGAGTTGTTGTCAACCCCTCGAGTTCGAGAGATCCAAACAGCCTCTGTAAGCTCCTGGGTAGAATAGAGTACGACGGACCATAAGCGAAAGTATCGATAAAACTCATTCTGGTAGCAGTTTTCTTGAAGGCTCATATCGTTGACCGGATTCAGCCATGCAGCGTGCTAATTGGATAGATCGCACGAGAGTTGATATGATTTTCACATGGTAGAGAGTCTCTAAAACTCGTGCTTTGTTCCATATCATAGCTAGACCGGTTTCCAGAAATTTTTATAAGCGACGTTAGTGCGTGTATGGTTGAGACTTACTAGAATAGGACTTACCCGTGTGCATGGACAATAACTTTTGCCTCTTTTATCCAGAATGGCTGACTCTTGCTCAAATTCCTTGTACATCACCTTAATGACATCAAAACCTAGCTTGCTTGCCTGGTAAGTCTGGTCCCCAACTATCTTGGTTAAAAACAATCTAAAGGAATTCCAATATATCTACCTCTCGGAGGTGCATATCTCTCGGTATGCAGATTCTATCCAATCAGTGTCAGCCATTCCAACTAGTCCTATATTGAGATATCATGTTATGTACTTACCTCTGGTTGACCAGGCGAGAAATGGTCCCTTCCTCATTCCCCTCCTGTTCTTACTAGGGTAATAACTGTTGCTGCTCGCACACGCAAGTTCTCTCAATACAGGGCTGCCTTAATGTGTCAGTTATATCTGTTCCGTTAGCTGGGTACACAACTAGCCTAGAGTGGCGCGGCCAGAACGACTTCCTGCTGGCCTTTGGGGTATTGTCGGCCTTAGCGTGCGGGGGTTTCAGTCTGTAACTGTATAAAGCGCTATAACCCAGCTTCCAGGGGGGTATCTGGTATCTTGTAAAGGACATGAGAGGCGAAGGTTAATGATGGAGAGATGTTTAGAGGTTCCCCATTCTCATGATGGAGCAGAAATCACTGGAATTAAATGCTTTTCCCAGAGTAAAGGATAAAACGAATATGTAATATGTACAATACGTACTCTAACAAGATATCGCTCCATATCAGCCTCCAAAGCCTGAAACAAAAGAATCAATGCTTCGACCGCTTCGCCTTCCTCTCATTTCCAGAAACATAATCCTCCTCAGTCTCCTCAGTCCCACCAAGCAAACACTTCATAGGAACAGTTAAATCCTCCTCCCCTGAAGAAGAATTCTCCTGTGCAGCTCCCTCATCCGCAGAACTAACTGTATTACTTATATCAGTCGTAGCCCCCAACCCCGTACTAACCAATGAGCTAGTCTTGCGAACCTCCGCAAAAGTAGACCGCGACTTGGCCGACGGTCTTCCTACTTCACCAGGGAGTTTTGCTTCCCGGTAATCTGCAGGGCAGGCTGTACCGTCGATGACTTTGAGGTTAGCGCGCCACATCTTGACATCTCGTGCTTCGCTGTAGTAGCCCACATCTTCACCGTTGAGGGAGTCGATGGCTAGTGTCTGCGTGCGGAAGTCGCCCCAGAACCATTGCTTGCCTTCGGGGATGCGGCCGTCGGCTTGTCGTGAGTAGTCACGCGCCATGATAATGCCATGCAAATCGTGGCTCATTGAAAGATTGCCGAAGAGGAGGCGTATGGCGTCGGGTTCGTAGCAGCGGCCGAGGATCATGTCATGGGAGACTTTGGCGGTTTTGCCCGTGTACAGGTGGTACCAGTTGCCGTAGCCACCCATGCCAGTGTATTGGAAGGTGTTTGAGATTTCTTGTTCGGATAAGCCGCGGAAAAGTTTTGTGACGTCGACTTCCTTATGTGCGCGGACGGAGCTTGTTGTGTAGATTTTACCACTGAGGCGGACGCGGCAGTCTTCTGCTAGATTAGCAGATTTGACGTCTTCCTCGCAGTTTATCAGTTCCATTTGGATTTCATCAATCACCATTACGTCTGTTACGCTTGCGTTTTGGAGGCTGTTCGAGTTGTAACCCTTTGGTTTCAGTCGAACAGCGTCACCAATGATCAAAAGCTCAGCACCAATGAAGATCCCCCGGCAGTATATTGCTGCGTTTGGCCAGGTACCTTTGATATGGTACTTGTCCAGTAAGCTGAAGGAGGACATAACCGTCAAGGCATTCTCAATGGATGGATGGAGCTCTTTGCGCGACATCCCTTGCACAAAGAGTTCAAACGAATTAAACGGCTTGATGCACCGTAGCGGAACGTATTTGGAGTGCAGCGAGTAGCTCTTATCGCTACTGTTAGGGTCAGGAAAAGTCTCGATGCGGAATCCCGAATAATTCACAGCCTGTTCCTTCGGAGTAGTCTCGACTAAGTCTTGAAGCACGATATCATCTTCCGGAACCTGTCCGACGACCCCTGCTCGCCATTCCGGCATCCCCAGCCATCGATCCTCCTCGGCAGAAAAGATTTCGACGCGATTGTTCTCTGAGTTCCATAGTAGCCCTCCATTAAGCTCACGTGTCCAGAGAACGATTTCACCAGCTCGAGGTATGTAAGACGGCTGCAGATCCAACTTCTCCAGATATTCTCTGAGTCTCTCTCTCTCAGCCCGCCAGTCCATACTAGTCTTCTCTTTAATCTTCTTGCTTAACCGGCCATTCTCTTTTAGCTCCATAATGGCCAATTTGTAGACGTCAGTTGTCCCTTCACCATCAACAACGGGACGAACTGGCTGTCTTACACTTCTAGCAGCTCTAGCCACTGGTTTGCCGCGAGAGGCTACACTTGACCCTCGAAAAGCTAAACTTGATCCGCGAGAACTCGTAACTGAGCCTCGAGAGGGAGTCGGGCCTGGTAATCGACCACCACGAAGTGGCATGCCCGCTATTCAATAGGAGTCAGACTAGCACCAAATTTAGCATAACGCGGATATGCTAACCTTCTCGACGAGCTTTCTGCTTCTGCAGTCTCTCACAAAGTGCGCATTTACACGGTGCAACCGCTCCCGTCATCAGATAGTAGAAATGGGGGAAAAATTGAATCGTGGACTGGAAATACTGCCCAACCGGATGGCCGTAGAGGAACCTATCATACTATACCACAGAGAAATGAGAAGCTGAGACATGACATGAGCCCATCTGTAATAGAAACTTACAATGTCCGGGTTGACAATGCGAGGTCTCTCAAGAAAGGCGTAGCCATCTGGTAGTTTGTTTATGATATAATTCATCCCTGTAGCTAGTCAGAATGCCATTCAAAACAGGGCAAAACAGGAAAGGGAAAAAAAAAATAGAAAATAGGAAATAGAAAATAGAAAATATACCGTCTTCATACGCTCCCATCTTCTTCAACCAAAGCACAGCAAGCTTTTCGCGATAAGTTCTGTCATTGCACAATTTATATTTGGGGTCTTTCGGCCATATTGCCGGGTTGCCGTCGCTGAAGGACCGGTCTATGGAGATCACGATTGTATTTTCGGTCTCTTCGGACACTGATCCCGGGGCAGACATGCTATACTTTTAATCTATCAAAATGAATTAAAGAAATAATGAAAAACCGTGATCTGCTAAAGAAGTAAAAAGGGCAAACCAAAAAAAAAAAGAAAAAAAGAAAAGCTCGCTGGGGTTTCCAGGGATTGACCTTTTCCAGCACGGATCACTTGGTCATTGAAGCTAGTTGGTCCTGGGAAATATAATTAAATTAAAAATTCCTCCAGGCTTTTCAGTAGTAGCCTTTGTTGTGAGTGGGATTTGACGCGTGGGAAGTATGGCTTTTGGAGATGATGTTGACTTTCTGGTTGCTGGGGATGGTCATGTGACCGTGGCAGCAATAGCAAGTGAATTAAGCACTCCAAGATATGTTGACTATTCAATGGAGTAATAAATCTGGAAAAAGTGATTGAAAAAAAAAAAGTAATTGCTGTATAATATTGCTGTAATGTAAATGCCAAACCCACAAAGCAAATAAACAAGTTCTATGTACAAATGTGCCTTCCGAAAGATATTACCAGCCCTATGCTTCTGTTGCATTAACTTCCTCCGTCTGATTCTCTTCTTTCACTTCCTCCTCATATGGTGGTGGAGCAAGCTCTCCATCCTCAACCCAGACCCTATTCAACTCCTTCTCAATATTCTCTCGCCGCTGCTTCCACTCGTCCACCTTGTCGAGACGCTTCCGTAGCTCCTGCAATTCCTTCTCAACGCCCATCTTCTCTTTCTCTGTGCCAATCAACTCGAATCTCCAGTTCTCTTCTTCTTCCCCGAGACCGAGTGCCAGGTGGTATATATGATACTTCTTCAAAGACGCGCGCGTGGAGATTGTGATCAGGGTGATCCCGCGGTGTTTGGCCTGCTCGTACAGCAAGCCCTCGACGTCCGACGATACGGCTGACGTGCCTTCATCGAGGAATGCGTATCGTGGTTCGTGATAGAGCAGTCTTGCAATGGCCATTCGCTGCTTCTCGCCGCCACTAAAGACATCTTTCCATTCCTTGCGGGAGTCCCAGCCACCTTCGCGAGCGGGCAGGTATCCGAGACGAGCATCATCCAGAATCGCCTGAAGCTCAGCGTCTGTTGTGCCACGATCCTGCATATCAATTGCCGTGTGGGGATAGATGACTTGGTCGCGTAGAGTCCCCACACTGAGGTAAGGGCGCTGGGGAAGGAACATGATGCCATCGAGTCCAAATCCCCTAGGACGACTGACCAGCCCGCGGTATACAGGCCATAAGCCAGCGATAATCCGAGGGATAGCAGACTTTCCAACGCCGTTGGCACCCGAGATGAGGAGATGATCGCCAGAGTGGACGATGAACGACAATGACTCGATGAGCTCATCACCCCCGCGTGGGTAAAGCGATGGAGCAACGACTGGAACCTGTTCCAACCGAACCCCGTCAAAACCGTTGTGAACGGTTCCTTGAGCATCAGCTAGAGAGTAGAGCTCCGCGTTAGACCCCCGGGGAGGATAGTAGGCGTTGGAATGGACTCGGTGCAGTGCAGAAATAATGGTATAGACGCGGGACGTGTAACCCGCTAATTCTGAAATGTCCTTGATGCTGTACATCATCCGGCCTCCGGCATCGGCCAAGGAGAGCATCAGACGCTTATTGGTGATGAATTCTTTCATGCGACCACGTTCCCGACCAGTTGCTGCCGGTACGTCGGCCATTTCCATAGCGCCCCCGAGACCACCCCAGGCAGGCAGAAAGACGGGCAAGGAGGACACCAGGTATCCGAAGGCGGACCAAGCGTACTTCAAGATAACATCTTCCAGCATATTGTACCGAATTCTGAGGCTGTATATACCCTCCATCCATCGCTGAAGGTCCTTGAAGCTCCGCGTTAAGAATAAGCGTTCTACATCTGCGCCACCGTAGAAAGAAATCTCCTCCGAATTCGCGAGCAGTCGAGAATGTAACCCTCTGAAGTCACCTTCTTTCTTGCCCTCGACAGCCTTGAGCTTTCCAAACGGCGGTGACAGCTTGCGCAGAATAGTGGCCGTACTGAAATAAGCAGCGCCAATTCCAGTCAGGGCCAGCGGTCCTAGGGAGCGGTAAAGCTGGTAATTGAAGACACAAAGATCCACCAACGGCTTCCCAATTGACGAGTACAGCGTAGCAGCCGCGGAGCAGAAGACCGTCAGATCCTGCGTGATGAACTGGTCTGCGCCCTGACCAATACCACCATCGAGGTTCATCAGTTTGTAATAATTGCTGTTTTCAGTAAGATAAAGGTCGTGGATGTATCGCGTTAGACGCGTTCTGAAGGCGATCGCCACCTTAGCCTGGAGAAACTTAATCATGGCATTGGTGTATGACGCAAAAGTCCCAATACCGCACCACTTGAAGATCCCCCAGATAAAGGCACGTCCTTTGCCCGTGACAAGATCGCGCACGATCTCTCCATCCAGCCTTGCGATCAATAACGACAGATATGTTCTTAGTAGTAGAAACACACCGTGACTCATCAAAAGACCTGTCTCCTTGCTATTCCATCTGGGAACCATAATACTCCCAAGACTGAGGAACTGATGAAGGAAGGCAAGGTTCAAACCAGGCTTGGTCGTTGGAGGCGGGATCTGACTTGCTGCCTCTTTATCGCTGGCACGAGTCGACGCCGGCGGATTTAAGAACAATCTCCGGTGCGCATCGAAAGTTGTCGGTTTCGTCGGATAGATCTTGACCTTGGAGGTCATAGAATTCCGATAAGGCACGTAAATGGTGCGAGAGCCATCCTTGCCGCGAATGCCCGAATTCCGACGTAACAGCCGTCTACCCTGGGCGCGGTCTCTGGCCCTTGCCCGGAACCGGTTGTATCCTCCATATCCAGACCCGATTATCGATAAAAAGAGTAGGGTTGTGGCGATAAGCTTTGTTGTCTTTGTGGAGCGGCGTAGTCGGACTCGGAAGCGGTCCACGTAGAGGGTGAAGAGGGTCGTGAGGGGGTCCTGTTTCGACCGGAGCGTGGACTGTGCGGCCATCCTGTTCCCTGCAGTACGATATATTCTTGGGATGACTTGAGGCTACTTTATCACAGACTGCCTCTAAGGCAGTTTGCTTGCATCCTTTTAGGTCGGAGCCGGATGGTCGAAGGCCATGAGGGGATGCGCAAAGAAGGATGGTTGTTGTGATGTCCGCGATAAGCTCTCGGAGAACTCTTGTTTATCCAAAAAGCAAGTGATAGCAGACGCAGGTGATGACAAGAAGGTGAAGGCAGACTAATGCAGAAGGTTGTTTGTTGGGCATTGCATGGGATGGGCTTGATGATGCTGACATTGTTCATGTGAAGACCTCGGCTCAACTGCGGAGAACTCACGTGCTACATCATGCAGTCATGAGGGCCTGTCAGGTTGCATGCTACCGCTACTCTCGGATTCCATGTTCAAGGCTCAAGGAAAAGAATGTTGATTTTGAATTGACAGCTAAAGCAATTCAGGCGCCTGACATTGAGTGCTACACTGCTACTTCATCCGCCGAGAGATCAACTCCGCATGTAGTCAGTGATCCTGCAATTCACATCACTTTTTAATCCGATGGCGCACATTATCGTTCTCAAGTATTCGCTGGATATAGAATTGCTTGGTCCTCTTAACAAATGCTAGGATCTCCGAAACCGCATCCATGGCTTCCCCTTCCGACCCTTTCAGTTCTGAAAGAAGATGCCGCGAGATACTTAAGAGGCCGTTCAAAGAACGGGCCTTGATCAGGTAGCGGATCAAGCCTAAGCCTCCTTTCTCCAGAGTAGAATAAAGTCTACGCAGCCAGTCGCTCCGATTGGGAATGTCTCTGACCTTACTCCGCCCATGCATACCTGTTCCAAAGAATGCATATTTCGCCATTGAGCACGGGAAGTTTGAATCTGCTGATGATGGAGTCCGTTAAAAACCCATCTCCCAGCGAAATCGAATCTTTGCTGCTATCTCAATTGCTTTTTCCTCAGGCTTGGGGCCGAGTCTGATAATATCTTAAAGTACCAGAGAAAGCCAATCCGATGAAGAATCCTGGTCCGTCTATGTGGTAAACCCTTGTCAATCCCATATATCTCTACTGATTTGATTGTATGTCAAGGCTCTGCTGACTGCTAGAAACAATTAACCTGGGTCTCAAGTAGAATGCTGACAGAAATCGCCCAATAAGTTGTTTAAACGTCAGCCAAGGTTTGATAAATGCCTGATTATAGCAGTCACGTTCAGGTCCGAATTATAAGCACATGCACTTTTGATTAAACAAGCCACCACGGCTGGTTCCAGTAATTTCCCTTTGCGGTTTCCGTTGTCCAGAAGTGAATAGAAACCAGGTAACGGAGAACATGAGGGGTGGCAGAGACGCACTCTCTTCTTTGGGCGCTCAGATACTTTTCTTTGCATGGGAAGTCTATCATGTCTGCCGATACTACCATCGTGATGAGAGTGAGCTCACCCTTTTCAAGAAGATTGCGGCTCAATACTTCTTTTCTCAAGTTTTGAAGCGATTTTCATAAATGTATACGCTGAACTTGTCGACTAATTTGCAGGTATCCTGTAGAGCGCAAGTTGTTGACGAAAGACCTTCCCGAATCCAAGCAGAAACCAGGAATACCGGGCCTGGTCAGCTCACGATAGGGGATATCTGTGCACATGGAATATGAAATCAAGAGCAGATCTCGTCTACCACATTTGTACATGGCAGCATAGTCGCACAGCGTAAATTTAAAAGATAATCTGTATCTTTCGATTAGCTTGTATGGGTCCTTGAAGAGCAGGCCGACAGTCCTAGCTTCTTCTATGGGAGACACGACGGGCTCAAATATACCACTGCTTTCAATTACTTGTCAGACACTTTTGTCCGCTACCAAGGCCCTTTAAGTAATCGAATACGTAGAAATCGAATATAAATCATCAATCGCAGGTTAGGTTTCCGCGGTGATGCGTTGCAACCACTATAATTGTGCCATATATGACGGATAGCTCCGTATTAGCTGTAATAAACGAGCCTCTTTCCTTGCTTATGGCAAAACGAATTACGAAGTCGACTCCCTGTGGATCTTTAAGCAGGAACGGTGCCGTACTGACTCAAGCAATATCGCGTCTATAATGACATACCTGTCATATCACTCGGTTAAAATTCTCGAGTCCGCAAAAAACTGAGCACCTCGCTTCATCGAAACAAAACATAGCTGAGAGTCCATCAGGGTAGGTGCTGCAGCCTCTCCCTATTCTCTTCTCAGGATCTGTTCATCTGACACAGCGCAACACTCGACAATTCCCTGCGGGCACTCCTCCGCTCCGTCCCCGTTGAGTATGTGACCGAAGTAGCTACAGACCTCAGTGGCAGTATTCATGGCGGCTTCGATAGCGTGGATCCCAAGTAGTAAAATATGAACCCATCACCAAAGAGAACAGAGTGACCTAACGCATCTCGTTCCAGTCCGTCATGATCGACGTGGGCTGTCAATGTATACCGGTTTCAGAATATGCAAACCTTGCCGATTTACATAAGGAGCTTGAATCTGGAGATAATAGTGTCCGTAAATAAACCGAATTCCTATTAAAATCAGGGATGGTGGCTGTAGTTTTCGTGGATTCATCTTCTCATCTTGCCAACTAAAGCAACGTTGGGGCCCAGCTTCCAGCTACCAGGGCACGTCTGGAGGAATTGACGGACCATGTCTGCCATAAGGCCTTGGGGGATATTTGCTGGGTCATGATTTCGACTGTCTTATAAGCACCGGCAATTGCAAGAGTTCCGAATCGGAATATGCATAACTGACGAGCAGGTTCTACCTTTTCTCAAAACGGTAAGAGACCCTCCGGTTCGTCAACACCAGAAATCTACAACACTAAAGGCAAATCTTTGGTGATCCCGTAATCGATCACGACAGCAAATCCTGAAGGCCTTGGCAGAAGCCAACGACGAAGCGACGAGCCACCAATACCATTATGGCTGCTCCCTATGCGTTAATTTATTGCTATCCATATCACCCTAGGCCTGTTCATTTTGACAGAAAAGCCCGACACGACGCGAAGCGTGACATTTTACCAGTACAGCACTAAATAGGACCAAATCGGATGCTAGTACCTGTTTAGTTACAAGGACTACAGTGGCGTCTTGGCCAGTGGCGTTACATATTCCTTACTCTAATTAGGAGCTGGCGTTCTTCTGACAATATGCCCAATGCTTCATTGGCGTTAGCTAGCTCCTGATTGAAAGGGGGTGGGTGCATGTCTGAAAATGCTCACCCTGTGGATACTGGTTGAAATTGAACGCATGGTAACCGCGTCTACCAAGAGCTGTAGTGCATTTCCATACACAACTAAACCGTATCGTGGATAATTGGATTTTAAGAGTCAAACTCTCTTGTAGGGCGTGACATCTGCACGTGTATTGGGTACTGTAAGTTACCGGCAGGGTGTAATACAAAGAACCGGGATCGTCCTGGACCGAGTGGCCCTAGCGCAGTCCGAAGTGGACCCGGGCACCATGGCCAGATAAAACCCACCAATTAGAATGACGGTGTTGGCGCCTTGTACCTTTTGCCGGGCGGCAACAGAGTGCAGTATTGGCATGGACGACCAATCATATTTGTTATTGCCGGCAGAATGCTAAAAGAAGGCGGTAAGTCGCAGCAGGGTGTGGTTTATTGGTTGATAATGGATATCAGACTGGAGAAGTTGGAGATCATCAAATGCATTCAATGGCATGATTTGCACTTGTCGAAGAAGAGAAAAAGACTGTATGAAGACGTCACAAGATACACCAAGTAAAATGAATATCAAAGCCGCTGTCTGATCTCATTATCCCTGTTGTCTCTTAATAATTCCAGGGGTACAACACTCCGTACTTTGCACCCCCATATGAGATGTCCTCGGCAACCACAATCTCCGAAGCAAACATGGGCAATTGATGATATAGGACGTACTCTGTTGTCCAGTTGTCGATTAAATACTCTTAGTTGTGCTCATAAAGTCAATTTTAATAATTTACACATGGCATACCCGAATTACCACGGTACACGGCCCTTGATACGCATACATACATCCGCCATACATGCAGGTCGAAGCATCCTACTACCATAATCACAACAACAAATCTCAGGATAACAACAACCAAACAATACTCACAGCAGTACATCATGTTTAACAATATATGTACAAGTAATAGAGCTGCTTGTCTTGTTTTATCCTGCCTGAAGAAAGCACTATGATCCTTTAGCTGGCAAAACTCCATTGGGCATCCTTGATCTGGAGTCTGGACCAACGCCGGGGGTGTGCTTCCCCCGTAATCAGTCCTCTTCCTTTTCCTTTATCTTTTCTTTTCCATCCTCGTCTCATCTTCTTTCCCTTATCCTTGCTGTCACCATCACTGTCACTGTCACCTTATATCTCAACTCTGTATCTCAGTACGGAGCACTGTCTGCCCGTAGAGTAAGCTGCCCGATCCATTTGCAAAGATCAGCACTGCATTCCTCTCCGCTTGGAATTTGCCGCCGTCTCCTCTTTTTGTTCTTCTTCTCCTCTTCTCCCCCCCTTCATGAATCTGGATATTTGTTATGATTGTGATCGTTTTTATCTAACGGGCATTGACAATATATCTAGTTCTTTCCCCTTTTCCCTCTGCTTTAGTCCAAACCGCGGTTCAGCCTCGATTGATCCATTCCTCCCGCTCAAATAAAACGGGGACCATCTCAAAAGGATCAACCCTGCTGGACCACGTGACCTTTGCTGACTGTCTAATCGACTTTCCCACCTCGACGACCGCCGCTGCTGGCCTCGCAATTTGCATATGATCTCGTCCTGACCGGTTGTTTCCCCTTTTGATTTCTTTTTCGTCTTCGATTCGAACTTAACTTGCAAGCACCTTACGAATCGCTTGCGATCCGTCTTTTATTTCTTCAAGAGTTTCGACTTTTTTTTTTTTTTTTGTGGTGCCGTGCACGAGCCTTGGTCCTAAAGGCGGTGGTCCGGACTTTCGTCCAGGAGGCGTGACTTCCACCACTATTGCTACCACGACAACTACCACGACAACTGCCATCCCCAATCCTTCGAACCGGCTGCTCCCTTATCCTCCTCCTCCTCCTCCTCCCTCCCTCTTTCGCGTCTCCCAACGGGTCCCTTTCGGTGGCTATATTCTCACCTCGCCATCTCGCATCCCCTGGGCCGTTGATCTCGTCGCGCCTCTCGTGATCTTCGCTCCGCTACTGCCAATTCCCCAATGCTTGGAGGGAGCTCAGAGCGGAACCTCGCTCTGAAATCTGCCAACGGAGAAGCACCCATGTCTGTCGCGTCGGGTCAACAAAGTCAGTCTTCCCCCCTTTTTTTCTTTGTCTACTTCTATTTACTAGTTATCGATGGTAATGTTTACTAACGCTAATTTCTTTCACTTCGTTAGACCCCGAATCATCGCTGCCCCATAACCAGATGAATAACACCGATGTATCGCTCTCGCAACCCAAACCCGGGGAGTCGTCAGAACAGGTTCCTGGCTCTGTCGCATCTGCTCAAGCTTCCGGTGCTGCCGCCAATGCAGATCTCGCCGATGGATCGAGGAAACACCTGCTTGCGCCCGCTGCATCGCGGAGCTCGTCAAAGGTAGACAAGCAATCAACGCTCGACAAGGCGCAGGAGACGGTCCACGATGATTCAGAGAACACATTGCGAGGTTCGAAGAGAAGCATTCTGAAGGGGCGGAGAGACAGGAGTAGGGGTAGTAGCAGGAGATCTCGACGGCAAAATCAAGACTCGGCTAGCGTGGAGAACCAGAAGATGCCGACCGGTCCGGAAGCGCCCCAGCCAGAAAAGAAGAAGGTCTCGCTCCGGATTTTTGCTTTCCTGAGTTGCTGCTCCTCATCCAATGTCGATTCAGAAGACACGGCCATTCCAGCCAAGAAAACCGTCAAGCGGCAATCTCTGTCCAACCGGCAGCCTACGCCAGAGAAAACGGAGCCCACCCCTACCGATCAGAGCACAACAGGACCTAGGGAGCAGAATCAATATCGGGAAGAAAAGCCTAACCCGACCGTGACTTCCAATCAATCCCCAACTCAGGTTGAAGAAGAAAGCAATGCTGCGCTCCAAGAGAAAGACGCGCAAATCAATGAGACTGCCCCGGCTTCCGACCAGATTCAACCCGATCATGGTCCTGCGACCGTTCAGAAAGATTACGATGACCAAGCCTCGACAAGTGCACCCCGTGATGCGGCACCGATGCCAGCCCCGGCACTGGAAAAAGACGAAAGCCCTGCGCAGAAATCCGAGGAGCATGTTCAGTCTCCTTCAGTCACTTGGGATCAATCTGTTGATGATTCTCCGGTGGCAGACCCGAGCAAGGCAATGGCAAAACCGTTGGCCGAGACCGATCCGAAAGAGGAAGTCCAATATTATGCCCATGACGAAGAAGCTATGGGAATACCACCACCCCCGCCTCCGATGGCTCCCCCAAGTCAAGAGGGAATCCAACAGCAGTGGCTGCTGCCGCCTGCTGTGCCTCCATTGCAAAATCGGAAATGTCTTGTTCTCGATCTGGATGAGACCCTGGTACACAGTAGCTTCAAGGTTCTTGAACGCGCCGATTTTACTATCCCGGTAGAGATTGAAGGCCAATACCACAACATCTACGTGATCAAGCGACCTGGAGTCGATCAGTTCATGAAGCGAGTGGGAGAATTATATGAAGTGGTTGTCTTCACGGCATCTGTCTCCAAATACGGTGATCCTCTATTGGACCAGTTGGACATCCATGATGTCGTCCACCACCGATTATTCAGAGACAGTTGCTACAATCATCAGGGCAACTACGTCAAGGATCTCTCTCAGATCGGGCGTGATATTCGGGAGACAATCATCATCGACAATTCCCCGACTTCATACATCTTCCATCCTCAACATGCGATACCCATCAGCAGCTGGTTTTCTGATGCTCACGACAATGAGCTTCTTGATTTAATTCCTGTTCTCGAAGACCTTGCTGGCACCCAGGTTCAGGATGTCAGCCTGGTTCTTGACATCTCCTTATGATTGATGTCTTCAACCTCGTCCATCCGACTTACTTTCTTTCTTATTTTTGTTTCTTCTGTTTGTGCGAGAGTCTGACTGAGTTTGACTCGGGCTTCTCGTTTTCCTTTTCTGCTTAATTCTTCTAAAAGAAAAGGCAAGAATACCTTGCTCCCACCCTGCTCGATTACCTCGATGATTCTAGTCAGCAATTCGTGTGTATTTGTTGCATCTTCCGAATTTTCCCAGATTGATCTTGACCGTTTTGCATCAATCAATTGTTGGGTCTTTTGTCTGTACTCCTAGAGAGTCGATACCTTGTCTTTGCACCTTGTGTAACCTTTCCTTCTTTGCTTGATTTCCTTAAAGTTTCCTTATGTTTGTTATACTTTGCCCCGAGATTCCCTTGTCTTTTTCACTTTTTGCATCCTGCAGGCGTCTGTATTAGTTTTCAGCCTACATTTATGCTGATCTCATGTATACGCTCCTCTTTTTTACATTCTCTTCTATACTTTTCTTTTCTGTCTTTATTTCTCTCTTTTGGTCTTTTTTAATAATTGCCCTGAGAGGCTCGACAGCACTGTCTTGTTTCCTATTGATTTCCTTGATTTCCCCCTTGTGTTTGAATTTCGACTCACTGTTACAGCCCTAGTATCCCATTTCCTTTTCCTTGTTTTTGGTTAGCTATTGACATTCTTGGTCCGGGCTCTGGCTTGGGCACTATCTCATGCCTTCGACCGGATGTTAGAAAGTCGGGACCCTTATATGTACATGTACTTGGTTAGTGCGGCGCACGTGCTGTACATAAAAGCGTTCGTCATTCCAAATACAGCATTATTGGCGTCTTAATACCCGTATTGAATAGGGCTGGATTTAAAGTAACTTTCACGTAGAATAATGCGGGGATTAACCCAATCTACAAAGCTACTTACAAATGCAGTCGAATTTTGAAAGGATAGAATTGATATTTTCCTCCAAAAAATTCGGGAATAGTTCATATTTAGGTTAAGTAGCATAGACTGGCACGAACCCAACGTACCACCCTCAACTCCGGGCCAAGATACGATCACGAATCAGCTCTGCATGTGTCTGCTGTCAGAAACGGAAGATAAGGGTATGGCTCAATAGTGATATTGATCGATACGGTCCAGTTATATCAACGACTTGGAGACAAGGATTGCATGGCTGGAGTCTGTTGTCTGGGAGCATGCTCCGGGTGTCGATCTGGATGGGGAGCAAAATCATCAACCTACGATCAATGGCGTTCGGACGCTTGAATCTCCTCGTTATCCCACGAAGCTACTACTGCTATCATCGCTAGCCGTGGCCATAGCAATGATGCCGCTTCACTGCGCGAAGTCACCGATCAGATTGGACTTGTTTCAGTCAACGGGGCAGATTTCCGATACCTGGGCCCTTCCAGCGGATCATTCTTCAAGAGACCTGTCTTAACAGAATTAGAACGGAAGGTTGAGATTGGAAACACATCTTCCCCAGATTAAGGAGCAAATGAAATTCTTGCTGTTCCGCCCGAATGGCCCGATGTTGAGCCAAGGGACCTGCCATCGGACCCGAGACATGTTCAGTGAATGCCACAGACGTATTTCTGGAGTGTTCACTTGCAATCACCCTGCCTGCACGAACAGGCACATCTGGAGATTGTTAAGAACCTTGACGATGGCGTTGATGTCGGGCCAGCATGCTGGTTGCAGATATTTATGGTCCTGGCCATCGGTGCGACGATTCGATCTCATCAGGCGAAGGTGCTGCTGTCAGCTGAGGGGTACTGTTCTTTGGCTGTTGCTCATATGGATAGTCTTTTTGGCAGACCTCTGTCTGGCGTTCAATGCATTCTGCTGTTTCAGGTGTATACAATTAACAACTCATCATCGGGGCCGAGTCTTTGAACTCTTCATTATCATTATTTGGCATCAATACTGGAGTTGGGGTTACAGCGCAATGTTCAAGGTAGTCATCTTCCTGTCTTTGAGCAGGAGATGCGGACCAGAGATTTCTGGTACGTTTACACTGTTGATCGGATGTTGAGAACTCTCTTGGGGAAGCAGATTGGATTGATGGATGAGCAGTGCAAGTTGAGGGCAAGTAACCTATTCACTCAATGACATTCGAATCGTATTAGCCGTATGTAATTTCCGCAAGATATCAGTGATGGAGACCTCAAGCCAGACAGACACGAAATGAACTTAACAGGAAACACCCTAACCAACATTTCCAGCGCAATCCACCTATTTAAGCTATCAAAATCCAACGCAAGAATTGAATGTTCCTTATATTGTGTTAGCTGACTCAATGCTCTATATTCTTAATTAGCCATCACAGACATCGAAAACTGGCAAACCAACGTCCTACATAATATCCACTAATGGAAGTCCGAAATCCCACGCCATCCAGAAATCTCCCCACGATATGACCCTGCGAAATTTAATACCACGAACTAATCATGCTACTCTCCAACAAAAACTACCCAACTCCTGTCTGCGAATGCTTCTCCAGCGCTCAAAGGTGCACTTGGCTCTATCACAGACTCCATGTCAGAGACATGCTGCGCTATAGCTGGATCAGCATGCATTTGTTATTTTTGTGCGTGATTACGATTTCCTACTGTGCCTGCGCACCAAATGGCGTTGCCGACGAGGTGGACTTTGGTGACTTTATGAGGATGCTTTAAGTCTGCGTCGGACATCCTCAGTGTATTGGCTCGAGGCGAAACGGAGCCGGGATGTATATACGAAGGCGCGTGTCTGATGGAGAGCCCGAAATCCCGGATAAGTTTGTCTCTTCTCCTTCTCCGCCTCCAATGTCTCAACTGATGATGGAAATAATGAATGTCAAGCTAGGAGAATAAAGGCCAATCAGATCTCGAGTATCTCTTACTGTGAGGCTCCATTTTGAGTCTTTTTGCTGGTTGATCAAAATGAGGGAGCGGCCAGCCCGCCTGGCTTCCATGAAAGATATGTCGACATTCTCAAGCCACCCGTTCATTATGACAGAGAAGAGCACCCTTCCCCCATCCCATACGACGGCTAAAGAAACAGATCGATTATTGTCATTGTGATGGGATTCCCGGCCGGTCTTCCCCCAAGGACGGGTTTTTTGCGAGTACTTTGGGTCTATAAATGCGTCATTCTGTCGTCTCTCGACTGCCTACATTTCCTCATTCTCTTGCACGCTGCACTCTCTCAAAGTCTACAACATGAGTGTCACATACGACGTCTTCCGTGGCTCTCCTGAGGGCAACATTGTCGCCGACAAGGTCACCCAAACGCTCAAGCACAATGAAGTTTTCATCGAGACCATAGCTTCTGGTCTCTGCGGAACGGACGAGCACTTTCGGAAGGCCAGCCAGGTCCTCGGACATGAGGGCGTTGGTTTCGTGAGAGCTGTTGGCTCTAGTGTGACCTCTCTGAAGATTGGGGATCGTGCTGGATTTGGGTTTACGCATAGTATTTGCGCAAATTGTGATAACTGCGTTACTGGTAGTCCCTCCTCCTCAATGACCTTGGTATTTGTTTTCTATTCTGACGCAGGACTCGAAGACTGGGACCAGTTTTGCCGCAACGTTAAACAATACGGCATGAACGACTTCGACAATGGCAGCTTAAGCTATGGTGCCGTCTGGGACGCCAACTGCGTCTTCCCTATCCCAGACGGACTCGACTCTGTACATGCTGCCCCACTGATGTGTGCCGGTGCTACCGTTTGGACTACCTTGACTAGATTCAATATGCGTGCCGCAGATCGTGTGGGCATCATGGGCGTCGGTGGTCTGGGTCACATAGCTATCAAGCTTGCTGCTGCGCTGGGATATTACGTCATTGTGCTTTCTACTTCTGAGGCAAAGAGACAGGAAGCTATGGAGTTTGGTGCGTCGGAGTACCATGTGTTTCGTTCCGGTGGAGGGCTGCCGGAGGGGTTCGAGCCTATCAAGCATCTGTTGCTGTGTGCGAGTGGGGATGTCGATTATTCTTCGTTGGTGTTCTATCCACGTTTTGGGTGTAGGTAATATGGCCAACTAACGTGTTTTATAGTCTGTTGGCCCTTATGGATACGCCCAGTACCATCTACCCGTTGACTGCTACGTTTGAGCTTTCGAAAATACCCACGTTGGAGCTATGCTTCAAAGGGGTTCGAATCCAGGGCTCTTTGGTCTCTTCGCGGAATAGCATCCGTACCCTTCTTGATTTTGCGAGCAAGAAGAGAATCGCCCCAACTGTCATGACCTTTCCGTTGACCATTGATGGGATTGAAGAGGCGATGAAAACTCTGAGGGAGGGGAAAATGCGGTACAGAGGTGTGCTTGTTCGAGAGTAACTAGGTCGTGACTACGCCGTATATATGTATCTAGATGGCTTAACAGGCGGAAAATATGATCCCCTGCAGTTTTTCTTTGCTTCCCGTATTAGGGAGTATCCCGTGCGTATATCCTACAAACTAACAACTATCTTTTCCGCCGATACCCCCTTCCCCCATTCATCAATTCCCGTCTGAATAGCCTCGAGTCCTTTCCCAACAACCCGCGGCGCAGGAGCAGCAGCATACTTGCCCTTCTCCAATGCCTGCGGCAAGTAGTCATTGTATATAGCTCCGCCAACTTCATTATCCTTGACGCTGATCGCATAAACGAACTTGATCTCCACATCCGTCTTCAAATCCTCAGGTGCAGGCCACACAGTCACAACGACCATGCGCGTTTGCAGTTTATCCAACACAGCTATACAATTCTGCAACGCACCGCCCGCATGGATGGTATCGTATACACCCGCAAGTTCCTTACCCTGCAGCGCGGCAACAAGATCCTCCACAATAGTCCTACTGCGATAATAAAACACTGCACTCGCACCTAGTTTGCGCACGAGATCAAAATTCCGCGGCGACGCTGTCGTAACAACCTCATACCCAGCGGCAATCGCCAACTGAATCGCATTCACCCCCACGCTCGACGCACCACCCCAAACTAACACCGTCTTACCGCTCGAAATCGGCTCAACACTTGGCAACCCCAATCCTAAAAAGTCCTTCTGAAACAACCCCGCCGCAGCAGTCGACACGCCCAATGGCAACACAACCGCCTCCTCAAACCTCAAAGTCCCGGGGATCCGCGCCGCCACGTTATCCAACACAGTCGTATACAACTGAAACGCGCCATCCTGCGGCCGTTGCGTCGCCATGCTCATCGCGTGCGCAAGGACTCGATCACCGGATTTGAAGTTCGTGACGGAAGAACCGACTTCGACGACTATACCGGCGACATCGTGGCCGAGGATTGTGGGGTAGGTGAGGGGGAAGTTGGCTTTTGTTTGGAGGTGCCAGTCGATAGGGTTTATAGCGACTGCGGCATTGCGGATAAGGAGTTCGTTAGGGGCTGGGGGGTTGTAGGGTGCGGGTTGGATGGAGAGAGGGTTGGCTTGGGGGAAGGGGAGCCAGGCTGCTGAGTTGGTGGGCATTATAGGCTTGGTATAAGTAATCGAAGGTAGAGAAAATAATTGAGGGTAACGGGTAAGAAGACCTGTATTTGTAGTCGATAATGTGTAATCAGCGGATTTAACAGTATCTCCGATAAACCCATAAACTGCACCCAGACTAGTTTAGCGCGTAAGCATCTCGCATTAGCGCTGTCAATCATCCAATAAAAGCTCTCTTATGCATAGCAAAATTTCTTAGCCTACCCACTTAGCAGATCTAGGAATCGATTACCAATGGCGCTTCGAAAGTCAGCAAGTTGCATAAACTACAATCGACCCCAGACTCATTTCCCACAAGCATTCATTGCAATTTGACCCTGCTGTCAGCTGGGCAGTTATTATTACCACAATGATTGCTCAAAGAGGAAATACAGACGCGCAGGTACAGTCCGGGCATGTTAATCCGCGAGATCAGATGCGGGTTCCCGAGGATGATTGGAGAGGGATTATAGATCAGAAAAAGAGAAGAAAGTTACAGAATCGGTTGAACCAGAGGGCGTACCGTGAGTTTCTTTGTATCTTCTGGAAGGAATTAACCGGCACTGACGGCGAATTAGGCTTAAGGAGAAAAGGAATCAGCCCTCCGGGAGAAAACAACTCCACCAACCTCTCCCAAGTAATCACATTCAACGGAAATGAAGAAGAAGAACAAGAAGAACAAGAAGCAGACATCATGAAATGCTCCCACGCCCCACCAAACGCCCTAACCTTCCAACGCTGGTTCGAAGCCACTGTGCACCACAGCTACCTCCACGGCAATCCACAAGTGGAACATCTGATCAGCCTTAGCCGACTGAACGTTCACCGCGCTATTAACGAGAATATAAAATTACTCGGGATGGACTCTGATTGGATGAAGAGTGATGATTCTGTTTCCATTTTTAATCTCGTTCAGCCTATGGCTAGGGACAGGGCTGGGGAAGTGTGTATTCCGTCGAGCTTACGGCCAACGACTATACAACGAACTGTCCCGCATCATCCGTGGCTGGATTTCTTTCCGTTTCCGCGGATGCGTGATATTTTGATTCTTGCCTGCGCTGCTAATAGTGGTTTTGATGATGATGAACTGTGTCATGATCTTATGGCGTTTTGGGATACGAGGAATACAAATGCGACATTACTGGTGTGGGGGCCACCGTGGGATCCAGGGAACTGGGAGGTGACGGAAACGTTTTTGAGAAAGTGGGGATGGTTGCTCAAGGGATCTCGAGAGTTATTTGTTTCGACAGGGACCTGGAGGAGGAAAAGAGGGGAGAAGACTTTGAATTGGGGGAGTTATGCATAGAGTGCAGATAATGTAAATTAAAACGCATGATTAATCACGACTTTTGAGCTTACCTTACTAACGGAAATACATCAGCTTTCAAACTGAATCATAACTTTCGTCTCCAGATGCCGATCAAACCGCTCATAATACTCCGGCACGTCCTCAATCCCAATCACACTACTCACAATTAACCCCGGCCTTGCCCTCCCACTTGCAATCAAATCAACCAGCGTCGAGGCCCAAGGCAACACGTCCACAGCCCCACTACGTATGCTCAAGCCCTTGTCAAAGAACTCTGATATGGGGAACTCGATTGTCGGCGACATCGTACTTCCTCGAGGCGTCCCGCTTGAGTTCTCCGACACAGTGAACCAGCCTATCTCGCCAATACCGCCTCCCTGTGCGGTTACGGAAATCATGTTATTGATGACGATGTTCTGCTCGTGTCTGAGATTTGCGTTGACGGCTTCGTAGCCGATACAGTCGATGCTGCGTGTTACGCCTTTGGGTTCGTATTCCAGTATCTGCTCCACGGGATCGGAGTCCCGGAAGTTGATGGGAATTGCGCCGATTGATTCTGCCATTCTCAACCGTTCTGGGACATGGTCAACCGCGTACACTACAGACGCGCCGCGGAGGATGGCAGAGTATGCAGCTAGAAGACCAACAGGGCCAGAGCCAAATACTGCTACTGAATCGCCGGGTTCGAAACCGGAGAAGTCCATCCCGGCCCAGGCTGTGGCGAAAATGTCACCCACGAGAAGGTAGTCGTTGTCCAACGTGTTTCTTGTGTCGTTCGTATCAGGAATTGGGATGAGGTTGTTATCAGCGAACGGCACGCGGACATATTCAGCTATCAGACTTAGCGGTTAGCTAAAAGCCCCTTGTACGACGCAGAAAATGGCATTGATATCACCTTGACACCCCCCTGCAAGCCCATAATCAACCCCATATCCAAACCCCACATCTTCCCTACCCCCAAACTCCATGTATCCATCATAAGTAGCATCAGGAACAATAACCCGATCTCCAACATCCACAAAACCAGTCGCACTTCCAATCTCATCAACGACACCGATACATTCATGTCCCATGATCCACGGCACGGTCCTGCTCCCGTATACACCGTGGTAGGTGTGGAGATCTGTCCCGCAGATAGCGGCTGTGGTGACTTTGATGATGGCGTCGGTTTGGTTCTGGATTTTGGGAATTGGAACGTCGGTTACGTTCATTTGGAAGGGAGTGCCTGTCCAGAGGACGGCGCGCATTGTGGCGTTTAAGGCCATTTTCGTTGTTTGGGGGGAAGAAATTGGATGTTCAATGAGGAAAATGTGGGTTTATGAGGATACAGCATCCTTGTTCGTGATCGTCATGACTACAACTGTGCTCCGAGGAAGCTTCAAAATACTCCGGAGTACTGATCATTGCACTCAACGTCGGTATTCACCGATACATAGATACACCAGGCAGCATAGTATCCAGCTTTGTAGCACCATTTCTAAATAATGGAGGAGTGGTACCATTGTGCTGGAGAACGATTGTTCTGAATCTAGCTTGACCGTCATTTTTACCCTGATATCTACGAATTCCCCGAGGACTTCATTGTAGCTACCGCACAACCTGGACTTTTCAACGATAATCCTGCCTCTGGGCTTCTTAAAAATTCTAAAATAATAAAAAAATAAATAATAATAAAGGATTGATACCTTACTGTATGTATTCATCTCTTTAGTTTGGTTTTTCGAGATACTTAGACTATAACCTATAACACAAGAAAACTGCCATAAATTTAGTTATAAGTAAAGCTATGGTTTGATAGTACAAAACAAGACCAGATCCATTCCACAACAGTTACGACAGCCGCCTAAGCATGGTCAATAGGCGCAGGGCCCGCTTCGATAGGATAAGTAAAGATGTAGTTGGGACCCTTTGCCATAAGGCCATTCGCACCAGGACGCATCTGCGAGGCAGGAAGCCAGAGCTTCTTATCAGCCGTAACCCACATGAGATCAGTCCAGAGCAAAGCATTATCTTGGACAAGCACCGTCGCGCGTCCTTCGGGGGTGACCTTCCAGATGGCAAGCAAGTTGGTGTCGCTAACATAGATGTTGCCGTTCGCGTCGATCGTGGTACCACCGGTACTAGGCGTCAGGGCAAATGGTTCAGCGTAGTCCCCGAGAGTTGTTTCCAAGGTGGAATTGGTAAGAGTTGCATCGACAAAGGCTGTTTTGATGCGGTACAGGCCACCGTTGCAGGGTTGGTAGTACAGATAGACGCCATCGGGGGAGACCTCGATCTGGTCCAGACCAACCTGAAGCGTGTTGCCTGAGGGACCGTAGCCTGGGACCAGCGTGCCATTGTACATCATGGGATACCAAGCCGTGGCTGAGTCATCGTTCGCAAGCACACGTTTGCCGTGGCCTGTGGTCATGTTCAGCACCAACAGCGCGCCAGCCGTGTCACTGAGATAAGCAACATCACCAGCTGCATTGAACCGTACATCATCAACGCTGCTGCTCGATGCAATTATGCTATCAAGGTAATAGAGCTTATCAACAGCGTCGGTCGTCAAGTTCACCCCAACCAGCTTGGAAGATCCATTAACCCCCTGCGAGCCACCATCAACCAACCAGTATCGTCCATCAGGTCCAATGCGTGCGCCGTCGATGCTGACAAACGTCCGTCGAGGGTTCGAGTCCGGGTTGCTGGAGTTGTAAGAGTTCCACGCAGCATTCGGGTAGAGTCTGGTCGAGTTGTCGCTGAGCAGCTCGACGGCCTGAGGCGGGTCACTCGTAGAGTAGCGCTGCGAGAGGAATTTGCGACCATCGGAAGATATGCTGATACCTTGAGTTGCGCGGTTCAAGGAGTAGGCGAGTTCAAGGCCTGGGGCCAAGGCTACCGCTAGGGAAGTTGAGAGGCCCAAAAGAGCAACGAAAAGACCTGCCATCATTGTTTCTCTTCTTTTCTCGAGCAATTGATATGATAGGGGAAAATTCGAAGGCCATGGTGTTATATTTATATATAGTCGTCGGCCTTAAAAGACATTAGGGCAACGCGGTTTCCAAACGAAGCACTATGAATCCCCGAGACATGATATGCATTCAGCAATGATCCTTTCCTGAATAGACTTAGACTCCGCAGTGATCCATCGGAGATATTTGGGCTCTGCCAGAATAGGATGTTTCGTCCTTCATTCTAGCTAATATCCGATTCAATATACAGGCTCTCCAATATCAACAGCAAGAGAATCTTATCTGATCAATCCTCATTAAGGTACTGGAGAAACTGCTCATCTTCCGAATATGGCGTGGCATGTGGTCACGTGACATCGCGTGAAATTGTATACATCACGTGATGTTCAACGACTTCGTCCGGCAGACATTACCAAAAGAACGGTTGCTCCTCCTGCCAGTATCGTCCGTCATAAACGACCTTGTCATATCTTTCCACCGTGCGCTACTATCACTAAACTACCACTTAGCTGCCGTCTCCCACTTCGCCTTGTTTCCGACAAGGCTACGAACCTCGGACTCCCCACACCGTCACGTCACGTCCGCATTGCCCCTCCGACTGCGAATAAACCACGCGCAAATACACTACACGAACCATGAAGGATAACAACGGCTGGGACGGAAAGCTGCGGGTTGGACAGCACGCAGAAATCACAAACCCGGAAGCTGTGGAGGACCCCGAATATTCGGATCCAGAGGCGCCGCCTGTTGAAGAAATCGAAGCCGATGAGGGTACGTCATTGTAGCTGGAATTGTAGATAGTGCTTGATGTGGACTAACGATTCCTGCAGATTTACTTGAAGATGAGGACCCGGAAACTGACGTAGGTGCATCTTGTCTGTGTTGCGCAAGGAAAGTCAAATTCATGGGTGTTCTAGCAAATCGATCTCGTACACTCTCGTATAAGCTCAATTCCCGCATTGCATCTGGAACGGTTTCCTAAGGTAGAGGTATGTCTTCTCTGACTGAAATAGATGCGCACAGCCAATAACATGCTTCCTGGAATAGAGATTATGTCTCCGCCAGAATCAAATCCACCGAATCGCATTCCCTCCGGAAATCGCGGAGAAGTTGATCGACCTTGATCTTTACGATAACCTCATTTCGCATATCAAAGGCTTGGACGACTTCCATAATCTCACTAGTCTCGACTTGAGTTACAATAAGATAAAGCATATCAAAAACGTGGCGCATCTAACTAAGTTGACGGATATCTATTTCGTGCAAAATAAAATTTCGAGAATTGAAGGATTAGAGAGTTTAACGAAGTTGAGGAATCTTGAGCTTGGTGGCAATAGGATCAGGGTCCGTCTTCCTTGTTTTAGCGCATTTCCCATATGCTGATCGTTCCAGGAAATCGAGAACCTCGACAGATTAGAGTCGTTGGAGGAGTTATGGCTTGGAAAGAACAAAATCGTTGAAATGAAGGTACATGTCAATCGGACGACTACGCCGTGTCTCAATACTGATACTTGCAGAACCTGGACCACCTCTCAAACCTTCGAATCCTCTCAATTCAATCAAACCGACTCACCAGTCTCTTCGGTCTCTCCTCTCTCAAGAAACTCGAAGAACTCTACGTCTCCCACAATGCCATTACAGATCTGAGCGGTCTCGAAAACAATACTTCCCTGCGGGTGTTTGACTTCTCAAACAACCAAGTCTCCAAACTCGAACACTTATCCAGCTTGGAGCAATTGGAGGAACTGTGGGCGTCGAACAATCAGTTATCAAACTTCGACGAGGTCGAGCGCGAACTGAAAGAGAAGAAGAATTTAGAAACAGTTTACTTTGAGGGCAATCCGTTGCAGATGAAAGGACCGGCCGTATATAGGAACAAGGTGCGGTTGGCGATACCGCATATCAAGCAGATCGATGCCAGTAAGTTGTTCTTCTTATTGAATGTTTATTGATAAATCATTTACTGACTTGGGTAGCATTCGTGCGCGTGTGAGCTCGTATATGAGCATCCGATGTCTTGACCAATGATACAAAATACTTTTTACATCTATATCCTAGTTTCATGTGTAATTTTAGCTCTTCGGGATCTGAGGGCCGAGCTCTTTCGCGATAACCTAATGGGTGGACTGCTCGCCAACTATCCACATCCCTCCCAGTGCAGAAAGGCCCCATCTCTGCATCCACTCCATCTCCATGACCCCTGCCGTAGTCACCGTCTCCAGTACCAGCAACTGCAATTTTAACAGCCACATATCTCTTCGCCAGAGTCGAATACCCCCCGAAATCGAGCTTGAGTATGATGTCGTGGCGGTTGTGGGTATGGTCTCCTATTGATGTGGGGTAGTAGCTCCAGGGCAATATTGTTCGATGTTTTCGGCGTCTTCGATTGATATGTATTTTACGCCGAGGGCATTGGTGGGATTCTGGGTTGTTATAGTTGAGTAGGAGTGCATTTTATGCTTGTGGATTCTGTGATAGGTGTGGGAATAGTGAAGGGTAGATGTAGAAAATGTAGAATAATAAGACAGGCTCAGTCGGGATAACTGGTTTTTTGAAACAGAAATGTTTGTCGTGCAATTGGTAGAGAGAACTGGTATCGTCCATCATCCACGTAACAAAACACAGATACAGCATAATTGGTATTTCTATACGCTCTACTATACGAGATATGGCAGAGTAGTTCAACAAGCTGGCCGTCATTTATCCCAATCATTCACCATCTTCACCAGGCAATATCTCAGACGCCCATTCAATAAGCGTAGATAGCTAGCGGCCCGAAAGGCTAGCATTGAAGTGTCGCTGGCAAACTTCAGCATCCGAAGACCCTAGTAGTCAATTGAACAAAGCTAGGCTTCTGTTCAATAAGATAATGGTTAAATGGTCTCCAATCGCTCGTTGTCCAGTCTGGACATCAACGCCGAGAGCTCTTATACCCCACTGGTGGCAGGCGGGAGCATTACGGGTGTCGCGATCTATAGTGGCATGGCATGGCACAGTACGTTAACCGTTGTGAAAGCGATAACCCACTCACTAAGTTCACCACCCTTCACCCTCTCCCAATAGCACCACCATTGTCACCATTACCACCCCTCCCTTCCGCCTTCAACCCCTGCTCATACATCCCCCACAAAGACGTAGCCCCCCACTTCTCATTCTCCGCAGAAATCCTCTTCTTCCCCTGTTTCTTACCCAAAAACCCACCTGCCAGATCCCTAAGTGGAATCTGCGTTGAATTCACCAAATCCCGATACTGGTGCGTATCACGGTCGACTTCGAAGTAACTGTGGTACGGATTGCGCTTTACGGCGGACTCGTGGTTGTGGTGAGATTTTTGAATGTGGCAGTTAAGGAAGCGGGGTTGTGACTGCCCTAGGGTTGAGAAAGGAGAGTTGGGCGCAGTTGTACTTGTGTTTGTATATTTTTTTACGTTCGCTTTTGCAAATGGGAGGGGGATAGTCAAGGGCGATGCCGCGATTGCGCGAGATGCCGCATCGCGCGTTTCGAAGATGACAACGGTGTGGCGGGCATGTGCTGGAGAGGAGTTTTTTGCGTCGTGCTGTTTGAACTCATCGCTCTTGTATTAGTCAGTGTCCACACAATATCAGCATGGTGGAAGGGATATACCCATAGGTTGCGAAAGGTGACGACTTCGCCGAACCTCTGCAAGGCCGCGAGGACCTGTCTGCTCTCGGTTAACGAGCGAGGGATTGGATCTGTTGTGATATGTACAGCCTGAGCTGCGAGTCGCGAAAGGGAAGAAGCCATGTTCAGTCAATTGATGTTTTCTTTACCGTGAATCGTAAACTCATGCATTCATTTGGAGAGTAGAGGAGAAACTGAGGATGCCGCGGGCATTTTCCGCTGGTCTTGGCATCCGTACAAAGCGATCGTTCTAAGGGGTACGATAAACTTAAGTTTAAGGTCATTATTGATTAAATATTGTTATATCCAACGATAGTGTTATACCCGATAAAAGACATGAAAATCGAATACAGTACAACATAAAGCGTGGTAGTCCCTCATCCTGAAAAGCCCTATAATCTGCACCCACTCCGAACTCCGTTCCGTAGAAGGAAAAAAGAATGGGAAAAAAAGAAAAAAAGGAAAATAGCAAAAGGATAGTATATAGTAGAATACACTTTTCAAATAATGATTATTATAATATCGAAGAATTAGAGAGGCATATCGCTTTATCCTGCATTAGTATATTTCGTATTAAACCGCCTCCACGATGTTCTCATTATAGGAGGAATTGGCATGATCGGGTCCTGCCCCATGCATACCAGGGTCGCCAGATACCCCTCCAACCATCTTCTCCAGCCATTCAGGCGGCACAAGTCCTTCGAGTCCGTTGGCCTGGTGCGACGGTCCACGGGATACCGGCACTTCATGGTCGGAGGGCTGGAACTGGAGATGGGTGTAATTGTTCGATCCAACATCATCGGAGATAGATGTTGAAGGCACACTCCATGCGGCATGGTTATGACCCATGTCGTCGATGGGCTGCGGTCCATTACCCAGGATGCTGTTGAGGAACTTGCTGCTTTCCTGGACATTGCTGACGGGGTGTTGGGAATGGATATAATGGCTGTCATGGCCCATGCCATATCCTGTAAGGTGAGGTTGAGGTAGATGGTATTCCGGGGCGTTTAGCATAACAGGGGCATCGGTAGAGCCGGTGAGGCTGGCTGGCTGGCTGGTCTCCGGTTGTTGCAAACTGGGAAAAGGATCGAGGACTGATGTAACCGCCGGTCTGTCCCCAAGGCCATCTTCAGCTCTGCTAATGGAGCTCAAGAAGTCGAGCGAGTTTGTCGTGTTGAACATGTTCCCCACGCTTTCTTGCGGTTGCTGATATAGCTGCCAGTGAGGCTGTGGCAAGCTATTGCCGTGAAGCAAGTCATGCGGCTGGGGAGGAGGGGCTTGGTAAACATTCGGAGGAGCGGGCCTATGCATAGAAAGCCCTTCCAGAGAAAGAGGGGGCAAATCGATCCCGGACACTGCTCTCGGGCTGTTTGTGATAGTGCGCTCAGGTGGAGGGATCAACTTCTTCCATGTGGTCGTCCCAACCTCGTTCGGTCGTGTTTGCCGGAATTTCCAAAGTACAATGGCCATTCTCTTTTCTTCATTCACTTGAGGATGAAATTGGTTGGACATCCGTCGGGGGTTGGGTGACGTTGCCCGGATTTCAGTCACTGCTGTCAGAGAGCGGAAGTACCGTCTTGTGCGCTCGTCGGCAGCATGGTGTCGCCCGGCATCTTCATCCCTTCGTTTATCCTGGGTCAACTCAGTAAGTCGCTTCACCCACCATGTCGACTCACACAGCGGTTGCACTTGCGTCGACAAGGGCTTTTTGAGGTTATGATGCGACTCCAGGATAGTTTGTCCATTCTCGTAGAGATAGGTACTGCAGACCCAGTTTTCCATCTGCTCAATCATCGAAACGTCGCCCGCTATTGGGTGGCCGAAGTCCAGATTCAGAACAATCCCCAGTCGTGAGCTAGGGGGGGGGAAATCGTCCATAAGCTCGAGGCTGGCTTCAAGCAAGATAATGTCACAGTCCAAAGCACCCTCAGCACCAGAGGTAAGCGTTGACAAGTGCGGGAAGGCGGTCCGCCAGCCCACCAGGCTTTCTAAAGGCATCGGTGGAGCTCCCGGGCGGTTCTGGTCCCCTTGAAGACGAGTGTACTGGTGCAACGCTTTATCTACCTGATGTGCCTGGTGAGGAGCTGTCACCCACATATCGAGATTTAACCCGTAGATAGTCTGGGAATTCACTGGCTCGTGAACATTCGAGCCCAGGGTGAAGTGTGTCGGAGGGGGGAGCTCTGCAGGGTAAGGCTGCACCGGCCGCAAGGGGTCATGGTAGACATTGTGAGCTGGGGGACGATAACTGCTTGGCACAGGAGATCGAAGCGAAGACCTCCACCGCGGACCAGTCGGCTGAGGAGTACCACCAGAGCGTTCCGATGACTGTTCTCGTACAAGTCTTTCCCCTATAGTCTTGTTAGTTCTGTTTTATGCCAAGTGGACACCGACACACTTACAGTCAGGGTCACCTTTCAGGAACGAGTCCAATACTTGCAGGTGACTGGAAACTTGCTTCCTGGTTCTTCTCTTGCCAGTGGCATCGTAGATGTACTCGGCAATCAGTTCATTGCGGCCATAGGACTTTCCCTGTTCAGACCATTTCCGTCGGCCCATTGGAGGATTTGCTTCGAGAGCTAAGGCATTGTTAGCATATACAGTCTATTTGTCCACATCGGGCAAGGACATAAGTCTCACCTTGTTGAAACGCATCCTCAAGTTCGTCTGACCATACTGCTTCCCCATCTTTGCCCGTGTCTCGTCGAGGACGTGCTCTATACTCGAGATACTTTTGCGATTTGAGGTAGCTCCTCGCCCGGCGAGCACCCCCCGAGCTATGACCAACGGAATTCATTCGTCGAAGCTTCTTTGCTTGAAATCGAGCCGCTAATGCCTGTTGCTGGTGGAAATTTGTGGGAGCGTGGATTGGATGAGCCGGGGCGGGAGGTGGATGGGGATACTTGTACGCCAGCTGTTGGAATTGCTCGTCACGGCCAGTGGCATCGCTGTGGTGTGCTGCAAGGTTGTCGGAGTATGACTGTATGTTGCCAGAGGTGTTCTGGAGCGCTCGATCGACATGAGCTCCTCCAACACTCTCCAGAGCAGGCTGGTTCTGGGGCAGAAAGTCCGGGTGCCAGTCGGTAGCCATGGGGAATCGAATGACCACCAAGGATAGTTATCCAACAAAAGAATGACAAATTCCAAGGAGGAAAGTGTTGAAAGACAGCCGGATGCTTACGACCTGGCAAGAACGCAGTACAGTCACCTAACACACCACAGATAAAGAACGCAAATGCTTGGAGAATGCAAGAATAAGAAAAGAGAATGCGGGAGCGGACAATGATGTTTATAGGAGACAGTCCCTGCCCTCGAGGAGGGGAGGACCGAGGTAGCCCTAGTAACATTACTGGCTGGCTTGTTTGGATAGCGTCTGCCCCTCAAGGGCACCCTCCTCCATCATTCAACAGCGCGCCTTCGCAGCATATCGCGTCACCAGCCCAGTGACAGGGACAGGAAGACAGTGGCCGTCCTTGCCGCGACGAATCAGGAGTCGAGAACAGGCACGATAGGGTACCAGCGAGCAGGATGCAAGGAGTCCATTTGGGGGCACGATCCAGTTAAAAGTCGTTCGGAGATTTTTGCAATGCACGAAATGAACATCGTTTCTCTACCAGGAACAGAGCAAAAAAGTATTGGCGCGGAAAAAGTGACGACGAACGGTTGCCAGGAATGCTGGTGCCCAGTCGAAGAATGTCCGAGTAACAAAGACAAGAACACTGGAATGCGGGTTTTGTGTATTAGGTCCTATTTTCATTGTTCCTATTTAAGGCTCGAAAAGAGGAAAGCTCTAGCTGTACAAAAGACGCCTAGTCTTGAAGTTGATTTGGGTTGACGCAGTATGCGCAGTATAGAAACACGGGGTCGATTAGGGTACGATGCAGTGGTAATGCACGGTAACCGCGCCTGTGCAGGAGGCTGCACATCCAATTGACAGCGATTGCAACGTGTGGTCGGCCTGCCATGCAAGGGGCCAAGGGTATCAAGTCCGTTCGACGGGGTCATGCTGGGTGTTGTTCCTTTATCCGCAAGGAGTGAAGGGAATAAGGATATCATGTCTCCTCGTGGTCCTGAGCCCCTACGGTGAACTTCTTCCGACCGGTGCCCGTGAGCTTTTGGAGCTTGACCCTGTCCAGTTGCTCTCCTACTTTCTTTTCGATCTGTTGGATCTCCTCCTCGGCGTCGATCGCCTCCTCGTTGACGAATTCCAACACCAGTCTTCTACCTAACAAGTGTGTATTCTTCAATGCGTCCATAGCATTTTCCGCCTCGCGAGCGCTTACAAAGTCAGCAAAACCAAAGCCACGAGCAGACCGGTCGAACTTCTGGGGAACCCGGACAGAGCGAAGCTGCCCGTAGGCTCCAAAAAGCGATCTGACATCCTTCTTCGAGGCTTGGAAGGGCAAGTTCTTGATGATGATCTTGGTTCTCCGGGCGGCAACCTTCTTGGCGGTGTCTTCGCGCCTTCTCTCCTCCGCAGCATCCACACCCTTGTGCGACAACCGAATCACCAGTTGATGCTGGTCAAGCGTGTAGCCATTCATCGCTGATAAAGCGGCCTGGGCTTGTTCTTTGCTTCGGAAATCAACAAAGCCAAAACCCATGCTAAGCTTCTGCCCAGGTCGCTTAGGATCGGGCTTCGTTTTGAGTTTTGCCGAGACAAAGCCGTCCAGCGGCCGAAACATCTCCACAAACTTATCATTAGTCGTAGCGAAGTTTAGATTCTTTACGAAGAGAGTTGAAGTTGGCACAGTATCCTCGGGCTCACCAGCCGCAAAAGTATCTGCAGTTGAGAAGCCCTGGGAAACACCCTTGGGTTCGACAGCGGGGAGCTGCAAAGATGGCGGACCTTCAAAGAGATCTTTGGGCGCTTTCTCAAGGAAAAGGATCGATTCGCCTAATCTCCGGTACGCAAGGCCCTTGAACGCTTTCTGTGCTTCATCAGGTTTAGCGAATTCGACGACGGCTATTGTGCCGCTGGGGGGCATCAGAAGTCGGACGAGTTGACCATACGGCTCAAACAGTTTCCGAAGATCTTCCGTCTTGATACCATACGAGAAGTTCTTTACTAAGATGCCGGTGTTACCACGGTCTCGCCGTTTGAAAGCCTCGATGTTGACACCGTTTGCTGTAAAGTAAGCCTTAGTCTCTTGGATGACATGTGTTTCAGCATGAGCTTGCTTCACTGCAGCGTCCGATGACGTGGGGTCGAGAAGATCCGACTTGGATACTCCAAGTCTCTCCGCAACTGAAGACATCACAGCGTCTGCCTGTGAAAGAACATTAGCATGATGGACCGTAGATAATAGACACCAGAAGCACTTACGTTCATATAAAGCGAGTTCCAGCTAAACGAGGCTGACGAGGCTTCCAGCTTTCGCTTTATTTGCTTTTGCCTCTTCACCGGCAATTTCGACAACTCCGTCTCGTCAATCTCGTAGGTCTTCTTTGCGGCAGCTGGTAATACGTGCAATAAACGACCTTGGAATATTTTTTTATCGAGATTCTTATAGGCCTCGACAGCAGCATTGGGGTCGAAATACTGAATATAAGCAAATCCCTTGCTGGTGGAGTGTCGTGTATCGAAAGCGACGTGAATCTGTGACCGTCAGTAATCAACTTCTGAAATTCGACTAGTCGACATTTGGCAAAATAAAATTCAAAGTTGCTTTTCAGATTTCGGAGCATCTACTAAAATTCTCCTTCCTGTTTACCATCATGTGCTCTTGCATCTGATGTCCCTATCAGGTTGAATCATCATTTAAGCAACCCTGGTAAACAATTACCAGGTATGGGGTGCGCGGGTATATATATATATGTATATGTATGTGTACAAGAAAAAGAAAAGGAAAAACTAACCTCGTCGACTTTTCCAAATGGCAAAAACGTTGGCTCGAGATCCGTCTCAGTCGTATCGTAGGGAAGATTTCTGACGAAAAGACGTGCAGAGTTGCGAACAAGCTCGACATTCGGGTCGTGCTCTTCTGCTTGCTCTTCTGCCTCTACTATCTCCATGTCTTCCGGTTCACTCTCCTCGACAGGAGTTTGTTTCTGCTCAACACGGGCCTTGATGGGACTGGCAGCTGGTTCTTCGGGTTTCGCGTCAAACTCAGCTTGCTCATCCTCGTCCAGAAGACCAAGGAGACGACTCGTCTTCGAACGAAGCCAGTCGCTGTCAGAAACTGGTTCAGCCTGTTTCTCAGAAGCGTCCTGCTCATTTTCAGCATTCTCCTCATTGCCACTCTGGTCAATAACCATCGGTTCCGGTTGCGCCCTTTCCTGATTCTTGGGCGCATGCGAGACCTCCGCAGGATCATCCACTTTGACCCTCTTTCTCTGCGAAGCAGCGATATCCTGAGAAGGTTCCGTCTCAGGCTGTTCAGGTGCTGGTGCGTGTGCTTCGGCTGGCCTATGGATGTCGTCGTTCGCCCACGTCTTCGTTTTGGAAGGATGCTGCATTACTGAAAGATACTCTTGCAGTCGAGAATCATGCTTGGCCTGGTCCTCTCCACGCTTCCGCTTGAGGTTAGTCCCGTCAGTGGAAGCATCGGCCGCAGAAGACCCGGCGTCTTTCTTAGCATCAGGTGTAGAATCGATCTATAATAAATCCGGTCAGTCTCAAGACCACCTTAATCGGTCAGCGTGCACAATGGCAAAAACGACGGCAACAGCAGGGCAACGTACAGGGCGAGCAATCTCTACAGAGATCTTTGACATTTTGACATAGGTTTTGTTGAAATAGCCAGCAGCCTGCTTGGCCATCTCAGGGTCTTTGAACCCAACGAACCCGATCTTGCGCTTCGGCAAGACATGAGCATCTGTGACATGGAAACGAGTTGCAAAATGCTTCTTAAGCTGATCATTGGTGAAGGTCGGCGGTATGCCAGACACAAACACTCTTGAGCTCTCCATTATGGCTGTTTTGAGGCACAATTATCTCTCCAGTGCCATGGAGGAGAAATTTTGAAAATGCTCAAGAGTTACAAGAAATTTTTTACTTCTTTTTTTTTTCTGCGGGTCTTAATAGTGCCGAGGGCGGTGAGAGAATGCGGACGTGGCCCGTGCACTGCCTCCGACAATGTTGTTGTCGCAACTCCGTCTGGCCACCATATGACGACGCTGTGCGACAGGAACTGCATTGAAGATTGAAGCACATCTTGATATTTTTGCTATCTAAATTCCATATACATTCTGCTCTGCAATATTCCGCAAATATGGCCACCGAAAAGAAGGAGAAGATGGAACGTGAGTACCAATTCAGGAGTCGCCCTTCCGGTAAACAACCAAACTGACCAATGTATAGCGCAAATCAAGTCCGTCGACATGGTAAGAAATACACTACGGCGATGTCGAAAACTGGATGGCGCTCACCAGATAATAGACGGAGGATATGCAACAAGAGGCTGTTGAAGTTGGTATGGGAACCCTCCAGGTCGAGCTGAGTTAAGACAAACGACTAATTTCTCAGCGATCGAGGCGATGGACAAGTACCACGTTGAGAAGGTAGTGAGATAATTTACCTGATCTCTTAATCTTTTTTTTTTTTTTTTTGTTGCAGACACTGACGGATTCCAGGACATCGCCCAGTACATTAAAAAAGAGGTCCGAACATCCCATCATCCTCCCCGTTAGCATCGCTCACAAGATCATAGTTCGACTCGCGCAAGGGAGCAACATGGCACTGCGTAGTAGGAAGAAACTTTGGCAGTTTTGTCACGCATGGTGAGTTATTCAATTGGGATGAAAGCTTTCAAGGAGGCCTGCTAACCGCGCCGTCCAAATTGCAGAGACGAAACACTTCATTTACTTCTACCTCGGGCACTGCGCCATCCTCCTCTTCAAGACGCAATAGAGCCGTTCCGACTACACCCATTCAAACACTCATTCGCAAGGTCAGACGACGTTGTGCCTGGTCTCAGGAGATGATATACCCCTTATATATCTCACCACCAGGGGGGACTTACGGCGACATACTTCGATTTTCGATTGCTACACGCACGATCGACGTGGGAACTGTCTGCTGATTTGGCCTAGAGGAGTTCTACGTTGTGGTAGCGAGTGCCCTCTATTTCGTTTTCTCTTGTTCATTTCTTGGTTGTCTTGTTGAAGCGTTTACGAATTAAACATTCGAGTGACATAAATTATATGTGTAAACGACTTGAGCAGGGAGTTGTCATGGTCTTATAAACATATATCCATGGTTTCAATATAATCTGTGTTCCTCCATGACAGCGCATACATACAAGGTCCTCCCATTCCTCCAAGCACGCACATAAGCCCCAGTCAGATAACTTTTCTACATACGTACTTGATTTTCTAGACAGCTCGAAGGCTTTCCCCTTCCGTTTTAGTGCTCACCCTCGCCGCTTTTTGCTCACTGTGCAGACCTGAGCACGCCCTGAGCAGCCTGAGCTGATCACTGAGTAGGGGCTGAGCAGAGGGGTGAGTAGCCTGACTTAGGTGGCCTCAATAAAACGCACCACGCTAGAGTTCCACCTGTCTTCACTTTCTTTGTAGCACTTTTGACCGTCACCCCTGGGGAGTGTGCTCCTAGCTCTCAAAAACAGGAGCAGCCATCTTAGGATCCAGGCCAGGGCTCCTAGGAGTCTGAGAAATCCCAAGAGCAAGCAAGGCCGTGCGGAAAATACTAAGGGCATAGGACCAATTGTCACAGAGGCTTACTGCTTAGGATGACAATAGTAAATGATCCCTAAGAGGTCTACTATCCGTTGGCCCCAACTATAATCTGGTGTGGAAGAAGCGGGTTCTCTCGGATCGTAGCTCAGAGGGGAATTCGGGAGCAGATTATTCAGGACTAGCGAGGTCTATATGGAGAGGATTAGTTTGAACGAAGAGGTATATTGCCTAATGAATGTACAGAGTAAATGAGTAATTCATATAGAAGAGTTCCTCGTCGCCGCCTACCACCAACCAATCAACGCACTAATATCACATGCTCACATTCCTTGTGAAGCGAGTAGCTCGGAGGGATCGGGGAGTCGATATTCCGGACTGCACGAGGCCGTATATAGAGGATAATATCAATTGCCTAAGAGGGTGATATTGACTATCTAACACCGTAATGGATGAGTGCTTGAGTGCTTGTTTTACTATCATCCGACCACGGTAACTATTAAAAGGATCCTCCGACGTCGCCTATCGGGCCGACTATTTGTCCGTCTTGATTCTCATCACCTTGGCGGCAACAGCGGCGGTGGTAATATACGTAGGTCTACTATCTCTAGACTCTAATGATCATCTCTCATCTCACTACATCCTATTCTCTGCAAATTTATTTCCCAACTTGACTTGACATAGCTTTGGATGGAAAACTGACACGTATCGCCTGCCTGAGTGTAACAAGGCCGTCAACAACCCTCTTCTTACAGTATTGTTTGTCAGGCAGGTGCATTTCTAGTTCTTATTAGGCAGGTGCACTTCTTGTTCTCATCAGGCAGGTGCACTTCTAGTTCTTATCTTTCAATGGCCGCCGCCATCACCAGCTGGGTGCTCAACCCAATCCAATCTTTGACAATGTCTCGACCGCGTACTCGCGAATTATGGTGTGCTGTTCCTGGCAAGCTTAGGCAGCCATTCTCTATAGAGTGTATTGCAGACCAAGACAATATTCAGACACTCAAGAAGAAGATTTGGGAAGAGATAAAAGATGAAATCAAGGATACAGCAGCCCGCAACCTTGAGCTCTACAGCCCTGTGGTGCAACTCAATCATGAAGAGGAGTTTAAGATTGATGATGGTGAACTTCTACATCCACGCCGAATGATTACGTCCAACCCACTCTTCCCCGAAAGCAAGGATCCAGATGTGGATATTGTTGTTGTGAGCGGAGATACCACTACACGGAAACGGAAGCGCTCTGAATCACAAAGTGGTGAGACTCATTCTTAATGGTCTTTTCATGCTTATAGTTAACAATTACACATTACAGCGAATATACCTCGGACACATCCCATCACAGAGAATCGATTGATATGCCCTCGAGAGCGTACAGTGTCAAAACTTGCGACCATTCTGGATGAAGTGAACATAGTCCATGTGCGTGGAACTCCAGCCAGTGGCAAAACATGTCTCTCAGAACTTTTGAGAGACTACTATCTTAAAGAAGGAAGAAAGGTTTCTTTGATCAAAAAATGGGAAACACTTCATTACAAGAATCCCTGGAGCAGTCTTATCGAGCTTGTTGAAAAATGGAATGAAGGACTGGAAGGTGCCCCCATCACTAATTCCACCACGACTTCATTGCAATCAGAACAAGATCTCTCTTGGGTTTTGACATCAAACACCGTGGTTCTCGTGGATGAGGCACAGGTGACCTACAATGATACTGCGCTCTGGAACACAATCATCAAAGAAAGACGAAGTCTTACCTGTTTATATAATTTTCGACTATGTCTTTTCTGCTCTTACGGCAGCCCGAGAACAGGCCCAGATCAAACATTCTTCACTCCAGTTACCCTTTTTGACGAACAACGTATCTCATTGACACCGCAAAACCAGTCACACTCACCAAATATTGGTCTATTCTATGACAAAGAAGAGTTCAAGGATGTTGTTTCACGGTTACTTACATACAAATATTCAGAAAGGTTCACTTTTGATGAAGATGCCCAAGACTACATATTTGCATTAACAAACGGCCATCCAGGAGCGGTGGAATCCATAGTCAATGTACTCTTCCAGGTACGTGCCAAATATCCCTTTTTGTTTAACTTCCCCATATTGGGACATGCTGAAAAGTTTTATCTGAGCAAAGAAGCTAACAGTTTTAGGTCTATCGCCATGACATCAAGCATAGGCATATTAGGACCCTCACAGAAGATCATGTCATCTGGTTCCTGGAGGATACCGCCACAGTCTTTCAAAAACTTAGCAAAGAGTCAGTTGATCGCTCTTTTCCAGTTATAGAGAGATGCACAAGTGGAATTTCAAACATATTGAACACAATTACAGAGGATGGAAATATTCCATTTGATCTCAATGATGCAGACATCAGGTTCTGTTATCAGAATGGTTGGATTCACAGGGTAGCTCTAGATGGTGAAAATATTGCAGTTCTGCCATCGCGCTTACATGAAAAGTAATTCTTCTCATATGCCCCTATTGTTGTTCTGAACTGACCATATTAGGTACATTGAATATTCAATTGGCACAATGTCAAAACCCCTGCCTGCCAGATTTGACTCGCTACAGAAATTATGCAAAGAAATTCTCAGCAAATTCTCCATCATGAACTTAAGGCACTCAGTTGAGGGCAAAAAAATGTCAACCGCATCACAACCCAGACCTATGGAAGCCCAGTATCAAGCTGAATTCTACAGGGGATTTGTCCATACAGCAGGACGAGGTGTACCGATATCCACTGAATGGTCAAGAACCAAGGATGGTCGAGTGGGTTTCTATATCCCAGAAAAGAAATGGGCCATTGAATTGTTGAGAGATCATATTGAAGTCAATGAACATATCTCTCGATTCAAGGATGGTGGAAAATATCATGCCTGGCTGAAGGAGAAAATGGTCAAGGATTGGATCATAATCAACTGTGCGACTTCTTTACCAACCAAAGGTGTGTTCTTATTCCGTGTTCAATTTAGTAGCCATAGTTTATTCCACTAACAACTTGATAGAGTTCTCTGAACCTAAGCTATGGCATGCTGTGTTTGCCAATGATTATTCTAAATTGCAGTTGTATAAACATCAGCAAGCTCTTATGATGTCTGTGCATCTACGTAATTGAGAATCAGCAGGGATGATATTGCTATTACACTGCTTACTTGCGTCTGTCTTTTATTGTGGTATCTTTGTTAGCTGCAGCCAACTTCTCGACTATCAAGCAATCAAATGAAATTCACCTGGTTTGCTTTGTCTTACCCCTGTGGCTTCTTCTCTTTTCTCTTCGGGGTCGATATTCTCGTCTTATGGCTACCTAGTTTAGATCGAAAATACTACCTCGTTTTATCTACTAGGCCGAGCCCGTGACAATAAGGGTACAAGTGGAAATAGAGAAAGCAAAAGTTGTATCTATCTTTTCTGTTGTAACGGCTCAGCTCAGCGCCTTCATCAGCAAACATCATCAACACGGCAAACAATGTCATGGAAGCAACCAAGGCAAACAAGCTGCTTAGCGAGACCACACACAAACATATAGGACTTCTTCATGTAAATAGATTTGCCTCTTCTCTTTTCTTCTCCAGATTCGATATTCTAGTCAATGGCTACACTGGTTAGATAGGAATATCATTTCATTAGTATCTACTGGTCCGAGCCCGTGACATCTGTTCTTTCTCTTTTCCTCTTCATTGATACACTCTTTTTGCCCTAGAGCAAGCTAAGTTAGCAACCAACTTTGAGAAAGACGCCTTGTTACGTGGTTGAAGTAAATGAGCAAGGACAAAACAATGGGCAGAACAGGAGAGGGTCCCATAAAGGGATGTGAAACTGAAGATGACTGCAAAGAATACCAGGCATAAACAAAATATGGCAAGTGTTGCCCATCAAAGTCTCAGGCAAGGATCACAGTCAAATAAGGGCAATACGCACAGGTCAGAGGTGAGTTGACAAGTGAGGAGGTAGACATGTATCTGGAAGTAAACCTGAAAGATCTTTTATGGACACTATTGACAAGGTGCTTATCCAGTCAGCTCTGATACACTAAGCCTTTGGGAAATAAAACTAGAGATTATCGAAGATAGTAGCTATACCTCCGTGGTTTTGAACTAAACCCTAATGTGACGCTTGGTCATGGGAACTTTCAATCTCCTGTGGATCTCAGCCTAGCTCACAGGATAATCGGTTATGTTCCAAGGAGCTTTGAGCAAGCTCCGTGGACCCAGATCGATCCCAGAAGCGGACTGGAACTGCACCCAAACTTAATGTAGACCATTGACTGTCAGATTGATGATGCCAGTGCTTGGACTGGGGCTTTTCACACCAGGTGTGAGTAGCTGTAGAGTGTCGCGCCCTTCTATAGAGCGCCTATGCTAGTTGTGCAAGTGCCAAGAGTTCACATCATCTTGCACCCTTTAGGGCACCCACTTGACTATTGACTGTACACAAGCCACACGCCGGCCGGCTAGTGGTTTGGTAGGTGATTGTATTTTTTTTGCCTTTGTTTTGCCCGCGAAGTGTATTATTTGACTGAGACACCCTGTGCCCCTTACAGTACAGACATACGAGCGAAGAAAATCTTTGATGATGACAATGTCAGGAGCTGGGCAGCCGGGCTTGATCTGGTATCCAGCTGGCTTGCAACCTTCTTCTGTCACAAACCTGGCGCAGTGAGTTTAGCAAGCCTAAAGAGTAAATTCTCTGTATGACAACTCACTTCAGATAGTGCGTCACATATTTTTGTTGTTGCTTTCTCATTTTATCAGTCTGATCATGTCTTTTTCGTACAGCGTCTTCCTCTTGATGGGCTTTTGAAACATAGCCATTTTCTGCCCAGCGCTCACAGCGCTTTTTTTACCTCTTCATCTCAGAAGCAACTTCTTGTGCCCATCATCTTGTCAGCGAACTGGGAAAGGCACGAGTGCAGAAGATTAATGGGAATAAGACAATTGAAAGATGTAATACAAGAAGAGTAAATGAAAGGAGTAATGGCCGATGGGATCTTGCTTCCATGGAATTGATTATCTTGAAGAGAGGGAAGTACCTGCATTTATAGCTTTGTTGGGAACCCATCTTCATATTAATTTACAATTGCCCTGAGTGTATGCTTCGCTTAGAGTCCGCCACTCAGGATTCAGCTAGTCTCCATCAACTTTCTACTTGTGTCATCTTGTATGGTAGATTGGACGACCTGGGGCCATTTCGAGGGCTGTTCATCAGACATGGCCGTCAGACTTCCCGCGCAAAATAAAGAGGGGTGAGCAACTCAGGGTGCACGTGACTGATCACTGAGCGCGCCCTGAGTAGGCCCTGAGTGCTCACTGAGTACTGACCTGTGACAGAAAATACTCACTGAGCAAGCCCCTGAGTACCCTCATAAAAGTGGTGGCATCCGGAAGGGGAAAATTCCAGTGGCTCTAGAAAATCAAGTTCGTATAGTGACATATATGTTCAAGTGTTTGGATGTCTACTCCCCTCCCGGAAGTACTTCATGTCCAACACCTATTATACCAACTGCAAGTTTATCCAAACTGAATTCAATTTAAACCCATAAAGACGCCCTATGTTCAAAAATAATACTTTAAAAATCAAAACCAAGTGCAATCCAATGCTTCACCACACAATGAAATCTATACTCAAAAACCAAAGCTACCCATCAAGACGCAAAACCTGAAACAGACCTCTTAGCCCGCTCCCAAATCGACTCCTCGGGAACAGGATGCGCGATTGTATGCCACTCGCCATTGAAAGCATTGACTAGCCAGTTCGACAGGCCTTCTGATTATCAGTATAGTCCCACTAAACCCAAACGTAGAGAACAAGGGGGGTAACTCACGATCATACACAATCTTATGCGCATTATGGAAGTTGATACTATGATCCGAGTCCGGGAACACATGGACATCATAATTCTCGACGCCAGCGATGTCCAGCTTGTCGAGGAGCACAAGTGTGTTCTGTAGGTGGACGTTGTCGTCCGAGACACCGTGCATGATTGTGAAGCGGACGTTTTCTTGGAGTGCGGACATGTCATTTATCGAGGAATTGTCATAGCCGTTGGGATTGTGGTCGGGGGTGTGCATGTAGCGTTCGGTGTAGATGGAGTCTAGTCAATGGTTAGTCAATGTTATCTAGGGTGTATCAGGTAGGAGGTCCTACCATAGAATCTCCAGTCCGTAACAGGCGCAACAGCCATACCATACTGGAACGTCTGTCCAGCATCCTGCTCGATGGTCTTCAGAGTCATGAATCCACCATAACTCCAGCCCCAGATCGCCAACCGGCTTTCATCAACATACGGCTTCGCAGCCCAGATCTTTGCAGTCGCGATCTGATCATGCGCTTCGTAGTATCCCAAATTTCCACGAACGATACAGCGAGCCTTTCGTCCGATAAAGCCGGTTCCGCGTCCGTCAACGGTAACAACGATGTATCCTAGATTCGAGGCAACGTAGGATTGGAAATCGACGTTGAACCTACGGTCCACGGTTTGCGAGCCAGGTCCGCCGTACAGGTGGAAGAGGACGGGGTATTTCTTAGCTGGGTTGAAGTGTGGAGGGCGACGCTCAACGGTTTGAAGGGTGAAACCGTCAATGGTGACATTTGAGTAGATTTCGGTCGGGACGGCGTATTGCTGAACAAGGCGGGCTAGTTCTTTGTTCTCCTCGATTGTTTCTTGGTATGTAGCCTTCTCGCCTTTCGTGTTCATGATGGCTTGCCACGGGACGGAGGGACCCTTGTAGCTAACTAGTGCGTAGCCTGTGCCGTCCGAGAAGGAGATGTCGAAATAGCCCGGTTTCGAGATGTCTGTCAACGGCTGGAATCCAGTTCCGTCGAGCTTGACGCTGTACACATGGCGTTGAGTTGGTGCTTCCTTCGCTGCAACGAAGTATACCAGGCCCTTCTTCAGATCGACAGCTGATGGTGCATCTACAACTTCCCATTCACCACTCGTGAGCATCAGGGGCTCGGAGTTGTCCAGAGGAGCGAAGTATGCCAAGTGATCGTATCCTTCATGGACCACAGTTTCAATATATCCGTCTGTTGGCCGTCCATTGTTTGGATCAGCTGGGATGAATCTCGTCGACTGCGAAGGCTCAACCCATCCGCCGTCTAACTCTGCGACATTATCCAGCCTCACAAGCTTTCCGGTTCTGGTCTCCGTATTGATCAGGAATATCTTGAGGATATCGCTCTCGCGGTTAGTTGTACGAATCAGAACATTCCCTCCGGATGCCCACAGCACCTCCATGATAATGCGGTCATCGTCAGGGAATTCTTCTGGAACCTCAACGGAAAATGTCTCGTCCTTTTCGACGTCGTAGAACTGTAAGTCGACCACCGGGTTTGGAGCACCAGCCTTGGGATATTTGATGTCCCTCACCTCGGGGTATCTCTCAAGACCGGGTAGGGGTTTCTTCCCAGATGGTCTGGACAAATAGTACTGAACCGGATACTCTGGCACGGCCGACTCCCTGGTACGAAGGTACGCGACGTATTTTCCGTCATTCGACCACCATGTCACACTGTTGCCCGAGAAGACCTCTTCTTCGTACACCCAGTCGGGGACACCGTAGAACAGATCTTTACCACCGTCCTTCGTAACCGGAATGACTGTCTCAGACGACAGCTTCCGCAGGTACATATTGTTATCCCTGACGAAAACAACGGCATCCGAAGTAGGCGACCAGATAGCAAGCTGAATCCGCGACTCTGGATTACCCGGATCCAAAGGCTGCGCCGTCTGACTCTCCACATCCAGAATCCAGTACTTACCGGTATACGAATGCCTCCAATTCTTCTCATAATTCGACAATAGCAAGACCTTTTTCAAATCCGCACTCGGCCAGGTCTTATATGGCACAACAACACTCCCATCAACAACTACATATCCTTTCTCCATCAGCACCTTGCTCTGAGCATCACCCTTCCGATTCTGAATATCTTCAATCCGAAGATATCCGCCTTTCCCATCGCTCTCCCCCTGCTGAAGTAACAACCCATCCTCCCCATTCGCCCCCGCGATCCACGAAATCCCATGCGACCGACCCAACCACTGCCCACCAAGCACCTGCTCCAATGTAATCGGCTTCCCGGAATCCGTAAACCCCGTCGCAGACTTCGAGTCCGGCGTCTCAAGCGCATTCACAGCAGCTTGGTAATTCGGTCTCCGCTGCACCATAAACAACACGAGCGCTAGGACCCAGCCGCCCACGCACAGGAGCCCGAGAATCCAAACAACACGACGGGTACGGCTGCTCGAGGGGCTCTTCTTCCGCGTACCCAGGAAGGGCTCGTCGGCTTGGGGCTCGCCATCTTCAACGTCGCGGTATGGTTCGCCTTCGATCATGGAGGTTGGTTCTTGGGGTGGTGGGTGGATCTTGTGGTTTGTTGCTGTTGGCGTGTCGATGGATAGGCCTGAGTCGGTGGAGGTTTCGGAGGAGATGGATGTTGACCGGCGGCGGGATGTTGAGAGGGAATCGCGGTTCCCTTCAGTACTGAGTTTCCCCATGGCTGCGAGTGTGAATTGGCGCGTCGAGTTGTTAATCACGAGCTTAGCCAGCCAGCTGCATATGACCAGCGCGGGGCGAGACGGTGAAGCGCTCAATGTTGCGAGCGGTGAATAATTGTTTTGCGTTTGAGAAAATGTAATTTATATCAGTTCAGTAAGCCATTTCGAATAAGAATAAAAGATGTCTTCCAGGCCCTTATTGGAAATGGTGTGAGCACTTGGTATGTTGACGGTTTGGAACTGATGCTGTGGACCGATAACCGATAAGGAGTCAGCCTTGGCGATTGGTGATGCAACAAAGAAATGGGTTACTCACATCTCTATTGAGATCCTTCTTAGGTTGTTCTTACTGGAAATTCTTCAGGTGTATATCCATGGATACATTTTACCTCATTGGTATTTTCTTCAGAGGATTTAATGTGTGCAGACTATATGGTATTCCATAGGCAGCGTAGGATATATATCGGAGCGCGGAGTAAAAAGATATATAAATACAAGGAAAGGATAGAGTGTATATTCTCAACAATATCTATTTCCAATATAATACTAATAGTTTTAAGATGAATTACTCGTAGTTAAAAAACATCTTTTCATTCTTCCCCGGCGCCTTTATCCAAATTACCGCGACAAAGCAATGTCATCAATTCTCATAATCATCTTCACAGTCTCAGCAGCAAGCTCAATCGCGCTGGTGCTCACCAACAGAGGCTGCAAGATGTTCTCTTCCGTAATGTCATCCTTCACGCCTCCACTGCGGATGCTGACACCAGCGTTGTGCTGGCCCTGGGCATGGCGATGCCGCAGGTCCGTAACCACCCGGATGGAGTTGAGACCAGCGTTCTCAGCAAGGGTAGTCGGAACAACCTCCATGGCATCCGCAAATGCCTTGAAGCAAATGGACTCTGTACCAGTCAACTCGCGAGAGCGCATGGCCAGCGCATGGGCAACTTCAATTTCGGGAGCACCACCACCGGCAATGAGCGCGCGTTTCTTCACCAAGCAACGGATGACACAGAGGGCATCGTGCAGCGACCGCTCAGCCTCATCCAAAATCAGGTTGTTGGCACCACGAGCGACGATCGAGACGGTCTGGTTAACGGGGTTGACGGGGGCCTTGATACCGGTGATCTTGGCATAACGAGCGCCGGATGCCTGGACTTCCTCAATAAGGTCGGCAGTTCCCAGCTTGTCCTCTGTGAAGGAGTCAATGTTGGCGACAGGCTTGCAGCCAAGACTCTTGCACAAGAACTCAACCTCATCGCGTTCGATGTCCTTGATGGCACAGATTTTAAGACGGGAGAGGAAGTGGAGAGACAGGTCATTGACGGCGTCACGGAGGATGGATTTCTGGATCAAAAGGACGTTGCACTTGGTCTTCTGGATTTTCTTAACCATGTTGAGGATATATTGGCGCTCTTCCTTAAGGATCTTGTCCATCTGGCGGTAGTCGTTCACGACAATCTGGTTTTCCATCTGCGAAACATTCCGTTAATATCTGTCAAGTGGACCACGCGGGAGAAGTATAGCATACGTCAGGCTTGGGCGGGCTGAGCTGGAACTGAATCAATCCTATCCGGGCCTTCTCAATTCTTGTGGGACCACCACTGCTCTTAATAACGGGCTGGTTCAACACCAGACCGTCAACCATCTCACTGTCTTCGATGGTACCGCCAACCTTCTTTACAATCCGGATATTCCGCAAGTCGACATTTTCAGCCGTCTTAGGATCCACGACCTTGAGGACCGAGTCAACAGCCATAGGCCCCAGAAGACCTGAGTGTTGCGAGACGATCTTCGAAGATAGCGACGTAGATGCGGCTTGGAGGAGGGTAGAGCGATCCATCAGGTTAATCGGCTTGGACATATTGTGCAGGATCTCGACAGCAGCAGCGGCAGCTCTTTGGAACGACTCGGAGATGACGGTAGGGTGAATACCCTTGGACAACAGACGCTCAGCGGCGGCCAGGAGACTGCCTGCAATAACGACAACGGAAGTTGTTCCATCACCAGCTTCCACATCCTGAGCAGCACTCAGGTCAACCAGCATCCTAGCAGCCGGGTGCATAACGCTCATATCCTTCAACATAGTGTTTCCATCGTTGGTCTGTGGGCGGTCAGCGTCGGGGTCGAGTGTGGATAAGGACAGATTGGGGTTCGTACGATGATAGTGTTTCCCTTGGGTGTTTGGATCTGTACACCATTAGCATTCACCTTTCAAAAGAATATCAAATGTAATTTTCAACCATACCATCTTATCCATACCCCTAGGACCCAACGACTGTATCCGTGTTAGCCCCTCATTCACCGCGAACCATTGACTCTGAACAAGCGCACCGTTCTAATAGCATCGGAAACAGCTATTTCACGTCAGTAACCATAATCCCCAGGTTCTCACACAGTTGCCCATACCTCTTGCTGCCAAAATGTTGGACGTCCGCACCGCCATGGGCTTCTCCTTGTCCTGCCAGATTATCAGATTCGGCCCACACGTAGTATTTCTCCCCGCAGAACAAACGCACCTTGAAGGAGTTGTTTCCAGGGGGGCCCTGGGAGACTGCGGTCGACATTATGAAGAAATGTCTGGAATACAGACAAAATCCTTAACAAGAAAAGAGAAGAGATATAAAAAGCGTGGATGTTATGGCGTAAAAATGGTCTGGCGGCGGGCGCTGCAGAGGAATAATTTCTTGGGAGGTGCTCTCCAAAGGCGGTGATGATGCTTGGCGCTACTCTGGAAGCTCTCGCCGCCCAACAACGGCAGAGCTCAACCGTCATCACATCACCGACCTTGTTTCTACTACTGCTATCATCCCTTTTTACTTCTCCGTATTACTTCACTCACTTCTGCAGAGGAACCAGGACTCTTCTTTATTCGCTTTTAACTTCGATACCCTAGAACACCTTGCTGTCTCGCAGCTGACTGTCACCATGCCTAGCGCCACGGGAGAGAGCTGGGAGAAGTACAAGAAGAACTTTGCGGATGAGGAGGAACCTGAGAAGAAGATCACACCTCTCACAGATGAGTATGTGCTTGATTGTGCAGCGCTTGCGATGGGGGTAACTTTGAGAACGCGGTGCTGATTGATCACAGCGACATTCAAGTACTCAAGACCTACGGTGCCGCACCGTACGCGACCGCATTAAAGAGACTCGAAAAGCAGATCAACGAGAAACAGGCGAGCGTGAATGAGAAGATTGGCATCAAGGTATTATACTCTGTCGACGTGAGCTCTGGGATAGGTCTGATGTACGTGGCTAGGAATCCGACACCGGACTCGCACCTCCACACCTTTGGGACGTTGCCGCAGACCGGCAACGTATGGCCGAGGAGCAGCCCTTGCAAGTCTCTCGCTGTACAAAAATTATCCAGGATGAAAAGGATTCGGATAAGAGCAAATATGTCATCAACGTCAAGCAGATTGCCAAGTTCGTTGTCAACTTAGGGGAGCGCGTGAGTCCTACGGATATCGAGGAGGGCATGAGAGTTGGGTATATTCTTTCTTTCTTCGTGATATGATAATGTGCTAACAATGCCAGTGTGGACCGTAACAAGTACCAGATTATGCTGCCGCTCCCTCCGAAGATCGACCCCAGCGTGACCATGATGACCGTCGAAGAGAAGCCCGACGTTACATACGGAGATGTTGGGGGATCGAAAGACCAGATTGAGAAGCTGCGGGAAGTCGTCGAGATGCCATTGCTGTCGCCCGAACGTTTCGTCAACCTCGGTATCGATCCTCCCAAGGGCGCCCTGCTTTACGGACCCCCCGGTACCGGAAAGACACTCTGTGCTCGTGCAGTCGCCAACCGAACGGACGCTACATTCATTCGTGTTATTGGTAGTGAACTGGTTCAGAAGTACGTTGGTGAGGGTGCACGGATGGTTCGAGAACTCTTTGAGATGGCACGGACCAAGAAAGCATGTATCATCTTCTTTGATGAAATTGATGCGGTTGGTGGTGCTCGTTTCGATGACGGAGCTGGCGGCGATAACGAAGTCCAGCGTACTATGCTTGAGTTGATCACTCAATTGGACGGTTTCGACTCGCGTGGTAACATCAAGGTCATGTTCGCAACCAACCGGCCTTCGACTTTGGACCCTGCCCTGATGCGGCCCGGTCGTATTGACCGTAAGATTGAGTTCTCCCTTCCCGACGTCGACGGTCGGGCCAACATCCTTCGAATTCACGCCAAGAGCATGTCGGTGGAGCGCGACATCCGGTGGGAGCTTATCTCTCGACTCTGCCCCAACTCCACTGGTGCTGAGCTGCGGAGTGTTGCAACAGAGGCCGGTATGTTTGCCATTCGCGCACGGAGAAAGATCGCGACGGAGAAGGACTTTTTGGCAGCGGTGGACAAGGTCATCAAGGGCAACCTGAAGTTCAACTCGACGGCGACGTACATGCAGTACAACTAGACATTTTTTGCATGGACGGATGTATGATGATATTTAGTATTTAGTGGATTCATAATACTCAAGGCTTCACTAAGACCAGTTGAGTAGATCACGTGCTGTACCCCGTAACCCCAGACATTGGATCTTAGCAGTACTACTATTAGTATTGGGACTCCGGAATTGTGTCGACGGTATATTCCGGACTCTTGCCGGCTAAACGAACACCGACCACGTGCCCAGAGCCCGTCTAACCAATCAACAATTCCCGGCTGCCCGAGGATGATTACCACTGCACCACCCATGATTGGCTGTCTCGGCCCCGGTCCTCCCCGTCGGCAAGTGAGGAAATGTTTATGTCAGCCGGCTTTCGCAGTGGCCGCCAGAAACGGATGATCCGAAGTGCATCTTCGAACCACGAGCCTTCTCTCCTACCTGCCTTACGGTCTTGTGTGTGTCTCTCTTTACTCAATTGTCTCCTCTCCTCTCCTCCCAGGCTCATAGGAAAGCGTTTCTCTCTTTCTTTTGATCCGTCCGTCATCATGAGCTCCCTGGGCTTGCGGAGCCTAGCTCCCGCATCCAAGGTCGGTTACCACCCCTCCCTCGTTTCATCGCATTGCGATGGTTTAAAACATCAACTAACTGCCTGTCTATAGTTCTCCCGTACTATTAACCAGAGACGTCTCTTCTCCTCGTCCCGGCCTGCAGGTATGGACATTGAGCCTCGCAACGGATCTTCGCTTTCCCGCAGGAACTAATCGAATTTCACCAGCCCGGATATTTGGCAACCCCAACAACCCGCTGCGCGCTAAGGAGGCCAATGGATACATCTCTGACAAATACCCCGTGATTGTAAGCTGATACCGGTGTTTTGGTTAGTCTCTGGGGATATCAGGGTTCTAACGGTGTGCAGGACCACGAGTACGATGCCGTCGTTGTTGGTGCTGGTGGTGCCGGTCTGCGTGCGGCTTTCGGTTTGGCGGAAGCTGGCTTCAACACTGCCTGTGTTTCCAAGCTTTTCCCTACCAGAAGTCACACTGTCGCTGCTCAGGGTGGTATCAATGCTGCTCTTGGAAAGTAGGTGTCCGCGCATCAGAACCTCGGCATTTGAGATCGGCGCTAACGTAGGGTTTTCTCGGCACACAGCATGCACCAGGACGACTGGAGATGGCACATGTACGATACCGTCAAGGGTTCCGACTGGCTCGGTGACCAGGACGCCATCCACTACATGACCAAAGAAGCCCCTGCTTCCGTTCGTGAGCTTGAGAGCTACGGTTGTCCCTTCTCGCGTACCGAGGATGGACGTATCTACCAGCGTGCCTTCGGTGGTCAGTCCAAGGAGTACGGCAAGGGTGGTCAGGCCTACCGTTGCTGCGCTGCTGCTGATCGTACCGGTCACGCCCTTCTGCACACCCTCTACGGCCAGTCTCTCCGTCACAACACCAACTACTTCATTGAATACTTCGCCCTCGACTTGCTGATGGAGGACGGTGAGTGCCGCGGTATCATCGCCTACAACCAGGAGGATGGTACCCTCCACCGTTTCAAGGCTCACCACACCGTACTTGCCACCGGTGGTTACGGACGTGCCTACTTCTCGTGTACCTCCGCCCACACTTGCACTGGAGACGGTATGGCCATGGTCGCCCGTGCTGGTCTCCCCAACCAGGATCTGGAGTTCGTCCAGTTCCACCCGACTGGTATCTACGGTGCCGGATGTCTGATCACTGAGGGATCTCGTGGTGAGGGTGGTTACCTGCTGAACTCGGAGGGTGAGCGTTTCATGGAGCGTTATGCTCCTACCGCCAAGGACTTGGCTTCACGTGATGTTGTGTCTCGTTCGATGACCCTGGAAATCCGTGAGGGCCGTGGTGTTGGTCCCGAGAAGGACCATATCTACCTCCAGCTGAGCCACCTTCCCGCTGAGCTCCTGCATGAGCGTCTGCCCGGTATCTCCGAGACCGCCTCGATTTTCGCCGGTGTCGATGTCACCAAGCAGCCCATCCCTGTCCTGCCCACCGTCCACTACAACATGGGTGGTATCCCCACCAAGTACACTGGTGAGGTCCTGACTGTTGACGAGGGCGGCAAGGACAAGGTTGTCCCTGGTCTGTACGCCTGTGGTGAAGCCGCCTGTGTGTCTGTCCACGGTGCCAACCGCCTGGGAGCCAACTCTCTTCTTGACCTGATCGTTTTCGGTCGTGCTGTCTCTCACCGTGTCCGCGACATCTCCAGCCCTGGCCAGCCCCACAAGGAGCTGAGTTCCGACGCTGGTGCTCAGTCGATCCAGGACCTCGACTTTGTCCGCAACGCCGACGGTCCCCAGACTACCTTTGACATCCGTAACGCCATGCAGAAGTCGATGCAGTCGGACGTCAGCGTCTTCCGTACTCAGGAGAGTCTGGACGAGGGTGTTGAGAAGGTCACCAAGGTTGACTCGCAATTCGACCAGGTTGCTACCAAGGACCGCAGCATGATCTGGAACTCGGACTTGGTCGAGACTCTTGAGCTCCGTAACTTGTTGACTTGCGCGTACGTACCCTGACACCCTGATAGAAAGAAAAAGACACACTGACCATTATAGTTCGCAAACCGCTGTTGCTGCCGCTAACCGTAAGGAATCCCGTGGTGCCCACGCCCGTGAGGACTACCCCGAGCGTGATGACGAGAACTGGATGAAACACACCCTCACATGGCAGAAGACCCCTCACGGCAAGGTCGAGCTGGGCTACCGTGAAGTCGAGGCCGAAACCCTGGACACTAACGAGTGCAAGCCCGTGCCGCCGTTCAAGCGTACCTACTAAGCGCGTTGCCAGGAGAGCGAGTGTTATAGTTAATGATGCATGGGTGGAGCACGTTTCACGTGGTAGCTTTATTTTTGGCTACAAAGAACAAATTCCATTGTGCCATTCCGTTGTGCCGACAGGGATGTCATTTGCCAACCCTGTCCGTGGTTTAGTGGCAGGTGATGGACTCACGAAGGATGAAGGCAAAAGGCAAAAAGAGGACGCCATGCAAAATTCTGACTTTGTTTATTTGTGTTACTTTATACTTGTATATCCATATTTCCTTCCGCCATGTTATGTCTTATAGCAGTTTTTGTCATTATACAATTGGAGTTTCATCGGAGACCTTACGTCCCGTAGACTATGGTATCACAAAGTACAAAATTGCAAATACACGATCAACAGCCACCGCCAGATCTGCTGATCCCTCGAAAGGAACGTCAAAACCCGAAGAAATACCCAATCCGGCAACCGAGATTTACGCTCTTTGTCTCTCAAACAAAAAATAGCCAATGACCCGGAAATTGGCAACAAGTACAAAGAGAATATCAAAACATCCTTGTTCGCCACGTTGTAACCCTGCCACCGTTTAGTTTCCAATTCGTTTCAAGAACAAGAACAAGACAAGGGAGAACAAGAAAATGGCAGGCCAGTCGAGGTTTGATTTGAGGTTCCTCTACATCTCACTACCGTCTCTTCTCTATATTCAACAGACACCTACTATTCTATCCTTCCGATATTATTCACTTGATATTTAACTCCGATTCATGTATGAATGAAAGATGCTGCCCCATGAAACCCTCAAACTGGTAAGATGAACACACACGGCTGTCTAAATCCGCAAAGCTTCTATACTTGCTCAGCGGGGGATTTTAATGGTTGTTGCTCAGTTAGTCCGTGTGATACGGGTGTTTGCCTGGATGAGAAGGCTTCAAATCAGGGTGAGAATACAAGTTTCTCGAGTGAAAGTGAGAGGTCGAGTACTTCGACAGCGACGACAGGGAAGATGAATGAGCCGTTGATAGGGACGACAACGGCGACGGCGACAGCGGCGCCTATGAGTGCAGATACGGGGAAGAGGAAGGGGGGAAGTGGTGCCATGAATATGCATGTGGGTGCAGCGACTGGAACGGGGACGACAACGCAGCCGCAAGCTGGGACCATTTGGTCTATTCCTGGTGGTATTTCAGGGCCGTCGCCAAGGCCTGCATTGTTGGGGACTCCGTCTCGTCCGGATACTGTCACGACTAGTGCAGGAAACAGCAGCACCAGTCCGAACACAAGCACTAGCACAAATCTCAGCATCAGTACAATATTCCCCTCTAATGCAACCACATCCTCAACCTATCCAACCGAACAAATCGAATCCGCAACCTTTAGCTCCGATTCCCGTCCTAGCACATCTTCCAGCAGCGATAACAACAAAGCCCTAATAGGTGGCGTCGTGGGCGGTATCCTCGTATTGGGAGTTGTACTAGCAGTCATCTTTGTATTATTCTGCCGATGCAAGAAGAAGAGGAGGAGGAGGAGGAGGTTTACATTGTTGGCGTGGCATGGGCCGCAGCATGGTAATGATCGAGAGAAGGGGGATGCTATTACTGTCACTGCTGCTGGGGTTGGGTCTGGGGAGAGCCTATCAGGTGAGAGAGACTCCGACTACCATGTTTAAGAGATGAGGTAGCTAACTTGTCAGCAGGCCCTACAAATTACAACCACACCCAATCCCATACCCAACCAACACCCATATCCACCACCCTGCCAGCCACAACCCCTAACGCAAACACGCACACCCCAACGTCAACAACCCACCTCCTCCGCACCCCAACCCTAATATCCCCAGCACCCTCATTCACATCTCCATCTCTAGAACGGCGGCATCGGCATCCTCTCTCCCCAATCCCATCTATTCCATCAAACCCATCCCTCCACTCGACCCTAAGCTCGAAACATGATATGGTGATGAATATAGAGCAGGATTTGGGTGTTCATCCAGCCCTAAGAGGACCGAATGTAGAAGCAGAACGGGCGTTGGACACGGGGATAGTGACAGGAACAAGGACAGACCCAGAAACAACTCCCGAACTAGGCGACACGGGCTTCTACCGCCAACGCGCCGAGCTAGCAGCATACTCCCAAAGCGAACTAATCAACATTCCGCATGAACGACGCCGCCCTATCTCTATCCCTAACCCTGTTGCTGACTCTCTTTCCCCAAAACCGTCCTCTTCCTCTCCTGAAAACCCCCACAAGCCCAGCGGTGGCACGAAAATAATAACCTCCGACGGCGTCCTCCTGTCCGCCAATTTCGAGCGTTTTCCGGGGTGCGAGGACTATGCTACTAGTTTCACGCAGTGTTTTGAATGGGGTGGGGTTGATGAGAAGAGGAGGGAAAGTGGTGACGGTGGGGATTTGGGGTCTTGATTCTGTTTCTTTGATCTTGCATGTTTATTGGTTTGAGGCCTGAAGCTTTGCGAAAATACTAGACGCTAGACTCTTCTTTGTACGCGGTGTTGCAATCATTGTCCCATGTCTGTTGTCGAGAAAAAGATATATACTAATCATGATCATCAACTTTTATTCAAATGCATCATCCAATCATCCTTATCTGAAAAGTAAGTTACAGCAACTCCTTAAGCACAGAAGTCTGCTCGAGAACAGCCCTTTTACTCGTCCCCCCAACAGCATCCTTCAGCTCAACCGCCCGCTCATAATCCAAACAGGCCTGAACATCATCATCGAATCGCGCATCAACAGTCTTCAACTGCTCCAACGACAGCGTATCCATAGGAACACCGTGCTTCTCACCCAGCGCAACAACACGGCCAGAGATGTGGTGGCCCTCGCGGAAGGGAACGCCCTTGCGGACGAGGTAGTCTGCGATCTCGGTGGCGAGCATTTCGGGGGCCAGCGCGGCGGTCATTTTCTCAGGGATGGTGGTGAGGGTGGAGAGGACGCCGGTGGCGATCTGGATGCTGTCGCCCAGCGTCTTGATGTGGTCGAGGAGGGGCTCGACGGATTCCTGGAGGTCTTTGTTGTAGGTTGTTGGGAGGCCCTTGATGGTAACCATCAGGCCGGCCATTTGGCCGAAAGCGCGGCCGGCCTTGCCGCGGAGGAGTTCTAGGCTGTCTGCGTTCTTCTTCTGGGGCATCAGGGAAGAGCCGGTGGAGTAGGCGTCGGACAGACGGACGAAGCCGAACTCCAAGCTGCTGTAGATGATGAGATCCTCGGCCCAGCGAGAGATCTTGAGCATGAACGAGCTACCCCACTGCATGGTCTCCATGGCAAAGTCACGGTCCGCAACGGCGTTCATCGAGTTGTAGAGCAGACCCTCGAAGCCCAGCTCCTTGGCCATGCCCTCTCTATCGATCTGGAACGGGTTACCTGCAAGCGCACCAGTTCCCAACGGACACTTGTTCACCCGACGAATAACCTCGCGCAACCGCTGCAACTCACTCGCAAACGCCGTCGCATGCGAGAGCAACCAATGACTCCACCGCACCGGCTGCGCCTTTTGCAAATGCGTATACCCAGGCATGATATACTGAATCTCCGCCTCCGCGCGGGCAGTAGAAACCTTGATCAAATCACACAACCAACCCTCGACCTTCCGCAGCTCATCCCGGAGCCATAACCGCATGTCAGTTGCGACCTGCTCATTGCGCGACCGGCCGGTGTGCAGCTTTCCGCCAATCTCCTTGCCGATAATTTCAGAGAGACGGCGCTCGTTGGCGGTGTGGATGTCCTCGTCGTTTTCCTTGACAAGGAAGGAGTTGGTGCTCCATTCCTCGGCGATTTGTTTAAAGCCGCGCTCGATCTCGGCGAATTCATGGGCGCTCAGAATGCCGGTTTTGGTGTTGGCGCGGGCGAAGGCGATGGAGCCGGCGATGTCTTGTTTCCAGAAGATGCGGTCGTAGGGGAGGGATTCGTTGTATTGGACCATGAGGGGGTCGAGGCCCTCTGATTGTAGTTAGCAATGGCGGGGGAGGGGTAACCAGGTCGGAGGCCACAAAGTGACCATTAGCAGTAGGGGAGATACTCACGGGTAAATCGACCTCCCCAGAGCATGTTCTCAGCAACCTTAGGAGCACTCATTTTGATATCTTGAATTGGTGAATTGGAGCAATTGTATTGGGAGGAAGAGGAAGAGAAGTCGAGCAGTGAGTCAAGTCAAAGGTCAAGCGGGTGTGCGACATCGGGACGCTAACCGCATTGGGAACACTTATATGGTCACCAATTATCAATTCCCCGAGCCCTTCTCCAGATGCTCGGCGCTGCTCAGGGATATTGTGATGACGATGATAGTAAATGTTAATGTACAAGACCCACGAGCTTTCCCCAAGTCCCTCTTTCAGTGTTCAAGCTGCAGACATATACTAATGGTAAAGTAACATCCCCTTCTACGGTGGCTATTCCGCGGGCTTCAAACTGCGCAAAAGATATTAGCACGTTTCTCTACTTATAAAAGAGTGTCTGATTCTCCCGTAATGCCTGTCTCTGCAATTATACAGCGGCTGCATGGGGTATCTGTTGTATGATTCCTTCCCCCTCTTGAGGGTGTCGATCTGTACAGGAAATTCGAGTAGGGATATACGTCCACTAAGCTTTTATTGAAACCTGAATGCGCTGCACAAACCACGGTTTGGCTGTGCGGGCCGTCAAGGAATCCACTGATACCTATGGGCGATCTCCTCAGCTGATTCTATTCAACCTGCGGCTCTGCGACGAAAGAGGTGGAAATATGTCAATCCCGGCACAGTTAGTGGTTGTACACCGGGATACAGCACACTACCGATCTCCACAGTCAGGTTTATCAATCTATATTGATTCATCATTGGCTTGCCGACAGGCGGTTTAGTGGCCGGGGCGTTGCGGTTGCAGTTCGTAATTTGAGCCTCGTGTTGAGTGACAAATGAAGTCTCATCGTGGGCAGGTATTATTACGATACCACCGGAGATCCTTACAGAGTACGCGTACTCTGTAGAAAAAAGCTTAGCGTGAATGAATATGTAGATTAAGCGAGGTATGGCTATTGTCTTTAAACGAGATGCACGCCCCTGACACAGCCTTGTTGGCATTGCATACATAGTATCCTTGAAGAAGACCGTGATCCAAGGTCGCCAATTTTTTTTTATCATTGCAGGAACCTCAACCCATAATGATAGACAATCTGATAGACAATCCCTGGCTTTCTATGGCCACGGCCCGATTCGTATCGCAGCAGGAAGGCCAGCAATCGAAAAAGCACTCCAAGTCAAGCAAGCAGGTAACATGAACACCGTCAAACTGTGCTGAATATGTACTAACCCAGTATCAGTCAATCATACAAGGTCTCAACCACCTTTACGCCCCACATGACTTTGACAAAAATCCAAACTACGTCGAGTAAGTTTTTCTCTGGTAACAATCCATGGCACACTGAACTGTAGCCTAACCAAGGAAAGCATCATTGCCGTGCCCGGCCTCGGGTCGGATATGACATATACATGGGTATCGAAAGGCGTGCACTGGTTGCGTGACGAATCCATGCTGCGAAAGACCATCCCTAAGGCAAGAATATCTGTCTTTGGCTATCGGTCCCAATGGTACGGAAAAGATGCCGTAGAGAATCGGCTGTCGACAATCAGTCGCGATCTTCTCGATGCAATCAAGATGAATCGACGCGAATCCGTGCGTCAGCCTTTCAATAATTTGGATGCAATGCCAGAACTGACAGCTGCTCGACAGAAATACAAAGACAGACCCATTGTCTTTATTGGACATAGTCTCGGCGGGCTGGTCGTATCGAAGGTCTACTCTGCATTCGCAAAATACATGGTGAACCGCAATGAGCTGACAGCTGAGGCAGGCTGTTACAACAGCAAAACGAGAGGCCGACAGCTTCAAAGGAGTCATCGATTGTATCACGGCCTGTGTTTTTTTGGGAACGCCCTTCCGTGGCTCCGGGGCCCAGCATTTGGCAAAAATCATCGGGATGGCGGGCAGTGCCGTGGGACAAGCCAGCGATAATGATCTAATCCGAACGCTGAAGCCCAACTCCCAAGAGCTTCTTGAATTGGCGGATGAATTCCTCGCGGATGTGGGCAAGGTACAGATCGATGTGGTGTGCTACTTTGAGTTGGAGAAAACAAACGGGGTGGGTATCTGTCTGAATATACTTTTTGTCCCAGGCCACTAATGAACGCAGATGATTATCGCCGACGAGAAATCGTCGACCTTTGAAGGCAAGCCTCGATATTCCTGGGCTCGCACGCATTCGCAAATGAACAAGTTCGACGGGCCCAAGGACGGACATTACCGCCAGTTATCTGGAACCCTCAAAGAATTTGCCAACCAGTCTTTCAAGAAAATTAAGCTGCGACGGGATGGTGAGTGTGCCTCGTAAATTGTCCTCTGTGTATTTAATGAGCTTGCTACTAAAGATATTAATTATTTACAGCCGTCAAGCGAGAAATGGTGGATGATGGCCATGTGGAAAAAGTCCTGGATGCCTTAGAAGTAATTAACCCTAAAAAGGACCTGGAAACGATTCGCCGTAGTAGGGGATTCGAGAGAGGAATAACATCTTCATGGATCCAAATGAGCCAGCAGTATATGTCATGGAGGGATGAGGACTGCTCTCACAATGTCTGGATTTGCGGTGGTGCTGGCAAAGGCAAGACCATGGCTGCAATGGCGATGGTCGAAGACCTAGGCTGTCAAGCTGGGCGAGAGCCCGAATCAATGACAATGGGGTATTTCTTCTGCGATGAGCACGACAAGGACAAGAGTAATGCTTTGAATGTCTTAAAGTCACTTTCCTGGCAGCTGCTGAAAGCCCGCAAAGACCTTGCTCGCTACTTTTTTGGAGAAGAGAATATCTCAAAAGGCGCGGCGCAAAACGGGGACGCGGAGTACGAATTCGAATCGCTGCCTAGAGTGTGGAAGTGTCTCCAAGCCGCGCTGAGTGACCCGTCGGTGGGAACAGTTTTTTTCGTGGTCAACAGTCTCGATCAGATTGAGTCCGAGTCCCGACGGCAGCTGTTGAACAAAATCGTCTCATTCCGGCCTGTCATAGCAGACGAGGAAAACAACCAAACTGGACCATTTATCAAGTGGTTATTTCTTAGTACTTATAGGGATGACATTCAGGAAGCACTTCGTGGCTCGACCATTCTCAACATGGACGATGGTAGTCATTCGGACAAACAAGACGATGATCTCCGAGCGTACGTGAACAGGAGGGTCGACCAGATCATCAGTCAAAAAGGGTATAGTCGGCCACTGGCATACTTCATCAAGAGTTATATCTGCCTGCGAGCACAAGGGAAATCAAACTATGACTGGGTAAACCTGGTATGTCTGGAGCTGGAGAATGCAGCGGTGCCCCATTCGGCTGTCAGATGTCGACTGGAGGAGTTGCCTACCGACCTCTTTCCGATGTATGACCATGTTGCGTCTAGAGTAAGAAAGCACTTATCTTTCTTTTTTATGGTGTATCTCGGAGATATGGAATGATGCTAACTAGGGATCTAACCCAGGTACTCAAGAACTCTGACCTAGAAATTGAATGCTCCAAAGATATTCTGCGATGCTTACTCCTTATACACTGTCCTCCAACTCTTGAAGAACTTGCAGTCATAGCTGATCTTCCAGAAGAAGACAGGGAGAGCCGAGAAGAATTGAAGAAGCATGTTTTGCGATGTGGTGCTCTGACCACGATGTTCGAAGATGGTCAGGATGTCAAGGTACAACTCAGTCATCCTTCTGTGCGGGAATTCCTGAAGTCTAAAACCAATGACTGGCTTTCCATGGGATCCGAGAAAATACAGCACGGTGTTATTGCATTGCGGTGCTTTGACTACGTTCTCGCTGTTGTCAAAGAGAGTGAACAAACAGAGGCCGAGGAAACCGAAGAGAGCGAGGGCGAAAAGCCTGAGCCTGACGAGTCTGATAATACTAGTAATATGGAGAAAAATCAGGATCCGGGTGAACAAGAGGAGGAAAGCCCCGAGTTCGAATATGACAAGGAGTATGACTCGGAAAGCACAGCGGATGATAATGAGGAGACCGATGAGAAAGATGTCCTAACATATCCCATCACACAGTGGATTGAGCACGCCCTTAAAGCTACTGCCGATGTCGTGGAGAGTTTCGACATTGCCAATGTGTTCTGGGTGTTGGGGTCCAAGCAGCGAGCCGAGTGGTCGAAAGCGTACGCCCGACGCAATCCTGACATCAACGATGAAGGATTGGATTTCAACGAGCAATTCACGGCGATGCACGTTGCCGCATATTTTGGGTACATGCCTCTTGCAGATCTGCTTCTCAAATCCGATCAGCGTGTCGAGGAGATCCAAGCTACTGACAGCCAAGGATTGCAGCCGTTGTACTGGGCCTGTCGAAGAGGACACCTGAACATGGTCCAGAAGCTGTGCGAGGTCGGTAATACTAGAGATCTCATCAATTTTCGACAAGCAGAAGATCATGAGACCGCGCTCCACGGTGCTATTAAATCCGGCGACTCGGAGATCGTGGAGTACCTTCTCAATCATGGCGCCGAAGTCAATTGTCCTAACAGGGAGACCGGCTCTGCACTGTACCTCGCGTCTTCTGAGGGAGCCCTTGGAATTGTGCAGCAACTGCTGGAAAAACAGGCAGACCCTAATCTATTAGGCGGGCAACAGGTCACAGCGCTTACTGCTGCAGTCGAAAGCACGAGTTTGGATGTAGTGCAGCTTCTCGTCGAGAACGGTGCCGAGCTAAATCCATCTGTGGAATACGGTAATGGCAATGCCCTGGGTACAGCATGCTACTGTGGCGAGTATGAAATTGCCATGTATTTACTTGAGAAAGGGTGTGACCACACCAAGCAAGCTAGCGACGGTACTTTGCCAATCGAAGCAGCCGCAGGAGAAGGCTTTGTCGACATTGTCCAGCTTCTTCTCCAGTACGACAAGGATCTAGACTCTCACAGAAAAGCCCTACTCAAGGCTACAGAAAATAATAGAGAGGCGGTTGTTGCTCTTTTGGTGACACATTCTCCCAAAATCCCGCGCGGGCCTGCATTCTACAATGCTGCAGCCAAAGGCCATACGGGCATTGTCAAGAGACTTACACGGAATGGCATTGAGTCGAAAGTCCTTGAACAATCCTTATATATTGCTGTTGATTATCAGCATGAGGAAACCGTTCACGCCTTGCTGGATATGGGCATCGATGCTAATGCTGAGGGAAAGGAGTAAGTATTCACAACGAGCGTGACAAAGCTCGAGAAAGCGGTATGCTAACGTGCAATGCAGATATGGAAATGCCCTCCAGGCATCGGCCTACGATGGCACAACGGAAATCCTGAAGATGCTTCTCGATCGAAGAGCAGATCCCAACCGAGCCTACCCAGAATCCAGCTATGGAACTGCCCTTCAGGCTGCATGTTACGAAGGGACGCTAGAAAACGTACAACTCCTTATTGGAAACGGAGCCAACGTGGATCCCGTAATATTTGATGAACATGACACGCCCCTTCAGGCCGCCTGTATTGAAGGAACTACCGAGATTGTCAAGCTTCTTCTTGAGCGTGGGGCAAACCCGAACACCGAAGGAGGTCGATATGGATATGCTATTATCGCTGCCTGCGAAAGCGGCGGCGGCGATGATGATATGCTAAAAGAGTTGATCTCGCGAGGAGCCAACGTCAACGTTCGGAGCGCAGATGGAGAAACCCCGCTCACAAGCGCGGCCATGGAACTTCCAAAGCCGTGTGTGGAGACTTTGATTAACTATGGGGCCTTCATTCATACGAAAGACGGGGATAACGACACTGCCCTGACAAACGCAGCATGCGCAGCGGACGAGGAATGTGTGCGATACCTTCTTGAACAGGGACTGGATGTTCAGCATATCGGAGATTGGGGAGGTGCATTATACAAGGCCACTGAAAGCAAGGCTCTGGATTGCGTAAACACTCTACTCGAATATTGTGTTGATGTAAACCAAAAGGGGGGCGCATTGCACACGCCGCTTCAGATGGCAGCTTACCAAGGAGACGTGGAACTTGTGGAACGATTCTGCAACCATGGTGCCGATATTCACACGGTAGGAGGAAAGTATCATACTGCTCTCCAGGCAGCTGTTGCCGGGGACAGCATCGAGACTGCCCGATTGTTGCTGAACGCCGGTGCGGACCCGAACGAAAATGGAGGTGAATATGGAAGTGCCCTACATGCCGCCATACATGCAGAGGAACCCATTCCACTCATCGATCTCCTCCTGGAACACAAAGCCGATATCAATGCCGTGAGCGAACGGGGTACACCACTGCAGCTTTCAGCTGCTGTTTCCACCGTCGATATTGTGACTCATCTTCTGGAGAATGGAGCCCAGCATGGTATTATCGCGGGCAAATATGGGACTGCTTTGCAGTCTGCATGTTTTATGGACGATTATGAGGTAGTGGACGTGCTTGTTGACCGAGGGGCAGATCCCTTTCTTCGTGGCGGTTATTACCAAAACGCGTTTATCGCTGCAGCTTTAGATGGCATACAGGAATACGTGCAAGAGTGGCTTCCACATGTTCCGGAGCCATGGATTCTCGTCGAGGCTTTACATTATGCAATCCATTTCCGTGAGAAGGATGTTGTTAAAGTGCTCCTTGACCATGGGGTTGATATCAATGTGAGCAGCACCCTTTACGGGTCCGCTATGGAAGCTTTGGAGGCAGGCATTGATGACATAGAAAGAAAGCAAAAAGAAGGCGATTTGGACTTCTGGTATCACTATTCTAGTGACGAAGAGGATGAGGACGATAGTGAAGAAGAAGAAGAAGATGATGATGATGTTGATGATGATGAGTCCGAGGATGGCAGCGAAGAAGACGATGATGTCGACCAGGAGGCGGAGGCAGAGGCAGAGGCGAAGGCAGAGGCCGAGATCAAGACAATGTTGCAAAGGCTTCTCGAGACGAACCCTCCACATCAAAGCCAGGCTTGCCAGTCCAAAAATTATACATGCACCAAGAGGAAGCCTTTGCCTTCGGGAAAAGATACCGTCCCCATCCCTGCTACCTATCTGACAAGTTCTGAGCCATCCCATGTGATGCCTAGACAGGACGCTCACCAAGTGCCCAATACTATTCGAGTTGATCAGTATATGCATACCAACCAGCAGCCTGGATTTGGTGCTGGAGACTTCGGCCAAAGCGGGCACAATGGAAGCTACCAGCAAAGCCATGACAGTCCTTGGCGTCCGCCGTCAGATGACGGTATGCGTCGTGGAAGGCATAAGCTTGGGTTCAAAAACGCCTTCAAAAGTTTTATTGACGATGTACTCTGATATTCGTAGTTTTTTTTATTGCAAGGCTGATATCCTGTGATATGAAACGGAATGACATGTGTAAGATAGAAGAGTTGTAGGGATAGAAGCAGCTTGAATTTGCTAGGTTTAGGGCTATCAACGGTGAACATCCGACAATTAGCCCCCATCTAGAGCAGAGTATATGCAGACTACGGCATAACACTCGACAACATCCCTGGAAACGAGAACTCCCCAAAATCCCACTCTGGCAGAAACACCTCGCCCATAGCCCCAGCTCCCGTTCCCGTCCCGAACAACCCATTCCCAGGCCAAGAAAACCCCTCCATCGTAGGACCAGTACCATCAACAATACCCCCCGTCAAGCCAACTGCGACGGCCGGCTCCTGCGACTCCTCAAACTCAGCCAAAACCCCTGCCGCACAGTCCCCCAACTTCCGATCTAACCCCGGCGTCATTCTACAAATCGGATGCATAGCCACACACCGCGTCCCCCGAAACATCGTCAACACTTTGCGAATCAAGATGAAATTATCCGCAGGCACAATCCCCAACTGCTCCGCATAACCCTTCGTAACTTCTAGCAGAAAATGTCCTGCGAACGCAAGCATGATATGGAAGTAATGCGGCATTCCCACGAGATTCGCCTGCAGCGTTTCTTCATACAGGATCATTTCGAAGATCGATATCGCAGCGTCATGCGCCATCGATGCAGCCGCCATAAACGGGCCCGGAATGGCTTCGCCCTGCAACCCCTTAAAGACCTGGTGTCCTAGATATAATTTCCCGAATTGGTAATGCAACTGCAAACCTCTTCGCGGAAAATCACCCAAAAATGGATCTGGTTTGAACATTGACGAAAACCGTGTGAACCATTTATCTAGCTGCCGGGAGTAGTGCACGATTTGATTCGCCATAGTTTGCGGGATTCGTGTTTCTGTATCTGAATCACAGCCCAGCACGTCGCGGACTTGGCTCATTATTAGCAGCAGAGCTACCTGCGAGACGATGCGTACGTCAGAGTCTGTTACGTCGGAGCGCCGGAGGTACGCCTCCCAGCTTATTGCGATTTCGGTGTCGCTGCGGAGTAAGGGGTCTCGGTTATGCAGGATGGAGAGGTGTTGGTCGCAGATGAAAAGGAGGTACCAGAGTCTGACGCGGTCACGCATTTCTGCGACGTTGGTGTTTGATCGTGCATCGCCGGAACAGCTCCAAAGTCGGCCAAAGCTGCGGTGCAGATGGACGTCCGCGGATCTGCGGATTGCGTCACTGAGAAGGATTCGTGATGCATCTGCTAGCCAGAAACTGCTTATGCATAGGGCGCGGATGTACTCTAGGTCGTGTTTCTCGAAGAGACTTTGCGAGACTAAACGTCGGAATTCGCGGTTACATACTTCGTATAGCGATTGATCGCCTGGGTCATGTAGTGCAGATACGGTACATATCGCAGCGAACAGAACCGGATGACCAGTTCGCAGTCGCTGGAGGTTATGCAATCGACTACCTATCCCGTAGAGGTACGAGTCAACTCGAGTAAAGTATCTATCGACGAGAATTTCTGCATCCGTCATGCTGATTATGCCTTTGCTGACGAGGTCTTGCGATGCATAACGGCGTGGTCTGGATACCTGGTTTGACGGTGTCTCTACAGACCCGGAACCAGGACTTCGACTGTGACTGTTACTTCCTAGTTTCGCGATGTCGAGATAGGTATCTATTGGTGCTTGCACGGCAGATGGTGTGCCGGGTGGTGAGACCTCGCAGCCTGGGAGGGTCTGTTCTTGGTCGTTGTTAGCTGTGCTTGGTAGTGCTTGGCTGCCGTTGGTTTCTGCTTCTGGGGCTGAGATTTCATTGCTGTTGTAACTGTGACTCTGACTGTGTAGAGGGTTCGGTCTATCCAGACCGAGATGTTCACAGATAGCACTTAGCGTAGTATGAATTTCGCGCACGTCCGCTTGCAAGATATCCGTGTTCCTGTATACATCAATACCTGAGCCTCCGAATTCCAGGATGATACCAAATGACTCACTTGGCCTCCTCAACCAACGACTGAAGGCTCTTATTCAACACGCACGAAAGCTCGCGATGACGACACCGCGTACACGGCGGTACACCATCTGGCATATCGCACCTAATCTACATCCAGTACATTAGAGCCCATTCACATACTTAAAATCAAGTTCGACAAACCTTCTGCTTTCTACATGCCGCACAAGCCGTAATCTTACGGCTAATAGCCGGAAGACTCTCATTGAGTTCAGCTGCGGCAGGGCTAGCGTTTGAATTGTGAGTAGTCGGGCCGGCTGGTATTTCGTCGGGTGATCGCTTGCGTTTGTTCATTGCGGTGATGTTTTTGGTGGCTTGCTTTTTGCCTAAAGGGTGGTTATTGATAGGATGGAGTTCGGGTATTGGGTTCCCCGCAAATTAGAGTAACATGCGGGGAATCCCCCGGATTATGAGTCTCTGCAGGACTGGGAAATTGGAATTGAGTAATAGATATTGAAGGAGATTGCTGCATTTGTCTATTTCGTTGGGTCCATTGTCGGGGCATTAAACGAGGCCCAACGGGTCTACAGATGTGCCTCGGAAATTGTTTTCCGCTACCTCAATCGGCAGTAATTCAATGTAGAGTCTCGATATTAACATTGATGCATTATTTACAATCGGAGTGTCTCGTAGCATAGCAAATCAAACCCCAGTAACAAAATCAACAAACACATGCCGGGAATAACTTCATAACACCCTCTATTATGCATAGTCGCATAAGTGAACAGAAGAAGAAAAAAGAAAAGAAAGAAAAGAAGCCCAAACACCGTTTATGCATTATTAGCGCACGAAAAACTGCCACCTGCCCCTTTGCTATCTTCATGGATAGCAAGTCCGGATACCCAGAGACCACAGGCGCAGATTGTGGTTCCGATGCCGACGAGGCCGACGTTGGTGAGGAAAAGGAGGATTTTCTTGGGGGAGGAGAAGTAGTCGCCCCAGTACATGTAGAGCCAGAAAACGCCAGGGAGGCCATCTGCAAGTTGTTAGAGTGAGTGGAATGACGGATTGAGAGGGCGCTCACAAGAAAACCAGCTGACGAACAGAGCGCTAATCAAACTCAAGAGGTCGCTGAAAACAGGAATCGCTTCGGCAATAATCCACGAGATCGTCCAGAAAGCAAGGGTCAAACCAATCCAAGCACCAGTACCGAGCATACTCTTCTGGTGCATGACATTGGTGCCACGGAAAATGCGAACATAAATAGTCTTGATAGCCACATGGCCCAGGACGACACCCGCGATGACAATTGTAGGAATAGCGATACCGTAGGCGACTTTGCGGAGGATAGGTCCGGTCGAGCCCAGCGCGGGCGAGGCGACACCGTCACCGGCGTAGCGGTAGATCACGGCAGCGGAGATGGTGTAGAGGATGATTTCGAATCCTTGTTGCATGCAGAGTGATTTGGGAAAGTCTTCCGGGTTTTTCATTTCGGCGATGAAGCCAAAGTAACCGGGGTGGCCACCTGAGTCATTAGCATATTGTAGAAAAGAATGAAACAGGGAAACATACAGTAAGCGAAAACAATGTTGGTCACAGCACTAAAGCCACTGACAAAGTCGGTCTTCTGGGTAACAGAGTAGATACCGTTACCCGGGCGCTCCACACCAACACCGACCATAGTGATCACAACAGCCACGAAAATACTGATGAACGAAGCCATGGCCAGCCAGGACACATTCTTCATCGTCCGGGGCAGCGAAAGTAAAAACGAAAGAATCAATCCGACGACGCCAAAAACAATCGAGCACGTGCCATGTTCCGTCAGGGTGTTCATCATAACCGTAAACGTGAGAAGGTGACTGCCCGTGGCGAAGAGGAAGAACAGCAGCTGTCCCACTTCGAGGATTTCGCGACCAACAGGTCCCATCAGGATACCACCTGCGTCGGCCATGCTGTGGATGAAAGGGTATTTCTGCCGGAATTGACCGATCAGGTAGCCGGAATATGTCGAGATCAAACCAAGGCCGACGATGAGAACGACCGCTCTATAAATTATTAGACACGAACAATTGTCGTTGATGGAGTGCTGGATTTGATGACGTACGGTGCCATTCCGATCGAAGCGACAGCTGCTGGGAGAGAGAGGACTCCGAGAGAGACCGTTTCGGCAATCATGACTGCGACTCGGTTAGAACTGTACAGATCAGGGTGGAAAAGCGCGTCGTACTAATTCCGGTTTGCCTATAGAGAATCATCGTTAGTATCCAATGCGATCAGAACCGCGACTTCAGAATAGCTGCTTACCACCACGTCAACGTCTTGTACTTGATTTCAGCCGAATCCTCAGCACCAAAGGGATCGATCTGAACCGAGGGAGGCGAGCTCTTCACATCCTCCTGGTCGTAGTATTCAGGCTCGGGGCCATTCTCAACCTTGATATCTTGAGCCATGATGAGTTGAGATGACAGTGGGAGAAGAACAGGAGAGAGGAAGTGACACTGAGGAGATGTGACTCCAGCCGTGACTGATGAACTAATAAACTACACTGCCCGAACCAATGTAACCGCCTTCTCGTCTCCATATCCAAAAAGAGTAAGCCGGCCGCGGCTCTGAGCGCCGGAAGAGGAAAGGTCTTCAGATTTTTCAGATCCGATGTCGGGCCTGGGGTGAATTTCGGCCCGCCGTTGTGTCAGGGCGGGGTAGGCTAATTGTCATGTCCAATCAACACCTTTCTAATTGTCCTGAAGCTTGGCCGGAGTTCTCTTCGGACTCCGGAATTCAACGCTAACGTGCCGACGCCGGCATGTAAATATCACGTGATATATAATCCAGGTTTCCTTATTGGTAGACCGATGCAGCCTTATGCCATGTGTTCTGGAATGCGTACGACAGAGTTCTGTACCTGATGATCTTTGCAGGGTGGCACGGGTGACAGGGATCAGACAGTTAACCGAATTATGTCGGATGCAGAGTGCGATGCACATCGAGAGACAAGATATACGTACCTGCTTAGCATCCATGATCTTTTCTATATGGCCTTGAAGGCACAGAGGGCAGCAACAGCATCGTAACTGATCCATCTGCACCTTCACCGTCGCCCTTGTACTCTCCCACGGCAATCACACAATCCCCATCTGGCTAGAGCTAGCGAAGACGATTAAGGTGAGATTGAATTTGCCTGGGTATTGGGGTTCTGGCTCGGATTCTGTTTCCGTTTTGTTTCTTGGGCGTCTGCATTTTCGGCCGATGGGGAAGCATCGCGAGGGGATTGGTGCGAGGGTGTGATGGCTGTTTCCGTGATGGTTTCTTGGAAAATGTTGGCCATGGCACGGGCAGGCCAGGGAAGAGACGGACTGAGATCATCAAGATGCCTCCCTGGGGAGGGAGAAAGGACTGACAAACAAGGAATGAACGTCAGATGCAAGGAGATCGATTTGCGTGGTTGTTGCACAGTACATACTTGGATCTGGGAGATCCAATACATATCCCTTATATAGATCACAATCAACGTCGGTGGAAAGACGTTTTAAAGCGTATACTTTTACAATGTACCGGATCTAGAAGGGCATGGGGACCTGCTGCTATCATCTTACCCCGCCGGTATGCCGTCTAATAAATATCCTCCCTCTCTGCAAGATATGGTTCATCAACCATCTAATCTCTATGGTCCGCATATCAGGAAACGGGTGAGTCTCCGGGTTCTCCGTTATCAACGTAACAACAACCTCCGGACACAGCCACCAGAATTGGACATTCATCCAGGACCCATCAGTTGCTGCATTAAGGGGCTCAAGGCCAAACCAACCCAGTCCATGCAGTGAGTAGGTATTGGGATCGTGATATTGGTGATGGCTGAGACTGGGTCTCGCTCATGGCACTGGATGATTTCATTATCAACACTGGCAATAATTACGAAGGGATAGCCGCTACTTAAATGATCAAGTCGAGCATTGGAACTAGCAACCGAAGCACTAACGAGTTTCAGCACAGTCTGAACAAACAAGGTCCGGGTTTATTTTGAACGAGAGCAGCTTATAAACAGTCAGATAGCACAACCGGAACGTACACGGCACCCACCAGAATTGCAAACCTCTTTCCTTCATTATACAAAAGTCGCCACGATCTGACGTTACAAGTTGCGAAGCCAATCGTTTAAAGCCGGCATATAAAAGAGCCCGACCAACTCTCCTGCTTAGGCTCCTCTGGTGCATAGAGAGTGTCCCTCGGGCGAGCTCTATCTAAAAAGAACTATTTACAGAAGCTCCAGCAGCTCGGATTTATGTGAAGATATGGCCGCATCCGCCAGTTGCAAGTACTTCTCGGGAAGTTTGGGCCAGTGTTGACCGCCGAGCTGCAGCTCGGTTTGTCCAGCTGCGTTAGAATTCTTACGTTTACTCACCGAAAATTTCATTTATACCGGACGAGGACCATGGTAGCGAGCCCAATACTGCCGAAGAGCTGTCCTGCGTCCTCGATGGTTCCGATTATCCTCCATCTCAAGATTAGCAAGTGCAGCAAATCTAGATTTGGACCCAACAGCCCCAAGCTGACGGGTTATTTAAGACGACCAATTGCTCGGAAGGTCTTGTGAGCTGAGGATAGAAGCAAGGGAAGAGGGCCTACCTAGAGTTCGAGTTAATAAAATGAGCTCAGAAGAATCAACCAACTCGGGTACTATGGTATATGCCCAACAGTCATGCCATTATCGAATCCAGTAAACTATGTCCACTTTAAAGATTCTAAAAAGACTCCAAAATGACAGGTTTCGGCATACTCGACGAACATGTGACTTGGTTCCAGGACCAGCCCGAATAACAGAAACCCTTGCCCCTGTTACAGCGTGGGCATCCAACATGAAACAAGCCGTATCAAGACGTCAGAAATACAATGAGATGAACGGAGAGGACAAAAGGAATTATTCCTCTCAAAGCATAACAGCGATCGCTACATCGTTCACTTGCTATTCACAACAATAGGCCCAAGGCATTTTGGAGATCTAGCTTTACGAACGTCATCGATGTTTTGACCATGTCAGTTTTGTGACCTATGGGAATCAGTCATGGTCATAAAGTTTTATACAGGCCAGATCGCGAGATACGTGCGCGACTCGCTCAGACATGCTTCCGCTCGAGACCTTAAGTTTCTGGGCAATCCGATGCGATGATCGCCGACTCATGCGACTCATGCATAGCTCTTCCACATGGTGTATAACCCAAAGCAGCAACAAGATACCTGAAGTGCACCTAAGGAAGTAAATTTGACAAAATTGGATATTATCCATCCACGAGGTTGAGAGCCATCAGCAAATGAAGAATGAACAATCATGGTACTGTTTCAATCAATGACGTACCGGACGACGCGTGAACATGGAAACCTTGAACCCTAAAACACTGATAAGGCTTCTACGTGACTTTTTTGTTTCGTCACCACGTGGGCGTTCGGCCTGAGTCTAGACACTGAATCTTTGAAACGGGATGCATTTGGAACAGCCATGCATTGTATGCTGTGCGAAATCCTCCGGAGTGCAGTCCACATTTACCTGATCAGTAGGTTGATTAGAATGCCCGAGGACAAGTGAACTTGCTAATTCTAATTGTGGGTCGTAATCGGTGACGCAAAAAGCTGTCCTTTCAGGAATTCAGGCGGTTCTGTCCCTCATTAGCAATACCCTCTGCAGCAAGTTAAGATTTGCAGCCTGAAAATCAAGCGTGGGCATTTGTATATTTTCGCCCTTTTCATACTACTCTGAAAGGACGAAATTGACGAGGAGCCATGCGGCGAGGCCAAGTTCGAGGATTAAATGGAATCAGCCATACCTATTTGGTTTTATACAGGCTAGATCTCCGTATATATGCGTGATTTGTTCTCGAGCAAATTGATGTAGTGACGCGACTTATGCGCCTCGCACAAAGCCATTTCATGTGGCAGATATCCTAAATCAGTCGCAGCAGGCCTCCTGAAGTACTTCCAACCGATGGAAGATGATATGTTGCTGACCTAGTTCAGTTGGGAACTGAGCGAGAATGCTTCTGAGAAGTAACAGGATAAAGGTCACACTGGTGACCATAGTGGTCAACAGAATAATTGCCGGGCTCTTGACGCGTTGCCAACATCTGCGCGATTTACAGAATTGCAGGCGCCAAACTCCCTTATACAAGGACTAGGCAGTCAGAAATATGGCGTGCAAGCGGAACGCAAGAGTGTTGGAGTTGACAAAGGATAGAGATACAACCATGCCAATGGTCTGGGATTTGCAATGGCGGCAGCCTTGTGTCTGAGTATTTTGATGAAATGAATTTCAAGTCCGACATCTTTGGTGCTGCTGGCTACCTGGTTAGAGTCAAATTCACACGATGTTGGCAATGCACTCCAAACCTCACGTATCTTACCACGCTTGATTTTTAGCAAAGAATGCCCATTCTTAATGCGACATGTCCAACTCTTCGTCAAGTCATGTACCCTGTCACCGCACTGTTGAAGAGCTGACCCGGGCGTCAGTTTGTGATACCAACCTAGCTACAAAACAAGATATGAAATCAACACCATCGCAACCCTTACATGTGCAGTTAGAGCACAGTCCCCATCTTCTGCACTCTATCTGCATGTTCCCCTGGTAATCCTTGCATCTGCAGATGAGGCCAAAAGAGTACCAGTGCACAGTCCCTTCATCCTGTGAGCCGCAACCGCGCATGTATGATAACAAGATAATGTCACGGCATTTCATGTCAATCCAAATCTCGACGCATGCTATGACTTCATCAACTTTCTCAGCCCTGATATGATCTTGCTCCTGACCGAGTCTGTTCCTGCATATGCAAACAAACGAGTCTATCTAGCACTATCCCTTGTGACATACATAATCTATCAGCCCATCGTTTGCAACCTGTATACTGCCGAATTGCCAAGCTGTCTCACCTCACCTCCCTCCATCACGAAATCGAAACAATAACCCGCAAAAGCCGTTACATAACACCGATATGATACACTTTCCTGGTTAGATCAATTCTCTCTTTTCTGCGCTTATCTCGCCATTCAATGCCAACTCGGCATAGCCGATCTGTGATTTCACAAAACCCTAATACAGTCTGCATCCTGCACCATCCCGCCATCAGGATCCAGCCAGCAATGCCAACCCCTCCCTCATGAAGAACCAAATCCTGATGTTTCACTCGACCCACTTCATTTCCTGTCATCTACTTGTAAGGAGAAGATATCGAAATCGAATTCCTTCCCGATTGAGAAACTCAAAGCCGCCTATCCCTGTCCTGTTTAACTCGCCATGCATGGCGCATTGCAGATATGATATATCCGATTCATTTGCGCTTTGCAGTTACGTGCTCGTTGAGAAACTTCGCCAGCCACCCCGTTCTTTGTCCCGAGGATGTCGGCTTGCGTGGTTCATTGGGCAGTGTAGAGTCCGTGCCGTGTTCGTGTCCGTGCGACAAGAGGGTTACGGGTACGGGAGAAAGAAGGGAGAATGGTGAAGGAACGATATGAGCAGGAATAAAAGAATGAAGAAAGGGAGGGAGGGAGGAAGCGGACGGCCCGAACCTAGCAAGATTCGATTATCGAGTTCTTATCAATATTCCGTAGTAACTCCGTGTAGACTTGCATGTCTATATCCACCCGTAGTTTACCCTGTACTCATAGTAACTACTCTGTACCATCGACATCACTATCCTGTCTACACGACTTTACTTTCTGGGTAAATGCAGCATCAGTACTCCGCACCTGTCGTATCCCATTAAGACATATGTACGGGGTACAGAAAATGCTTGAGGGATATAGCGAGCGCATCGCGCGTGTGTTTCAGGAATTATTCGGCCTCATGGCAGACATGTCATTTCAAGTCAAGTCGTCGCATGCTGTGGCATGGTAGCTAGGATTAGGGGCTTGCATTGGCCTGCAGATGCGATGCAATGCGATGCAGATGTAAGCAAACTTGTCAAGTAGAGAGTGGATGTGGAGATGCGATGCGGCGCTTGCGATACGTAGCGACTGCGAATGTTGCGCTCTACACTACTCCTTGTCTTCAAGTTGCAGATGTCAATGTCGTGTAGAATAAAAATCCATTCTTGTCACGTTAAAAAAGAAAAGAAAAAAAATGAGGGAAAAAAAAACAACCTACACGGTTTCTTTTCCCGTGTAACTCCCGGTACTGGCATCCCGCATTATCGTGTCCTACCTACACCGACTAATCAATCCCCTTTCCCAACCAAGACCAAGATAATGAAGAAGAATGCAAAATAAACTCACCCGAACACTGCACATCAGATAACGATCGTCAAGCAACAGCACTATTGGTGTGAGCCTGTACTACGCTGCAGGAATTGTGACACAGAGCGCGGGGTGTACCGGACAGGTCAGATCATCTGGGGTTCCTGCATAATTGGTGTGTGTTGGTTGAAGTTTATGGTGAAAGTTATTGTCGTGGTGGATAGAGTTTATGGGATCACGAGTATGTGTGATCGTGCATCTCCGGGTATGGTGATTTGTATGTATGGGTTACTTTCATAGGGAAGAGAGGACTTGGTAGTAGAGGTAGTGGAGGAAGTATGACTGAATTGATCGTGACAAAGTAGTATGTACAGGCCCAAGTATAATTCATTAGATTGAAAAACAGATAATCCCAATGTGTACCATTCTGGTATCCATCCGTGCCCAACGCCGCGCTAATTGTTCAGAGAAAATCGAGAAAAGACGAAAGGAAATCGATCAAAGATTGTATGCCGGAGAGTGCCGGTGGTAGACAAAAGAAAAATGCCGGGTATTCGCTATTTTTGGTCGCTTGCTGGAAAGAGGAAAAGAGTAGACAGTCGGATATCGAACAGTGTTGTACAAATTGAATGAGGAACGAGAGAAAAGAGCGATTAATTCGAGTTGGTGCGTCGGCGCAGGTCATTTTGACAGAGGATTTTGCGGATCTTCGAGACGAAGCGGTCTTTTGTAGATTCTGTTCAGATAGGTTAGACTCGGTTTCGTTGATGTTGAACATGTGCACGGATGCTCACCATTGCTTTTGCGACTCGTTCTCGACTCCTCCTCGAAAGTAGACCGTGTTGGGGATGAGTCGGACCAGTAGTTGATGCTGTGATACCCCGAATCGGAGTCGGATCTGTTGAAGTGTTGTCCGTCGGCCTGGAGTTGGAGAGCGACGACATGAGGGTAGAGGTCTATTAATGGGTAGAGAACTTCCTCTGAGGAGCGTTCTCTTTCCATGTCGAAGTCCACACTGTTCTGTTCCGGGTCAGTAAGCCGAAAATAATAGACAGCGGAACGAAGCAACTCACGTATGGCTCGTAGTTGGTCTTGTAAGGCATCGTGAAGTGTGTAGAGAGTAGGAGTGGAAGAGTGGTTTATAGACTGTTTTAGACCGTAAGTCTTTTGATTCCGAGTTCTGCTACAAGACAATGCCTTGTGGGCTCCGTGGGTTTATATTTCTCGTCGACTACTGAAGCATAGCCAGCCGGGTGGAGGCCAGCGGGGCACATGAAAAAATAAAATATTATAATAAAAATAAAATAATAAAAAAAGAGGGTGTCATAGATGGAGAATCGACATGCATTTGCATTTGAAGCTAACGATGGATTTTCATTTCTTTTTCGGGCTCTCGTGTGTTCTAATTGATCGTGGTTGGGGCCCATGACGCTGACGAGTGGAATATGATTTGACATGATTTGGTTGAGAGCGTCCCTGATCTGCCCTAGTCCAGGTCCACTAGTTGGCGTGGCAGTCGATCGTCTATACTGGGTAGGGATAGTCGATTGGCCGCATTTAATTAACTTAGCGAACTGGTTTAGTTAGCTTTGCTAAGACCGATTGGATGTGTCATTCCATTCGCTCCTGCACCACAGCTCAACCCAGGCATTCGAGACACCGAGTATCTCCCCTCCCACTCTTACCCCCCTCCCCCTCCCTCGGTCAGTTCCTATTCAGCCGCTGGGAAATGTAACTAGACGATCCCGATCTGTCTGGATACGTTATGTATGTTACGTCGTAGGTCAGCATCGTAGTGTGCTCAAAAGGCGTTCATTTGCATTGTGACTTCTCACATTCGCTATTGCTCTCCTTTTTTTCTTCTTCTTCTTATTATTATAATTCCTTCCAGCGGCTTCTATTTCCCTTGATCCCTGTCCCTGTCGTTGCCCTGTCCTTGTCCAGTGGCTAACTGACCGCATTGTTCGCTTCTCCGGCTGGTAAATCTGTATGTAATCCGTAACTCGGTTCTCTGCCTACACTGCAGTGACGGTCTCGCCATCGAATACCCATCTGCCGGGACTCCTTGCGTCGTTCGCGATGCTGCTACTATCGCGATCAAGAGGGAAAAAAAATGAATTGAACGCTTCCCGCGGCTTCAGTTGCTTATCCTGCATGACGATGTACCACGTTGTATGTAGCCAGTTGAGATAGATCGCATGTACCATGGAATGATGCATAATCGTAATCGCACTCGCACGACCGTCTCCAACCGGTTTCGCTTCACCATGGGAAACGTTTTAGGGGAGAAAAGAAAAAAGAAATAAAAATAAAAACAATGATACCAAGTCGACGGGCCTCTCCGCTGCGACAGCGGATGATTCAAATGATTTCGTACTCTATTCTCCGTTCTAGTCCGTCCGTATGGTGTCCCGTGTGCCTCTCAAAATCCCCGGACATACCTTCCCTGCATTGAGTCCAGGCTATGTTCGGTCGTAGGCGTACCCGAGGCCTTTGTTGCAATTTGGCATTGTTTTGACACTATCGAGGATCAGTGCACAGTGTCAGGACAGTGTTGGTGTGTCCCCTATAACCACGGAATCCATGAATCATTTTAGCCCGAGCCAGACCAGACTCGAAAGAGTTAAAACCTAAAGGGCACTAGTTGACGAATCTTCCAAATCTTGCACCTTAGCGTCTGGATCGTGTCCAGGTTCCTGGGACCCTTTGCTCAGTCGTGGCATCATTGATTAATCAACCAGGCATTCAGTGACCCATTCGTTTTATTAAGAAAATGCATATTAAAGAGCATCGATCGGCCAGGGGAAACCTGGCTGCCTGAGGCTGAATGTGTTGGGGCGCACTATTTCCGCACTAGGACTAACGCGAGGGCTCGGCGACCTTCGGAGTTCCCAAACGGGGATAGTTGTGGCACGGTCTGGAACACAGCCACGCAAGGGTTACCCTTTTGGAAAGCGCAGCGCCACATCACGGGACTGATTTGCATTCGTGGCTTGATATATGTGGCTCGTGTGGTTCTTGTGGCTGGAGCTATCTGTGGCTTGACCCATATCGAGCAGGGAGTTATTGGGAATAGCTTCAGTCTCCTGCAGCTCCACCCTCGCTCTTGCACACAAATCCTTTTCTCAACAACAGATTGACCGGGGAGTCAGTGCTTGGACCATGTAATCCATGATCCGCTTCTCCTCATGATCTGCTTCGTTCTCGCTTACTGTGTGTGCCTTGACACCGACTTTGTTTCCTTTTGGGAGAACATGTCGCGCCGGACCATGGCTCTTTTCTTTTCCAGGATAAACGTACTAGACTATAAGTATAAGGAGAGTCTGTTTCCCCCCTTTCCTTGAGCATCCCACTTTGATTTCATCAAGTCTACTTCTCTATTACTCCTTCGTTATCCTTTGGATATTCTTTGTACATGCCTCGAGTCAACCATGGCACTAAACGCTCAGGACTCCGGAGAACGTTGCTTGCAAAGCTCTCCATGCTTGGTCTCTCCTCTCGCACACTTCGCTCAAACTCCAACTCCCATGAGTAGGTTCCTCTTCTGTCTCCATACTCCCGTGACTCCGTTTCTGATATTCCGTGGCCCTGATTCAGAGGCTGAACAACCTTCTGGTAGACCTGATAATATTCCCAATGGCTCGTCTACTGAGTTCCCGTATGGCTTAATGAGCCCGGTGCAGGAGCTGCCGGTCCGAATGGAAGAGGCACCTGCTGCAGAACCGGCCCGCGTCGATCCTACCGAATGGTACCCGCACTATTTGATCTGCTTGCGGCACTTTTTGGATCACGCGCAGCATACGCTTCCTGTGCAATCATTGGCGACCTTTATCAATATTCGTCTTCCTTGCCAGCGGTCGTCTGACCCTGTCTTTCAATTCACTCAGTCAGAGATATCTGCTGCATCTGTGGCTTTGACGCCGTACATCCGACGACTCATTGTTACCGGCAACGACACACCATCAGTTCTGCAGGCATTTTTTGGCAATGGCTGGGAGGCCGGCGTCGACTACACCTGGAAGCAGGAACGCATGAACTACTTGTTCACGGCCAAAAGCAGCGGCTGGGCCTCGACCAAGGAAGCCTACGATATTCTCCCCGATGAGCAAACCCCAACTATACGGCCTCTTCGCAACCCCACGGAGGAGGAGCTGTGCTTAGCTGATGCGCGATGGAGCGAATGGCTAGCAATGGAGGATTGGATGGTTGGACCGCGAAGTCCATGGTAAAGGGGAAAGCGTCTCATGACGATGTGATGGGCCACGATTTTGACGATAATATATCACTCGTTTCGAATCTTTCTTTTGTTCAATTTTTGGGATTTCTGCAACGGAGCAGTCTACGTATCACATTTCCCTTTTCTGGTTCCAATTTTGGTGTATCTATCCACAGCAGAGCAATATATCGGATCTCCTTTGTTTTGGAAATATCCTGGTTCATCCTGTAACATAATCACGCCACGTGATACATTCAACTGTTCGCCGGTTACAGCGGGTTCGGGTCAACGGGGCCTGGACTGACAAGCGTTGACAGCCACAGCCTCATGCCAGCATCCCCTCAGTTGCACACATAGCGTCATCACACATGGTTGAGCATACCAGCCAAAAAAAAAAAAAAGAAAAGAAAAGAGCAACGAACAATGAGATGCAGCCGAACTAAAAAAGGAGATCGATAGTTCGCACTTCGCAGCGTGCGCACCGCCACAGTTTCGGAGTCTCCGAAAGGGATCGACAATAGTCAGAAAAAGGCGTCCACATTCATTTACCTTGTTACCTTGTTCAGTTACTACGGCTCTAGTTATCGGGCTGCATGACAAATTGCCGGGGTTTACAACCGCACAAGCATTAAGGAGTGGGTGTATGCTTAATTTGCTTCACTATCGATCCTGGGGGAGGGAGGGGTTTGGTTTGGGTTACTCGAGTCGAGACTCGTGGATGAGAGTTCCCTCGTTGTGCCCTGGTGTACAGGGAACGTCATGGATAGAGCCTATTGGACAGCCAGTCCTGGTGAAGCCTACCGGGGTTACTCGGTCGCTCGATGGCGATGTTATTCGATGCAGGAATTGAAGATGTCCGACAATTTTCAGACTTAGATTGATCATTCGGGCCCAGTGTCATCCCGCACTTGCCCTAATACGGACTGATCCTGAGCATCACATCTCTCTACTAGTATCTTGAGGATTCGAGGTACGGACTACCGCCCCCCCCCCAGGGGCAGCACCAGCCACATCATGGCTTGCGTGCGGATATCTTTCCCACACTGTGGCAGTGGCACTGAATGTCAAATCTTCAAGCTTGGACGCGACAATCGCTATTATCTCGGTGATTTTTGAGTGGACGGTCAGGTCGCTGTCATCTCCACTTTGACTTGCTGTTAGTGCGACAGTCTGACAGATGATTATGGCAGGCAGATTAACGCATCCACGCAAACCCCGAAGCACGCCGTACAGAATACGCTGGCAGATATTAACAATTGTCCACTTGTCATTGTTGTATATTAAATCTCGCGTGGTCTGTGTTTTTCTTTTTCACAGAGTACTCCGTATGGGGTTTTATTGGCTGTACCGACGCTCTGGTTCTGCTGCACATTTTGGCTCCACCCCCTGAGATGATTTATTTTATTTTATTTTTTTTCCCGCTGAAGATGACAGGTGCCAGTCAGGTCAGCCATGATTCGGAGGATAGCGATTTAATCTACTTGTACTCCATAGTAATATGGAGTACACCAACCCCTCCGGCCCACACCGTCCACACGTATTCGGCGTATACGAATATCACGCTCATGACCGGTTTCTGCCAGATCCGCAATCCATTCCCACATGGTCGATCTGTGTTCCTCATTCGACGGAAGATTTTGACAGGTGCCATCGCCCTTCGCTCGATCTCGCTTTCCATGTCTGTTCCATACATAGTATAGACTGCGGTATTCTACCGAGTGTGCTCCGTCCGGAGAACACCGTACTGGCGATCCCGTTTAATTTCCCAGGTCCACATGCCAGACCAGCAGCCTGGAGGCAATAGTCATCGCGATAATCCTTAATCAGATCAATGCGAGCCCATTGTGTCGGGTCTACAGAGGACAGGCAGTGCTGGACAATCACTACCATGCGGAAAGTCATCGCTCGACCATGACCATCGGGCTTCTTTCGGGGTCGTCAATGACGATTGATTAATGATTGACACGAAAGTGCCGACCGTACCATAGCACCGGGCGACGATAGTCAGCTACTATGTGCACCATATACGTGGATACGGCGTAATATTCACATGGAATCGGTGTCCATCGGCAAGTCACGCTGAAGTGGCTGGCTGAGTGTGTACTATACGGGTACATCGTCGTCGTGGCTAGCTGAGACTCCACGGCACAATAACTAAGCTCGCTAACCTCGCTGCCTGGAAATATCCGAAGGATTCAGATAGTCTACCAGGTGTATCGAGTCAGAATCCCTCACTCACGCTTGGCTCCATACTAGACGTTTAGCTACATAGGCGACATGCATGACGCATGCGTACCAGGTACAGTGTTCGAAATCGATCAGTCACATCCAGTTTTCTTCTCGAATCCTTTAGATGGATTCTGGAAAATTCGAGGGTGGATCTGTCAATTCGTTGGGGTTGGGGTTTGTTGTTGTGGTGAATGCTCATGTTTGCGGGCTGGGGAGTGTACACCGCTGGTTTGTAGATCGATGTTACATGTCGAATGTACTCCATGTGCGACATGATATCTGTGCATAATGCAGAATGCGAGGGTGTTTTTGACGATTTATCATATTATGTTCTGACAGGGGAATATGTACGAGTAAGGCGGGAGTTGGATGGCGGAGAAATATATATCGAGCCCTACTATACAGAGTCCCAAGAACACCATTATAACCACCAGCAAGTATAGTATACTCTGTGGAACAAACGAGGAAATTTACTCTAGACAGTGAGCACATCTTAACCCAATCCAAATCTACCTACCCAACATCTCCAAAAACCTCTCCCCCAGCGCCCCCGCCGCCATCGGATTCGCACCACTAACCACCTCCCTATCAACCATAATCCCCCCAACCTTCGTACCAGCCCCCTCTACCATCTCAGCTCCCGCCTCTCTCAGCGTACTCTCAACCTTCGGTATCTCCCCACCCATAACAGTCTCCATAAGCTTCTCTTCCGCATCACTCCAACACGTAATGCGATACCCGTTATATGCAAACCCTCTATCACGGACCTCCCTCGTACTCAAAAACGCATACGGCCCATGACATATAACAGCAGTCGGCTTCCCCTTATCATGGAAATGCCATAACACCCTCCCGAGTTCCTTATCATTACCGAGGTCAGTCAACGGCGCATGTCCGCCTGGTATAAAAACCCCATCAAACGAATCCAACTCCACATCACTGATACTCTCAAACGGCCGGGGAGTACTAAACCCATTCTCCCTCCTCATTCTGTCAATGAGTTCGTTTTCTCGCTGTCGCTCGTAGAAGTTCCCCGCGAATGCGAGGAGGGATTCGCTGTTTGGGTCTGGTTCTGGCTTCAGACCCTTGGGGCTGGAGAAGGTGATTTCGTGGGAGGATTCGAGGAGCTTTGCGAGGGGTTTTGCTAGCTCCATTAAGAAGAAGCCGGTTTGTTGGGGGGTTGTGTCAGTGGAAGTTTTGAGGGGGTAGGATTTGGCGTCAGAGAGGATTATGAGGATTTTCTTGGGCATTTTGGTGGTTGTTGTTTGTTTAGCTATTGGTGAGTGTGTTGGTGTTTGTTGAGGTTTTTGATGGTTATATGGTTCGTTCGGGGTATACGGCATGGTGACATGGTGACATCGTCATGACATATGCGCTTCAAGCAGAATTGAGTGTCACGTGTTGGGTATTCCCTGTACATTCCTTTTCATATAGACTGCGTAATGATATATAACAACTCTGAGCTATTGCTGCTGTTGACTTGATAAGCTACTAGAAAATTGGCCCCTGGCCGCCCAACCAAGGTGTAATGGTGATTACCCACCATGAAGTCAAATATGGGTCTGACAAATGCAGCGTTCCAAGAATCTGAACTGCAATACTTTCCTAGAGTGGTGTGTTGAAATTGTGGGTGCAAGGCAACAAAGTGTGAGCATTCGATGATCATCGACTGGAGTAAAGCCTTCCACGTGTGATGTCTTCTATCACTTGTATTCACCAGGCAGCGGGTTTAGCAGCATAAAATGAAGTCGAGGTTCATCCGTTGTGTAGAAGCTTTAGGGGGGTTCCCAAAATGGTCGATGTTTCCCATGTATATAAAAAAATGCCCTCAAATGTCGTCCCACGGGTCTTCCTCTTCGATGAATGGGAAAAAAGACCGGATTAATTCGCCGCTTATCGGATCAAATGGGAAACCATGATCAGAAGTGGCCAAGCCCGATAGTGAGCTTTCAGTAGTGTGGGCTTTCGACCTGGGTGGCGACTTCTGACGGAGCGACAATTCCTCCTGACGTTGCCGTTGGTTCAAGTCGAGTGAAAGGCCTACGTCGTAGTCCATGTCCTGAGCAATCCGCCGCAAGCTACTGTCACAGAGTTCCCAGGCACGGCGGGATGCGAGGCTGTAGTCGGACATGGCCAAGAGCCAGAGAACGGCTTTTCTGCTGTATTTTAGAATATTCGTCTCCTCCTCAGGCTGGTGAATACAACCGAAAGATAGTTCTATCAGAAGGATGGTTCCTGATTGCATGAGATAATGCAGAATGCACCACCACGGACAAGTCTGGTAGAGCCAAATAGGATCAGGAGAATTGGGAATTAGGTCAAGCATAAGGCGAGAAGACTCCAGTGCAACCAGTGCCATCTCGTGACTGAACATATACCTCTGATCTGAGAGGGTCGGTTGGGAATCATGACGACAGAGACACGGACGGCCTAGTGTAATCCATGAGCTGTAATAATGAAATCCCAAGAGAAGCTTTGTACGGAGCATCTCCTGACCCTGGTCTCTCAGATTGGTAAAATCATATGCATGTGGGAGCTTCGACTGCCAAAGTTCAACTCGAGTTCTCAGATACCTAATCCGGCTCTCAATATGGTCCCACGGCATTGTGCAGCAATCTAGAGAATAAACCTGATTGACTATCTCCTGAGTTATGACCGCCAGGTCAGCGTAATAGAGGAAACCAAGTGCGCTACTGTGAGGCTGGCTCTTTAGCCATGAAGCTTCATCTTTTTTTTGTGTGTAATTCGGTTTCTTAACGCCTTGAGGATCGAATAGCACATGCCGTATCTGATAGCAAGATAACTTTGATTCGATTAATTCCAAATGCAGATCGTGGTTGCCGAGGATCTCAGCAACACCTGGCTCTGACAGTTGCTCCTCGTCGAAAGGAAGAGGGAAAGGCGTCTTGCAAACCCCACCTAAAATGCAAGTAACCCGACCGGTCATGATCCCAAGCATGTGCTCTAGTGTGTAGACACACCACCAGACCTTATAGCGCGCTTCCTTGGAGGCGGCAACCGTGGCGTCACTGGTGTTCTTCAAGTTCAGTCCAAGGGTTATGGATGACCGTACTGCCAGCGCTGCGACTCTCCAGGCCCTGTTAGTTGTTAGTGACCTTTCACGACATTACGGTCATGCCTGATCCGGAACCCACCTATTAAGTTGATCGCAAGCGAGTAGATAAAACGCGGTCAAGCCTTCAACCTGAACTTGTTGAAGATCAGGGTGACTAAAAAGGACGTCCCCGTTCATGCTGAGAGTACGAGCGCGGGTCAGGTACATTAAATGATCGTGGCTTTCGCCTCGCCAGGGGGCTTGTGTTAGATGGGCATGTTTGGCAGCAATGGCAAAGATAAGATTCAAGATTGCCAGCCACTTGTCACCGGGCCTTGCCGCGCCTCCGGAGAAAGTCTGATACTGTGAGCGGAAAAGAGGGCGGTTGATGATGGGGAAAAATGGATAGACGGTATCCAAGAAGTCTTCAAAAAGTCTGTCTGCCACGGATTGCGGCGGCATCGTATAAACTTGCACTGGCCCAGGAACAGAGATATCCATGTTATCTAAGTGATAACTCATACAATGAATTGAAAATTGATCGTCAGCTTTAGCCTCGGATGGGCCAGCCAGCTTTTGAGAGCGATGTTCCGTCTTCTTTTGTAGGCTTTGCATCCAAGTGACTTCGGAATTCTTCCCCATATACCCTGTCGCACGAGTCTGTGGAGCTCGGTTTAAGTCTTCTTCAACACGGTCGATTTTGTCCAGGGACCCAACAGATGAGGAAGAACTTATTTCATCTGCCTGTGACTCCTCACCTTGGGCCGTTTCACTGCCGGCAGCATACTATTTTCGCATTAGTGCTGACTGACAACGTAGAATTATGAGAAGAAGGCTGATTCAGAGTTTATGAACGACGGTGTTCATTTGCTAACCTTGTCCAGTGTAGCTATAATACGATCTGCGATTCCTTTATCGACATAAGGACTGATATCTCTCAATAAATCCTCATACTCTGTAACCCTTCCGGCTAGATTATTCAATTGTCTGTGGTCCTGGGAGGTCAATTGCGAAACTAAGAATCGGGACGCGGAGGACATACCCTCGCGCTCGTTCTCGCGCTGATAGCGGATAGCGACAAGGTAAACTCAACTCATCGCATTGCCGGCAAACCGGTGTATCCCCGCTGCACTTGGTCTTTCTTTGCCTACAAGATTCGCATGCCACCCGCACGCGACGATGAACTGGTGTAGACCTGGGTCTTTGTCGGGGTATGGCCACTTTGGCCCCGGAGACGAGACGTTTGTGTTGCATGTCACCGCGCCGTCGCAACGCGTTCAGGGACACGGCAGGCGTCCCGATGCGCTTTTTCGTGGCCTATTGATTGAAAGATACTAACAGAGAATATCAGTTGGCCTCTCGTCGCGTCCAGCATCAACACATCCGACGTTGCTGTTGGATGATGACTGAGCAATATTTCTGGGACAAATGAGGTTAATTTTACATCATCCTTTTAAACCCGAAGCCCGCCTCATGTGACCGATATAATTCAGACAAGCTAAACAATTGATTCGCATGAGTATATATCTATTATTTCATTTTATTTGATTCTGTCTGATACACATATCTTTGATTGTACAGTTACGGATGTCTGCGTTCATTAAAAGGGGTGACTCATATGACTGCTCCGCTCTCAAGCAGTATGGGCTGAAGGCATGTCTATTTATCTATTTATCTCGGATACAACCCTTCCTATTCCCTGGGGCAGCACTGGCTAATACGGATTAAATGGAATAGTGCTCGTCTATAGCTGCTTGCCATAGCTGTAAGCGGCTTCTTGCTGCCCCACCAGAAGAGGGCGGGAGCAGGCCAGACTATCATCGCAACCTCCTCAATGACTTATTCGAGATGATGCGGTCGTTGGACGAGGTACACGCAGAGACATTGCTGAAGATGATTCGGGGCAATACCACTTTTGAGCAGATCCAATCTTATATGGATCAGGCCTTGAGTAGCATGCTTGTACACTGTACGGATGAGGATACACATCGCAACCTCCGGAATGTCCGGCATAGGATGGAGGCTTACAGTAGAGTACCATCCTTCCGACCAAATATCGTGGACGTCCACTACTTGGGCGGCATCGTTCCATACAAAGCTTCTGCGAAACCCTGGACAACAGTGACTGATGATGACGCTCTAGTGTCTCATTTGGTCTCTTTGTATTTTACTTGGGACTACCCTTTCTATGCATTTGTTGACCGCGATGTCCTCAGTAGACATATCCTCATCGGCAATGTTAATTCTGACTTTTGCAGTCCCTTTCTTGTCAACGCTCTACTTGCCAATGCTTGTGTATGCCCCGTGAATCTTGTGCTTCTTTTTAATAATTACTAATGCGATTGCTGGGTTGATAGCACTATGCACAGTACTCCGAGGCTTATTCACTGCCAGGGGATATAAAAGTTATGGGTACCGAATTCCTGGCCGAAGCTGAACAGTATTTGCAAACCCATCAGTTCGAAACGGGCAGCGGTATGCGCTTGGCTTCGTTGCAAGCAACGCTGCTATTGTATGAGAGGTGATGTCTTACTTAAGCTTCACGATCGGTGACCCCTAGTTGTCCATGCATGTATAACTGACCTGTTCCTAACTTCCAGGTACTCCATGTCAGGCAATAGTGACCACGGCTACTTCATGCTTCATCGAGCAGTTGAGATGGCGGAAGCACTGGGATTAATCAACAGCCCACGACTAAATATCAACCAGTCAAACATGTCTTCTGACATGATATCTTCAATCAAGAGAACTGCATGGGGCTTGTTTCAAATCGACACGTACGTGTCCCACGCAACACCTTCTGCGGTGATTTGCTAATCTTTGGTGAGGATAGGGTGGTTCACGCGAACTTTCTCCGGCCCTGCCGCGTCTTGGAAGTGAGTGTCGAGCAAATCGACCGCGACGAGACAGATGAAATGGACCTTTGGGTTGCGTATCCGATCAATAAAGAGGCCAGACGGTCTTGGATGAGTCAATATTTCGACGAGGCCTGCAGGCTCTCCACTATTGCAAGGGACATCTCGCGTATTTTCCTTCCCGACCAGGATCCTGGGTTTGACATATATGAGCACAAAAGAGTGCTGTATGAAAAGCTTCGTCAATGGGATCAGGAACTGCCCAAATGCTTTTCACCAGCTGAACGGCCCGCGGCGCATATCATTCTTTTAAGGTTTGCACCGCCACCAATTGAAGCTTCTCTGAACAGACCTGGTGGCTGAATATGTATTCCAGACTCCGGTACCACGCCCTGCTCATAAACCTGTTCTTTGATTGCTTTGGTGGAAACCCACCGTTCTATGCACCACAGCAACAGGAGGCCCAGCAACAGTTCGGCTCAACCATTTATGACGGTACGCTAGATACAGCGCTCGCATCTGCTCGAGAGATATCTGCTCTTGTTCGGCTACACCGAGACCAATACGGTCTAGTTCGGGCTCACCAGTACATAATGTATACGATAACATTGGCACTGTTCACAATGCTCGAACAGAAGTCTTTCGACGTCCTGGATTATGAATTCCTTTCCTTGACAAATTCATTTTCCACAGTCGCTAGTTGCTCCCAGCTTGGAAAGGATATCTTCCGCATCTTCTGTCAATCAGTGAGGATCCGGTGCCAGGAAGAGCAAGATCTCGATATGGAGACGGGGGAAATGGAAAGGCCGCCTTATGGTCCAAGTAGCGTGGCAGTTACACCGGATCGATGGAATGACTACGCTGAAGGATTGCGGAAACTAGCTGATCATGATGGTGGCGAGGAGGGATCATCACACTATACAGCTTCAGGTATTGAAGAAATGCTCAGCATGTATGAGACCATGAGCCTAGGGAAGGAAGGCAATTTGCAATTTCGGCAGCAATCCAGTTCCTTCCGCTTTTCACCATCCCCAGAATGATTATACACAGCCCCAGGCATGACGAGCTGGAAAGCTCGTCATAGTGGTTTCAGCTAAGTGTCTAAGCTCAGAACGCTGAGATTGAAAGGATAAGAGTATTATTTTCTTCTTTCTTTTTCTCTTTATATATTGTCTTTTGGACCACTGCGAAAAATATAAGAAAAGCCGGAAGCCTATATATTTAGTACACATTATTTGAATGAACACGAAGTTATGATATCCAAGGCACACCAGCCAAAGTCGGCAGCATCATCATATGTGAGGTAACCTCCAAGAGTCCCTGCCAATGAATTGACACTCTCCCGCGCGATGCCCATGCCCGTCGTGTTATACCCTGTCCCAAAAGGCCATCCGAGAGTGGGGTCTGTCTGTAGGAAACTACCTCCGTTTCTATTGGCAGAGCTACCAAAAACTCCCCATAGACCTTCCATATCCATGAAATCCAAATGTAGTTGGTATCGCTAATTTCGGTCGTTGCGGCGGCAACACTTCGCCTCCAACTTAAGTCTCTGACAGGGCATGCATCTTGATAATCAATGTTGGAACCGCAATCTCCTCCCAATATCTATAATTCGCGATAAATATCGTCTTGAACGGGATTTGGTGGCGGCCAAGATTCTCTGACATTATTGGCGATCTTTGTCCATATAGGTTGGACTTGTGGTAAGGAATTCGGTGCGTATGTATGAGGGCCGTTAACATGATGGTCGATCACCTTGACGCGACAAGGAGATTGAATGTTTGCCAAGGAGACTAGGAGGCTGTCGAGAAACTTAAGCTACTTCGAGTTGCGGATCATTAGATCGCATTTAGCAAGGATAATGGCATCGCCTGCAATACGGATATTCCCTTGTGTGGTATATCCCAGTGACAAAGCGTTCAGGCAGCGTAAGGTAATATGATTGCTTCTTGCATAATCATATTAAGAATTTTTTCATAGAAAACGGGCTCTTGTGTCAACGGCCAACTCGGCAAGATACCAGGACTCCCGGCCTGCCATCGATCAGAGCTGTCAATCAGAAACTCGATTGAACTACCACCAAGCGTATGGCCAAGGATTTTGTTGTTGAAATCTGTGAGTACATTCTGGCCCGAGCTGGGCCTTGTAGGCCCTTCAGAAGGCGAGTAGTTTCCGGAACACATGTTCTATTCATGCGCATCAAGTTAGCCTTCATACAGGAGCAGAAGGATTGTGGATCAGAATGCATGGAGCACGATGCTTTATATACTATGCTTACCGATTGAGATAGATGTGTTGTTCTCGTTCTTGTACTTGAGAGATAAACTGTCAATGTTTGCTTGAGTAGTGTAGACATTGACTCCCAGCTTGCTTGCTGCTTGTACTGTAACGGCCATGAATAGATCAACTACTCTCCTTGTACAACATATGAAAATCCGAGAATAAATTCGCTTCTCCGGTCTACACAAAATACCAAGTCCTGATAGCCCACGTGTTATTGGATATCGAACTGGGTCACGCCAATTTTCACTGGTGCTTTGTATGAGCTATACACATCGGCAAGATTATAGGATTACTAGAAATGTTGCAATAGTCTTTAATAGTCACATGAGTAGGTCCATATAAAGTAGGGTAACGTAATCCCATGATTTTTGCAAGAACATTGAAACTACAGGTCTCGTGGATTATTCTGGTCCACTGATTTCAGAAACCCACTTCTCGAGTGAGGCTCTTGATTTTGGTCCATGGACTTTTAGCTAAACAACAATTTGGTATCTAACCGCAGGGCACCAAAACTTTTGACCGCAACTCACTTTCACCTTCATCGAGCGATATTAGCACCGATCCCAGTACCACCCATGCTGCTGCTGCTGTTGAATCATGGGATACAAATTGATTGCACCTACTTTGTAGTATGGAGGGCTGTGGTATGACTTGAACTTGGTTGAACGATGCATCATACCCAAGAGGAGTAAATCCGATACCATCAGAAAGAACCCCAGCACGGTCCTAGTGAAGAATAGGAATTTCTCATTAGCGAGAAAGCATTGTAGTTAAAGCCAGCTTTAGTTGAGACGCCCTAAGACTTTCTAGATATGATCATCGACGTCTGCTTGCCTGTTTCATGTTCTGGGATTTTGTGCTGATGGAAATGTCCCTGATAATCCAACAACGCAAGGCCAAGATGCAGACCACTTCCAACAATAGCATCATCATCTTTTCCCGCTGAGAAAGTGCTCCAGTCACCCTTGCAAAGAATCATCGTAAACTAACATGCCAAATATGCACAGCCTAAGTTCAGCTCACACCAGTTAATCATCGCTCTACACACCTAAGCACCAACCAAAAGCACCAGTATCAAACATACTGCAGAAATCAAGGAGAGTCCAGCCGTTGACGATGGAAACTTACCCTGTTAGATCGTCCCGCCAATATGCAAAACCTGCACCTATCCGATTGCTTAGTCTAATTCAGCATGTTGAGCTGCAGACAAGCAAGCAAACAAACCATACCGTGTAACCTATGTTGACCTTATATAGGACCTTATATAGGATGTAGCCCTTATAAGTAGCGCTCTTGGACGTGAGAGATTTATATTGTTTTCTATGCTCAATTATCGATCATTTTCACGTATTCACAATGTCCTTCTCCAACCTCCCCTCAGAATTGGTCGGAATGGTGGCTTCCTTCTTGGAAGTACCAGACTTGCACAATCTACGGCTGACATCCCCAGCCATTGCTATCTTGACAGCCCATGTATTATTGAAAAATGTCCTACATACCCGCAGAACAGATCTCTCAGTCACCAGCTTGGCGAAACTGGAGAACATTTCTGATACCCTCCAATCGCGCTATGTGCGCCACCTAACTGTAAAGGGGTTCGACGAAGATAATAGAGCCCTCGGAGAAGGGCTCGCCGGGCAACATCTCCAGAAAAGAGAACTAGCTCTTATATGGCTACTTGTCATACTTATCAGATTCAATAACTGTACGTCATTTGAGGTCGACGCTGTGTCAGATTGCAATTGTCCGATTTTTTCAAGCACTCTTTATCACACGGAGGCCATCTCACTCATTATGGCAGTTATTACCATATCCAGCCATCCTGTTACGTCGTTTACGGTCAAGTACCGCAACGGCTGCCCAGATATATCCGAACTTGCTCCGGTACACGTCAATAATACTCGATTTCGTGCAGGATGGGCACACCTAAGAGAACTTAGGCTGAACCATACAGTGGCATTTCCAAAGGTGATGCAATGGATGTTTGATGTGATTATTTGCGCGCCTAACCTACGTATTCTATATATCAACTTAAACAGGGAGTATGAGACAGCGTGGTTGACGGGTCAATTGGCTGCAGGGAATATCCCATGGCCGTACTTGGAGGAACTGCATTTAAAAAGAGTGCGCCTAAGAATCCAGGACCTCTCCATCCTCTTACACAGATGCCGAAATACTCTCTGTGCCCTGTTCCTATCATCACTCGACATCGAATCCAACAGTACCGGCGACGATCTACAAGCGCTATTCCGGTCCCTCGCTGACTTCCCTGCCCTAAAAACAATTCACATCAAAGCATTATCCGGCAATTCCGCTGAACATGTGAAACGGTTTATCCACTTTCCTGCAAATTCTGAGGATCCAGCTATAGGTTGGGGATGGGAGATAAAGCCTCTTCAGGTGAACAGTCATTTGTGGGTTAATGCTAATGTGAAGTATTCGGGGACAATGACGGGTAATGTTTTGAGGGTTTTGGCGAAGAGGTTGGAGCTTCTTTCGACAGATTTGCCTTGATTATTGCTTTGTTTGATTTAATAGCGAGTCGTTGCTCAATGGTCTTAAGTCAAAAATGTATGTAATAAGATAGAATGGAACAATGTAAGTCATGACATCCAAAGAGCTATACTCAATATTTCTATCTCATCAACAAAAGCATGGAATCTTCACGCAGCTAGACCTCCCGGAACCTTGAGATGTGAATAATTAGGATGGATGGATAAGACTCCCAACGCTCACCCGATGACTCATCCTATGATTACCACCAGTAAGGGCTAGTCACGGCCTATCCTTGCCTCGTGGACATCTTATCACTGCTGCCGCGCGGCTGGTTTTCGTTTGGGATTCCCAATGACACAGTATCCATGGGCTTTTTTGTCCTCATCCCATTTGGGAATTTGTTTACCAGTATGTAGCAAACAAAGCGGACCGTAGTCAAGGTCATGATCGTGATTGTGGTAAATGAGCATTTTCACTTATCGCCTTATCCCCTCTCCCCCCCAATCTCAATATCTTTCAACTGAATAAATCCATCCGACTCCCTCTTCAACGCTTTAGCCTTCGCCCCAACATCAACCGAATACGATACCCTCTTCGAAATCAGACTCTTTTCCTTTTCCCCCGTACCCGATCCTGCTCCAGCAAAAGCGGAAAGAGCAGCTGTTCTGCTCGAAGCACCTGTTGCGGTTGGGTAGGGGCGAGCGGTTGAGGAGTCATGGCTTGTATCTGCACTAGGGAGGATACGGACGAAGAGCGCGCGGCTTGTGGGGAGGCAGGCACAGATGATGGCCATTTGGCATTCAATCACGGACCAGTGGTTTAGGGGTTCCATTTCAACTGTTGCTTTTAATCAGCCCTGGACTGTGTAAGAGGTGTCAGGAGAGAGGTGGACTTACAGGTTGGGTTTGTGTTGGAGGTGTTTTGGGAGAATATGACTACTCGGATGATTCCAATAGCCGTCAATCTTTCGCAGTGTCAGCATACGCATAGTCCAAACACCAGGACCAAATGAAGGGCAAACATACACCAACCCCATACCCAACATAACAGCAACCCCAACCTTCTTCTGCACTGACAAGTTCAATCTTGACACCTCATAAACCGGCATAATCACCATAACTGTATCCACAACAATATTTACAAACCCATTCGCAAACGTTGACGCAATAAAATTAATACACGTTCCTTGCTCCTCCATCGCCCATCCTGTCCATGCAAGATGCACAGGTATACAGTGGAAGCTGTCGGTTAGAATCCATGTGATCGCGACCGCAGTGTTGATGGCTATCATGGTATATGTTGTGTAGCGGAAGGCGGTTGATTGGAAGATGCGGAGGAGAAAGAGACAGACAGATATTTTGGCAAGAGAGATTAAGGCTTTGTAGACGAGAACGAAGGCGAAGAAGTACTGTTCGTGTTGGGGGTCAGGTTAGAATGTGGGAGACGGGGGGGTGGTGAGAGGGGACGGACCTTGTATGCTATGGTAATGTTGTCCTGTGGGACTATATCCCAAATGTTCATTCCGAAGCCGTAATGGACCACTAACTCGTTAGAACCTCGGTTTTGGTTCATCAGCATGGTTTACTTACTTGAGATGTTCAATGCGAATGCAATAATTGCCAATGCCTGAGCAGGTCAGCACAAGCTACGACTCCGGCTCCAAGAGATATATCCTCACATATGCAGCAATGATAGTATAATCATCCGGTCCCCAACCACCACCAAGTCGCAAGGACTTCGCAACCATCCGAATAGCAAACAGAATCGTCGCGATAACGAACGGAATAATCGTTGCAGGGTCTGCCTCGGGATATCGCTGAGGCATCGGAAGATCGCATTGCCGGGAGACGATGTATTTTGCAGCTAAAACCATTAAGATTAGCCTCTTCAGTATATCAATATAGGGCATTGGGTAGGTACTTAGTGCTTCTTTCATGGAACAATTGGCCATGGCGCAATTGGATAGGTCTTTTTGGTATTGTGCCTCGTCGCAGAGACATGTTGTGTCGGTGTTCGAGCAGGAGGTTGTATCAGTGAGTTGTTGTTCGCAATTGAGCTATTCGCTGTCAGATGCTGCGCGGCATGGGAAAAGAGGCCCAGAACATACAGCGCATTGAGGAACAGTCTCCGATGCAGATGCGACCATGGGCATGAGAACCAGGCATGCTAAAGAGAGAACAACCACATACTGCCGGTACAGGCGCATTCTGAACAACCACCGGCGGCAAAAACGACGATCTTAAAATGTCGAAAGGAAAAAGAAAACACAGAATGCCAACCTCGCGATCCATGACGAGCGCGACTTTTATTACGTTCTATTTTAGGGGAAACCTGTCTACCTTGTGGTTGGATGGCAACTACTCCAATGCTGATCAATAGTATTGTACCTGCTGCGTCGCAGCTTTTCCCGCCCATTAGGGTTTATGTGGTTCCCGAGTATTGATGGCAATCGGAGCACTATCAAAGCTAACCTGAAGGCAGAGAAGCTCGTCCGGCAAAACCGCTAATAACGATCATCATTGTACAGTTCATGCCCGAAATAAGATAATATCCGCTTTCCCAGACTGGTTAAGTATGCGTCAATCAAACTTTGACAAGCCTGTCAAGGAACTGGCGTCCGCTGTCATATTATTGAATCTTATTGGTGTTGATGGGCGGTTCCACACGGAAATAGTACCCCTTCGGGGGGGCACTATGAATGACAAGCTTTTGAGGACGGGAGAGCACGTTCTTTTGTTCATGCACCTGGGATTATTATGAGGCACTTCTATTGTTCTCGGAGGACCGGGGTCCCTGTCGTCGTAGTCGTCGTGCACGAGGAGTAGGGGGGTTGACGCGCACGGGCTTTAACCATTCCCCTTGTCCCCGCCTATAAAGCCAGAGTATCTATACCAATTCTAGGCCAACCCAGCGAACCATGGTAACTCTGAAGATAGTCGGAATAACGTGTGCGAGATTTTATGGCTCAAACCCTGCATAATCGCTCATTCGGTCACGTGACAACGGTGTGTATATGAAATACCGTCGTACGATTCTTTTATCTATTCTTTTCTTCTATCCTTTCTCCCTCAGTCTAGACTTCTTATATATGATGGTGCTATCACCTAGATATGTCATTTTTACCAGATGAAGAACCACCGCCGGATCAACATAGACCGCAACCATGGAAATCATGCTTCCATGATACCGAGCTAAACACTACTCTACCACGAAAAAGAAGCTACCTGCGGGGATAAGAGGCACACTGATGAATATCATTTCCTGATACATGTACAGATACTAACAAGCAAATCGGCCAAAGCGATGTATTGCCATCAACAGTGAGATTATCGATTCATTGAAAGTCTGCTGCATTGTGACTCCCACAGGCGAAAGTTTGCGTCAGTGACAATTCCAGACTTTTGAATATTGGCTCTACAAGCCCGAATGTCAAATACGATTAACCAGATACCGTGGCGTGCTAAGCTCACCAGGTCCAAAGAACTTCAGTTCCAAGAGCGTCCAGCCAATTCATATCATGACCAATAAGAGTTAGTCAGGGAAGTGTAAATAAATTCTTTGTTTAGAGGTATATTCCCTGAAATCCTGTCAACCAAGATATTGGCGGTAACCAATGTATAACGTTCCACGCCCTTAACCAGCTCCGATGAGTCGTTGAGGTCCATGCTGGTTGTATCAAAATTGGCTATAGCACCGTCTTGGTTACCAATTTCCGTCCTTAGGCATAGGTTTCCAATAGGCCTCTTGGTATTAAGATCAAACCGCCTTTTACCTTGCCTTACAGGCTCTCTCCTTGGTCAACATGGCAGTCAATGACTGAGGCCAGCGGGTGTCAGTACTAATCAAGGTCATCATCGAATGCACCATTGACAGAGAGCCATGACTAGGATGGGGCGCGGTAATCGCCCATGGCTTTGCAGCGGGCGCACGGTTGCCAAACTATGCCCTCTAGTATAGAATTTCACCATGAACTAACGACATGGGAATCCCAAGTCTCTCACTATACTAGTAGACTGTCGGGGGATATGTAAGTCTAAGGCGGCAATACCTCAATACAGGGCTGTACCATTGCGCTAGTGCATCTGTGTGGTCAGGCACATTCCAGTGATTTGTGAGGCTGGAGTGCGAGTATAGACAGATAAAATCGTATCCATTGGCGCCTGTTGGAATTGAGCATGTAGTCCCGCCGACTGTTTCTTCCCACCCATCGACTAAAAAGCCGGTCTCACTTGTTTAAAATAAACATACTGGAATGTTGCTCGCGACAAAAACATACAACAGCCGGGATTCGCTGGTGGTCACCCACCCAACTACTAACCGGCCGGCGTGTGGCTTAAGTACGGCTGAGCGGACGGGAAGCCCTGTTCTCCACACCCTATGGTCGTATGTACTTATCTTTATGCTTAATGTGGTATATAACTAATTAAGGAAGAATTAGAGGAGTGAGTGCACCGTAGAGAGGGTGATCACCCAACATCGCGCAGCGCCACGCAATTTCAATCCTCTGAAATCCCTATAATCCAATGGCATGCTACAGCCACTAATATTTGCACATACCCCCAAGCAGAGCCCTCCACCACTGATAAGTGACTCAGCATGAGCATAGTGAACTCTTCTTGCCCTTATGTTTCATGGATATTCCATTATGTTCGATTTTGTCAACTACAATAGCATAGTATGGTGTCTTAATTACTGTCCATGTATCAAAAAAAAAAATAAAATAAAAAAAAAAACTGGCGCCCATAAATTTAATCAGAAAAGAAAATCGTTGGGACTTGGGAACATGAGACAAATATGCAAAGGAATTGGACATGCATAAATAAACATGCATTGGCCATACCATATGGATATAATGATAAGTTGATTTCGCCATATTTTGCTAATTCTATTATTAAAGAACAGCTCGATGGAATTGCAGGCGAAGAGACTACGCTTAAGCGGAAACGGCAACAACTTCTTACAAGAGATAAAAGACTTACAAACGACCAACCTTAATTAGCTGCAAACGGACAAAGGACCCTATAAGTAGCGTACTGAGCGAAAGTCCGAACATGATTATTGGGGTCAAGTCTGCTGAACAACAAAGAGCAGTCGTGTCGTAAACTTGATGCACGTGGGTCTAACTGATTGGACTTATAATGGCCACATTTCTTGTCATTGTCCAAAATGTGAGCCGATATTTGAGTTGTTTAGACTGGTTTGTGTGGTACCTAGTCAATAGCACTGCGGGCCTAGCCCATAATATTAGGTTTCGTTCCTTTCCTTCACTACTAGTTGTTAGTTCACGCTATAGTAGACCTCGCCCAGACCCTCATGAGGGTCCAAAGGTTGGACCCTCCACCCGACCCTCGCGAGGGGCGGGTATAACACTCGCGACCCTCACCCGACCCTCGACCCTCGCCAGACCTCGTGTGGGTGACCCTCAAGGACCCTCGTCGACCCTCATTTTCATAAAAATTCCCACGCTTTACCCGATTTGGATGCATAAAAATGATGATTAATCTTAATACAGACCTGTTATTTACACCGTAACACATTACTCCTGTTCTGCTACTTCGGATGATAGGTATTGTATGAGCCCTAGAATCAATTCACATAATAGCTTCCTACAAAATCTCTCTGATTTATATTACTTCTGATCAAAATTTTTAAGATTATATTAATTATAAGTGATAATATGTAAGTTACCATTACATAGTCAATATACATTAGTCCTTGGATATAGTATTATGATAGCTAGTTCCTGTAGAAGGAATGTACTCGATGAACATCTAAACTAGGAAAAAGAGAAGAGGACATTACTTCATTCAAAGGTATTTATCTTGAAGAGCCACGTGAAGGTATAAATAATGCAAAGTAAACAAATAGCTTCCTGAGTGATTCTGCCGAAAAGGGTGAACTATGAAAGCTGTTGAAAACCATGCACATAGCGCCGATGAAAATATATATATTTAACAGATGTATTCACGAGCGGCTATTGGAATATTTTTTGGAAGGATATCTTTGAAGTTACAGGTCAGCTTCAGTGATTTATGGCCCATTCACCTCTCTTGCCACTAAATCCTTACTTTTACCCTTTGAATAATACCAAATATACTAGTTCTTGGATGGCCAAATTAAGTGATTTTGACCGCTAAGTATTGGCCTCCTGCGGCTCTTCAGCATGTGAGGGTCCTTAGGGTCACCTGTGTGGGTGACCCTCCCCACCCTTAGGATTAAGAGAGATTAGGAGATACTACATGAGATATGGAATACTACGTGAGATACAGGATACTATGTGGGTCATATTATGATTTATCCACTCAAGATCTCCAGCTCCCTAAGTCGCTTGCGTCATGAACTTGGGCTAGTGGAGAATAATGAATTGATATTCCTATTTAAACTAGTGTTTTACGAGAATATCGAATCTGGAGAGGAAGGAATTAAGAAGGGGAATCTATCTATGGAATGAGGGGCTTTTATCCATTCTATGGATTCATGGCCGCTTGCAGCATATGGCCGCTTCTAGCACAATGGTATGGCCACATTCAGCCATTACAACTTGGTTCTTGTGTCCCCTAGTCATTGCAAATTCTACTGACTATTATACTGGATCTTTTTTTTGTAAGTCTCTTACTCTCTAGTCCCTCCCCCCTTCCTAGTCCCTCCCTTACACCCACCTATATTCTGTACTATGTCCTGGCATTTCTCCAACCCTCCATCCTCCTCAGCTTGTGAGGGGGATACTTCAGATTCTTTTTACTCTCATTTTCCTAACAACTCGCAGCTATATACACCTGAGTCCTCAGGAAGCCAAGATGCCATAGTGGCCAACTCAGACATCTCTGAAACTCTGCTTTCGCCTCCTCCTATCCCTAGCTTTCTTCACCGTGTGGGCCCTGATCAAAACCAAGGATATGTTCTCTACACTCACAAATACAACGAAATGGAACGGGATGCCTTTGTAGCTTGGTGGCTCGGGACAGATTATGGGACGAAAAAGCGAATTAATTGGGATACAAGACATCAGTCAGATTGTTGGAAACAGTTTGACCAGGTGGCAGATGTGAAGACTGGGAGGCCTGCAGTGATGTGTAACCAGTGTATTGCAGTTCTTGACCATCCTGCTAATTCCCGTCATGGAACATCCTCCATGAATAAGCATATGAAGGGTGTTAACTGCCGTAAGGCTTCTAGAAAGCCGAATATTAAACAGGCACTAAATCATGCGGTAATGTTATATCTAATTATTAATTCTTTCCTTTGCTATTGTATTCAATATACTAACTTGAACAGGCAAAACATGCTCCCAAATCTGCTGTCTTCACTCAGGATGAATGGGAATATAAGCTTACACAACTACTGGCTATATCACGTCTCCCTTTTCAATTTATCGAACACCCTGAATTCCATGATGTCATTCACTTCAGTCGTCTTGCATCAACTCGCCCAGAAATTCCTTCTGCAAAGGCAATTCGAACACGACTACAAGGCTTTGTGAAAGAACAGCAACAGAGGGTCCTACAACAACTGCCAGCAGATGCAAAACTCTCACTAGCATTAGATTGTTGGACCTCTCCCTTTCAACAGGCATTTATGGCAGTATCTGGCTATTTTCTT